GATGAAGATGAAGATGAAGATGAAGATGAAGATGAAGATGAAGATGACGACGGTGACAGCGAGAGTGACTATATATCCGACTACTACGAAGATCTGCAACCTTCAAAAGGGTCTACCAATGTACAATCAAGTCAGCAGCAATCAACCTCTTCAACAACTCATGTTCCGAGTCCTGCCAGCGGTGGTGCACAAGAGACAGGACAACACGACGGCGACGACGCAGACCGCTGCTGGGACCACGGATGCAACGGACGCAAATTCACCACCCGTAGTAATCTCAGGCGCCACCTAAGGGAAAAGTCCAACACGCGGCCGGCGTGCCGGTGTCCTCGATGCGGGGCCATCTTCAGTCGGACAACAGCCCGGAACACCCATGTAGCTAGAGAGAGCTGCAACCGGATCCGTCGGTATTCGAATGGTCGCAGCAGACCCAATTTGAGGATCAAAGAAAATGAATCTATCAAATATTCTAATCTCATGTTATAGCTAGGAATATTGCCATGCCGCTTGCTTGTTCACTAAGAACGGTTCTACCTGTACTGTGTTATGCAACCTTTCCTCAACCCACCTGTCCATATACCCACCTAGGCATTCCCTGAAGATTTGGCGTGTATATAGTAAAAGTCGTGGTTGAGTTTGTCAGCTCAGGGGCAATTAGTTAGGCGACTTTTTGTTACATGTACTGTGCTGTAGGGTTCGGAGGATGATTAGGTAGGGCGGATTGCAGGAATGCAGGAATGCAGGACTGCCTGTCTCGTACTACTAGTTGCCTTCCTTCCGATGGCTGCTTTTGTCTTCATACATTCTGTCAAGATTTTACTATCACTTTCACTCTTGTTATAAATCCCCTGCGCAAGGAATCGCTCATTGCTGCGGATAATACCATGGTCGCCGTAGTAATTCTGTCTGCTCTTAGCATGCTTGTCGTCTCGCGTTTGTTCCTGCTATAGATCTAGCACACATTCTCTCGACCCTCGCTCGGATTCCCTGTGTCCACTAGAGCTGCTCGGTGTCTTCGATATGGATATTATACACACGACACTGTGGGCGGGAGCTTGATATTGTGTATCGACATTAAGAAGTAGATTAAAAGGTTGTTATAAATGCCCTCATTATTCGGCAATAAAGTAGTACAAGACATCATGTTAGCAAGCATAAGGAGAACGTACTTCTTCGTGAACAAGCTTGGATTTGTAAGACGACTATGCGCTCGCACTCTTCTATAGGTGTTACATAGGCAAATCGAAAAGGAGAAGATACGGCGGCACTAGGACAGGGTCGTGCCGCATACTCCGAGCTTCTACCAACAACCTGCACAGAGCAACAAGCTACTTTATGAAGAGGAGGTCTCCGCAAAGGCCATTAAAACGATGACGGAGATGCAGCTGAACATAATGTAGTCGAGCCAAAATAGTAAAGACTGTATAATAATATAGAAGCCGCTCTTCCGCTACTACCTTGAGCAACGAAGCACAGGGTATAGACCGTCACTCGAACGTTCACCTGGCCCGCAATAGACCTTTGGACACTTTGCCCGACGTGTTACGAGGCAGTGCTTCGAGCAGTTCGTATCGTCCACGTAGCCAGTGTGGCTCTGTCAATCTACTTTCCACGTGGTCGTCCCACTGCTCAAAAAGTACCGCCGTCTCGTCGGATTTTCCTCCTTGGTTAGGTTGTCTCGAAGGTACAACATAAGCCTTGGCTCGTTCCCCAGCCAGGTAATCAGGCACTCCAATCACAGCTACGTCGGCAACGCTGGGATGCTGCCGCAGACAGTCTTCGATGGCAACAGGAGAAACTTGCATGCCCTGGTGTCCCATGGACGTCAGCTTGGTATCTTTTGGGGCCGTTTGAGATCACTTACTTTGACCTTAATCATATCCCTCAGCCGATCGACAATACACAGGTGGGAGTCTCCATTGGGACTCTGACGGAAAACAGCAACGTCTCCCGTACGCAACCAGCCATCCCGGAACGTGGCTGCGCTCGCCTCGTCGTCCCCGAGATAACCGTCTGCCTGATTCGGTGACGAGAGAAGCAACTCGCCAGCTTCATCGAAAGCCTCCACCTCGTTGCCATCCTTGCGCAGAAGACGTGCCTGGTACAACGGCAGCAATATTCCGATCGATTCTGGGACATGCTCGTGCGGGCTGCTCATGGCGACGGCCACGGAGCTTTCAGTTAGGCCTAGGAACGAACTCTCGGTCAGCGCTCTATTTGTTCCATGGATAGTAGGGCCAGAGCTTGGATTACCGTAACCAATGATCAAATTCCAGCCGGGCTGTGCGGCCTTCACTTTAGCGTAGAGATCAGCGCTCAGAAGACTGGCGCCCACGTAGACCGTGTCAACCGACGACAGATCGAAAGCCTTGAACAGGAACGGGTTGCCGATGAGGACGGCGAGAACCGATGGTACCTAATAGGATATATTTTATGAGCACAAGATGAATTCTCATCACTAGTCTTTTGGGGGAGGAAGTACCAAGTAGAGCCTGTTGATGCGGTAAGTCTGGATGGACGCCATAGCCGCCTTCATGTCGAATTTCGAGTGCAAGATGAGTCGGTCCCGCAAGTAGATGGAGATATGCGATGCGATGACGCCTTGGACGTGGCTCAGGGGCAGGACGCCCAGCCCTACTTCGACATCCCGGTGACGCATCGTGCTCTCGAGCGCTACTACCTGCAGGACATTGGTCATGACCCCGCGGTGGGTTAAACGCACCAGCTTCTGTATATCGGAGTCGTGAGGTCAGCCAAAGCATCTTCCAGAGAAGGGGGCTTGATTCTTATTACCTGGGCTCCGGAAGTGCCGCTAGTTGCGCAGAGATAGGCAATACTAGATTGAGCCTCCTCGACGGACCAATCCAGCGCCGGTAGAGAGCCTGGAGTCTTACCAAGGCCAAGCAATTCGTCGATTTTGATATTGTGGCCTGCGCCATTATTATTATGGGTGGTACCAGTGGTGCCGGCGTTGCCATTGGTTTGGGCGACATCAATAGTCACTGGCGCTGTCAAATATAATCGCATATCAGATTCGCCGACAACGGCGGCCGCAGCACAGCCAGACTCAAGTAGCGCTGGAGACACAATCAAGATCTTGCAGTTGCTATGCTTCAGATGTTTTGCGATCTCAACCGGCGAAGTGCTTCCGTGTAGAAGGAGACAGGTGCCTCTAAGGCGATGGATCGCCCAGCAGTAGGTCAGATAATCAACCTTGTTTAACGTCACTACAGCTTCTTCACGGATTTCAGAGCACCTAGGTCTGAGATCTTACCGAATTCTCGGACAATATCGCAATTACTTTGCCGCCTTGCGCCGGCTCATTGGGAGACCATTGTAGGTCGTGGGCAAGGCCAGAAGCCAACGCCTCGACGTCTTCGGCGAGCTGCCGAGGTGTTTTCGTCGTCTGCGTGACAGCAGAAACGAGAGTTGGTGCGTCAACTGCTGGCTTTGAAGCCGTGCTGAGCGGGCCACGAAGCACAAACTCCCCTACCGTGCCCACCGTAGACAGTTCTTGTGTAATGGCGGGTAGCCATGAAGGTGGATGGAAAATCATCGTGGTCACCTAAGCGTTGAAGGTTGTTAATAATTGATAGATGTTAAGTTGTTCTACTCGAAGTGCGACAGGCAATTGCGGACGAGATTCTTATGGTAGGATCCTGAGCATCACCCTAGACCCAGAGGAATCAAATGCTGCTACCCTCCACGTTGGTAGTCGCCGCAGACACGGTGTCTGCTGAGAGTTCAATAATCCTTCAATCCTCCATGCCATTTCATGCAGTCGGGTGGCTCCACCGTGGCACCATAGTGGTGTTGGCTGCTGAAACTCTTGCTGGCTACACAACTCGACTAAAGTTAAATAACTTCGTTTCGCATGTCACTTCAAGTTCACCACTAGCCACCACCTGTCAAGATGCTCCGCGAAGCCTCACTCGGCCTCGCTGGGGTTGTCATTATCGCGTACGTTATTGAATTCCTCGTCAGCCATCTCGACGACCCGCGAGAGCCTCGCCGAGTCCCCCCAAGGATACCTGTCATCGGCCACATCCTGGGGTTCTTGCGCCATGGATTTGATTACTATAACCTCGCAAGGTAAGACTCGAGTCTACAGGGACAAGATTACGCACTTACGTACCGCCAGCCAGAACACGGATGCAGAGATTTACACCGTCGGCATCATGAACCTCAAGGTGTACGTTACCCACGCTACGCGGCTCACACACATGATCCAAAGATCAAAGACCTTGTCGTTCGGACCCTTTCTTCAACTTTCCAGCAAAGTCCATGGGAATGTCAGTGACGAGGCGCATGCACTCTTTAACGGAGATCTACTGGAGGATTTCAGCCTCCGCACCAGAGAGGCGCTTGCTCCAGGTCCTCACCTAGATGCGCAGAACCTTCGGATGGCAGACCAGTCGCTTATTGAAGTCACGGATATGTTGAAGCAGGGTGAAATTCAACTGCTCGAATGGGCAAGGCATGCCGTTGTGCAGGCTACTGGCGCTGGCTTGTATGGTGTCCAGCATCCGTTCAAGGATCCTGAAATTGAGGATGCCATGTGGTAAGTCAAGGCAACCCAAGTCGTGATGCGTATTGAACTGATGGAGAACAAGGATTTGGGATGAGCATAGACCCGGCCATATGATAGGGATAGATCCCCTAGGTAAGGGCTACAACGCTCGCGCTAAAGTGTTCGAGACTTTCCGGGAATACTTCCAAAATATGCCCGACGACGTGTCCCTAATAATACGACAGCGCCAGAAAATCCTTCGCGACGGCGGTATCTGTGAAGAAGACGCCTACAAGATGCAGTCTACGCTCAGTGATGCTGCCTATCCCAACACCGTTCCGACGCTGTTTTGGACTGTCTATGAGATCTACTCCCGCCCCGAGCTCTTGGAGGCCATCCGTCAAGAGATATTTAGCAAAGCAGTACGGAAGTCTGACGAGGGCTTTATTCTAGACGTTGCAGCTCTTAAGACCGAGTGTCACATCTTGCTGTCCGCTTACCAGGAGACTCAGCGCACAAGGCATTCGCAAGTCGCCTTCCGCATGGTCGTGGAGGATACACTTCTAGATGGGCAATACCTCCTCAAGAAGGGCAACTATCTCCACATGCCGGCCAAGCCCATCCACGAGAACCCCAAAATTTGGGGTCCCCAGGCCAGCGTCTTTGACCCTTACCGGTTCGTGCCAGCGGTAGCCGGTGAGAGTAGGGCAAAGATCTTGCCGAGTAGCTTCCTGCCCTGGGGCGCGCCGCCTCACATGTGCCCTGCCCGCCAGTTTGCCTCGACAGAGATTCTGATTATTACGGCCTTGTTGGCTTTGAGGGTCAATTTGACTCCAGCGAGTGCCAAAGGGTGGGAGCGGGAGCCTGCCGTGAAGTCGATGGATATACCGACGTTGCCACGCCCTAGAAAGGATGTGCGTCTCAAGGTTACAGCGCGGGAGGAGGGAGCTGGGATCTGGGCGATTATAATCGGGGAGAGCAAGACGAGAGTGTCCCTGGCGTCGGGATGAGAAAATAACGTACTGGTTGGCTAAGTCGGATCGGAATCTAGACTAATTACATTGTAGTTGGTTTTTTCTATCTCTTATATACAATAATATTATAAGAGTTATTTTAGGGTTATTTTTTATTAAAGTTAAGAGTTTATTCAGCTATCTATAATAATTACGTCGTCTCTTATAACCTGTATTTCGTGACAGGAGTTGCTGCCTCTGAACATTTCAGATCTCGTCACGGTAGCACAAGTTGGTTTTGACGCAATTCCTGCAACGGCTCCTAGCTGTCGGATATGTCACTCCGTCGTATCACTCAAGTCTCAAACCGTACAGGCAACGCCAATCGTCCTTTCTATAAGTTCATTGCGTGCAAGCTTCAACGCTTCGATGACGACCGCGGCAATGATCCGAACAACCTACACCGTCCGTGTAACGTCCCAAGTAAGCAGCAGTTTAGCGGCTCTGACATATATATACCAAGAGGGCTACATTATATATGCAGCTACTCCATGGACGCTATAGCCATTGCTATCGGAATCTTACGACCAAGATGAGATCATGCGCCATAAAGACCGCAATCGGACGGTGCAGATATGCATTCGTCCTGGGCAGATAAGATCAGTATCAATGCTATCCATTCTTAATATTAACTGCCGCTTTTTATCGGATCCCCTCCCCTCTTTTTGTTTTCTAACCGTAAGAAGTTGAATGTAACCCAAGGCTGGTCTCTAAAATCTAGATCGCAGTCCGTTCCATATGAGGAAGTATGTCTTGCGAAGCCATACATCAACGCCTTGGTAAACTCCAAGTTATGTCCCGGTGTAAATTGATATGATTTGAGGTGTTCCTCGCACAGCGCTCAAGTGGCGTTCCAGCCGCAGTATGCCGGACTCAAATGCGGTGAGGTGTCGGATTGGATTCAGCTGCTCTTTGGCTAGAGCCTTGGCTAAACAAATCAAGGGTTGCGATCTCAGGATTGTGTATGTGCACATTCCACCGTTTTTAGAACAGAACCAAAAATAAGGCGACAAATGTGTCCGCTTGCAGCTGTTGAAGGGTCATGTGCACAAGGAATGTTCAGCTGTTTGGAGTATGCCAAGATGGGAAGACCGTATAAGAAAATTATGTCCTGCCGAATCTGTTCTTTTCACAGCAGTTGAATGATCGACGACTGTTGTTGGTATCATTATACATTTACCTAGCCAGCTTTTGACACAGGCGCCTGGAAGAGATATAGTTATTTGGAGTGTTACACGAGGTCCTTGTTCAACGCAACTCGGTCACCATGAAGCCAGAAGCGATTTTCACCGATAAGGGATATGATATGGCGGTAGCGGTTAGACTTGATGCCATAAATCGGCAATTACTAAAGCTGGGTGATTTCGGGGCGATCGACTATACGTAAGAATCTGATTAGAATGAAGAGTGCTCGGCTAATAACTCTATATTGTAGTTTGTATATCGAAGCAGATGTTGACGCTGATGATAATTGGGTGTATTCGCTGAAATCGCGGCCTCAAGAAATTCTCTTAGACCCCACAACCGGAAGACCAAAGAAACCCACCCTTATTGGCGAATATCGACCTTTCTTTGAAGCGACCCCAGGAAATAGCCGAACAATAATGCTGAGTGTGGTGTTCCGGTCTGGACAGATCTGGGCCCCAGGAGCGTCGGGCTCGGGACTCTGCTGGGATGATATTGGCGATCATTTCAAGAATATAATCTCAGTGGATGCTTCGATGGCAATGGTATTTATATAAAATTGTTTGGTAGAGCTTAGCCCTCGCTCGGGACTCTGCCATTCCTTCGACATCACAGGGAAAGTCTTCAATATTTGGCTTGCGGCCTTTGCTGGAACAGGGTAAACCATTCCTGCTATACCATTTAAGTCAAATGCTAATCTGCTGCATCTAGTTCCTTTCTCTTTGGATACGATGCCGGTGTGATGACCGATGTCATCGGCTCGCCCAACTTCCTGAACTACTTCAATACAACCGATACTTCTGCGATCATTGGCGCTATCAATTCATTCAACGGCGGCGCAGTATTCGATTCCCTCATGGGAGGGCTCACAATGGGTCACTTTGGAAGGAAAATGACCATTCAGATCGGCGCGCTTATCTGTCTCAGTAAATGATTGGGGTTGGTTTTATTGTGCAAGTTACCGCATCTGATTTCAATACTAAATGGTACTAATTTACGACTTTGTAGCTCTACCTGGGTAAAATATGGCTCTCATCATGCCGGGGACCATACGCGGTTTCAGTGGAGATTTCCACTTGCTTTCGGGGCTATACCATGCATTGTGGGTCTACAGATGCTATCGGTCGCCATTCTCTCACTTATGGGGCTCTAGATATTAGCAATCCGTATGATTTTCATGCCAGAAAGACCTCGACACTTAATGGCCACCGATCGGGAAGAGGACGCTATGAAAGTGTTAGAGCGGATCAAATGGCATGCATACCCGACGGCTACTGCGTAAGCATGTGATAATTGTAGGGGAATGGGTTGAAAATGAATTCAGTGAAATTAAGCAAACATTAGCAGCCGAGAAATCTGCAACCGTTCCAGGATGGAGAGTCATGTTCACTGTGCCTCAATGGAGAACGAGATTGCTGCATGGCGTCGCTGTTCAAGTGTTCACTCAGCTGAGCGGAACCAGTGAGTCCTGCCGTACTCAGAGATTACTTGGTTTATCACTGACAACCTATCATATGTGATTGGGTACTACCAAATTGTCATGTATAAGGCGCTCGGATTCACAGGGCCGAAATCAATACTTATCTCGGGCATCTACAACTGTGTTGGCCCAGTCTCGAGTAGGCATCTCGAATAAGGTTTATCGTCACTTGCTAATAACTACTCCAGATCTAATCTTTATAGTCTTCTTTCTTGATCGCGTGGGACGCCGCAAGCCGCTCCTTTTAGGAACGATTGGAATCACAATAGCATTAATCTGCGAAGGCACTATCAATAGCCAAAACGTTGGGGGAACGCGCCACAGCCTGTCAATTGCCGGAGTCTTCTTTATCTTTCTCGTCTCGGTCATATTTTCTTTCTCCTTCGGCCCAATATCGTGGGTGTACATAGGAGAGGTCATGCTAATGTAAGCCGTCCCCTTCTATCGTATCTCGCTATTTAATATTTCCCAGGCAAATTCGAGCTCGAGGAAATGCTTTTGCAACTGGGATTGGGAACTGGCTCGTCGCGACATTCTTCGCGCAGGTTTCTCTTATTGCCCTCGGCGAAATTGGCTGGAAATTCTACTCTGTCTTTGTTGTATTCAATGTTGTTGTCATATTCCCAGTCATATTCTTCTTTTTCAAGGAAACGAAGCAGGTGTCTCTTGAGGATATTGATCTCCTGTTTGGCGAGAGAGCCTTAGGTGCCTTGCCGGATGATTTGCACAAAGGAAGGGCTTTTGAAATGCAACCAGGGGCTGTCGAGGCAGAGAGGATCCATGAGGTTGGGACTAAAGTGTAGGGGTATATTGGGAAGGGTCTCGACGCGGTATACAGAAGTGAAAGCTACATACAATAGCCAGCTTTCCGCGTTACGAGACTAGCATCTGATTCAAGTCCAGCTACAGTCTGACTCGCGAATAAAGTGAACGCCATGGGATCCGTCTTTTGCTCTATCGGCATGGAATCCGAATCCTGATCTGAATCCGGGAGCCTCTGGGAAACGACCAGTATCTGCATGGGTGGTACAGCCCTCCCTCGCGTTAGCACCATTACATTAACTGAAACTGAATTACTTAGGTAATTTTGAGACATTAAGCACTGCTCTCTGGACTTCCAGGCGGCATGCTGCAATGCGCGGAAGACGATGACGAGGGCGCCAGGAACCGGGCTTAAGTCATGTCCGAGTCATCTATCTAGATGCCAGTAACCTCGAAGAAACAGTCTTCCCTACCAAGCCGATGGGTGTCCGAATATCCAGAAGATACCACTTCTCTCCGCCTGCACACTTGGCTATGAAGAGCTCTGGAGTCGACATGACGCAAACTTCGTGGCCGCTAACGGTGACAGGGAGAGATATAAGATGGAGACAAGGCCGCAGATGATTCATGTTGTGTGTTATACGAGGACCAATAAGGTGGCCTCTATTGTTGATGTGTTGAAGTTCCGTTAAGCTACAGGTCCGAGGATGTATGATTGGTATGCTAATAAGTACAGGGGAACTAATATATAGGGGATATTGTTTGGCTAGCCGTTTCTAACGCGACTAGGTGGTCTTGTTTGATAGGACCTCGGAAAGACCTTGCCAAGACGGGAGTTCTAGGCCGTGACCGGGTCGAAATAACTGGCCTATAATACAATAGTACTAGCCTATAATACAGTAGTACTAGCCTATAATACAATAGTACTTGGTTCGCCTTCGGAGACCATTTATACCGAACCTTTGTTTTAAATGTGGAACTTGATCGGAGCTCAACTCGTGGTGATGGTGTGCTCCGTATCGTGGTGTATCGTGGTGTGTGGTATAGTGAGGTGCAAAAGTTTGAACCCCCCCCCTGAAAGTAAGTAAGTATCGGAACGCTAGCAAGGGGGGGTGGTCAAACATTTTGCGCCTCACTGTAGATCTTCTCGATTGGGTTGAGTGCTGTCTCTCGGGCTAGAATATATCCGGAAATGCCTCGATATCCAACACTACCTAATCTATATATTTATATATACTTACCCTTCATCTTATCCTAATTATCCGTTTATCTTTATCTCTATTATATTATCGCTTGACGCGACAGCTTTCTCTTCTCTTCTTCTATTCACTATTTCTAGTTCAGAACTTCCCTCCTCCCTTCTAAAAATGCATTCCTCTTCTATCCTTCTTGTCGGAGCGCTGGCCGCTCAAGCAATGTGCCTTACCGTCACGCCCTATGGTACCATCGTCCGACGATATACTGTTAGTCGCTTACTTGCGAATATTACTATAGAGAATGGAATTAACTTTTACAGGCCCCATTGGTAGTTATGGCTATGCCAGCTATCGGTATGCCTTTGTTTGGCAGCGTTGAGAGTAGAGAGGTAAGCTACTACCAAGATGCAGTAATACGTTGAATATCCGCTAATATAGTGTAGCCAGTGCCAGTTACCAACAGCAACACCAACATCAACGACGGAGACTCTAGTATTAGCATCACCAAGAGCAATGACCCAAACGCCGTCAATACCAACATTAACAACGGAAAGGTTAACGCCGGCAATACTGGGAACGCCAACAACGGAAAGGCTAACGCCAACAAAGGAAAGGCTAACGCTGGCAATACTGGGAACGCTAACAACGGCGTCACAAACAGCAACACCAACATCAACGACGGAAACTCTAGCACTAGTATCACTAAGAGCAATGACCCAAACGCCGTCAATACCAACGTTAACAACGGAAAAGTCAACTAGATCCTTGGTCGCAGCATAGGAGCGTTGTATGCGACTTCGCAACAAAGTATCGGGGTACAAGGAGGTGGGGGTATAGACAAGTAGCCTAGTTGTGATAAATATACTCTCCAAAACCTACGACGGAGCCAAACGAAATTAAAGAGGCGTTGTCCCTACATAGGTCGCGATATCAACTCTCCTTGCTCTCTATTCTTGTCCTGCTTACCTGCTTTTTTAATCAGTCCTACCCGTTCAACCCATACTTCTATTCTCACGGTTTGTATTCTCTCTATGTTACTTCCGATCTCTTGATGCTTTAATTTGATCATTCAGAATTGCAGGCATACTGTACTTGACCAGGCCGACTCATGTCGACCAAAATCGCCCCTCCGGTCGGATTGGCCCAGCTTCTAAGCTCCAAAAAACATAGTGACCTGAAACTTGTATGTCAGGTGCAGGAGAGCAATGCCTAATGTCTTAGAAATTGATAGGGGTAAAGTGCCGCGGAGGAAATTAGTTCGTGTTGTCAATTTACTAGACGTTGTCAATTTACTGGTTGTTGTCAATTTACTAGACGTTGTCAATATACTGATTGTCAATTTACTGGGCCTCGACAAACAGCTGCAGTTGCGCCTCAAAGATCTCATTGTCCACTCTGAGATTTGTGTTCCCAGGTCCGAATCTATTGGAAGCAGGACCAAGGACGGATCTAAATCCTCTTCTTAATATCTTTAGCTATTGTTATAGCTGCTGACTGTGGATGATGAGTATGTAGGTGTCTGAGGAGGAAATAAAGTCTGCTATAATATGAGCCCTGTAGAAGACCGCCTTTGTGCAATTGTCATTTGGCGGTACTGGCTCTATGGAGCATGGTGCTTGCTGTTGTATAACACATGCGAATTACGAAGAGAATATAAGAACGCGCCTCCGGGCTACAATATCACGTTGGGGGTTGTACGGAATCAATTAGTTTCAAGGAGCAAAGTTAGTCGGTTGGTAGTTGATACATTTAATAGCTATCTACCTATGATCTCGACAAGGTCGAATTCAAGTGTTTGTAGCGCAGTCAACTCGTGACACGGTCGAGGCGCAGATTCAGAGACACTTGGGCATATTTTAAGCCCTTGGCCTGCTCGAATGCTTCAGCGATTATTTGCTTTGCAAAAAGTCATCTCGTCTTTGACGTAGATGATTATCCTGAGTCAGGTGTGGTCTCCGAGCCCATTTTCTGGGTCTTTCGTCCTATCAAGCCCGATTATTGGGTCTCGATGTATCGACTACGGCCACAATCCGAAAAGATCTTCCCCGGCTTCTATCCTGGCTTGTAGCTCCCTCATAGTTGAATCTACAGCCGCCATGGGGATAATGCAGCGGTTCCACCATCTGGCTTCGTCGCTATTCCACAGGTGCTTAAGTATAAGCTCTGGCCTGAGGAATTCACGTGCAAGTATATACGTGACATTGTCTGCGAGTGGCTCTTTTGAGCTACGCTCGAGCAGGTTAATATCAACCAAGTGTATAAACTTGTTGTCTACGTTTGCGATCAGCACCCATTTTGTCTCTTCATTTGAGACGAGGTAGCAGCCGGATGTAAAGGTCACGTCATCTTGGTAAGACGCGGCCAGCTGAGCTTCCCATAGTCCTACGTTCAAGGTTACCAAGGGTAAGCATTTGCAGAAGAAGTCGGTTTCGGACTGTATCCGAGCCTTGAAGGACTCCGCAACTCGATTTTGGTCCGTGTCAATAGCTTGCCAAATTCTTGGGCATCTTGCTAGAATGATCAGGTTGAGTTGTATCATTCCCATCAGGTACATAACGCCCCGGGGAGAGGAGATTGGTGCTTGATCAAGGTACTTGATCACACATCTCGCCGCCAAGATGATATCAAAGATGTCGCAGGATACCACTAGCATTTTTACTACATGCGATAGTAACATGCACGGAATCCAAGTCTCATGGAACTCATCTGGACGGCCAATTACCGTGTATAGGCGTGCGAGATTGGCAAATGCTGTTGATTTAGAGTAATCGTTTTTGTAATTACTATCATCTTCAACAGCAACATCCCAGACCTGATGATCGAGATGTATGTTTAAAATCTCGATTTGTTGGCCGGTCCAGCTCATCATGTGGCCAGCAATCTCGTTGGCTGCCACATCGTCAACCTCGGTGACACCGGCTCTGATTAGGAACCGCATCTGCCGACGAGCATTTTGCTCGTTGGTAGTCGATCTACGCGTTTCATTTGAAACGGCCAATCGGAGAGTCACGATCTCGGCATCATTTTGACGCATCTGCTTTTTTGCAGATTGCAGTTCTTTCTCTACAGCATCAGAGGTTACTTTTTGCTCCGAGACGTTTGTCTCGAGAGCCTTGATATCCCTCGCAGCTGTACTTAGCTTAGAATCCTTTTCATGGATCTGATGCTGTGCAGATTCCAAACGGGCGGCAGTTTCTTCCGACTTGCGCGTTTCTTCTGCGACGCGGGTCTCGAGAGCCCGGATCTTCTCGGTAGCTATATTTAGCTGAGAATCCTGCTGCGGAATAATCTGCTGTGCGGCATTTAGCCGTGCAGTTGCAGACGCATACTCGGACCGTAGCGTACTAAGCTGGATTCCAAGTTGCGAGTTGTTTCTGACTGCCATGTCCAATGCCGCATGCTCATTCGCGAGGAGCAGTTCAAGCGATTCTTTGAGCTTGGTAGCTTCATTTCGCTCGAGAACTCTAGCAACTTTGATTTTCTCTAAAGTGGCAGAGTGTAATTGCTTCGTCTCATCGAGATCTGTCTGGAGCTGATTGGATCTTGCAGTCTCGTACTTGAGATTGACCTGGAGATAACTGGCTTTGGCAGTCTCATCCTTGATCTTTGACCATGCTCTATCGAGATCCGTCTGGAGTCGTATAGACTTTGCAGACTCATCATCGAGAGCGGTCTGGAGTTGACTGGATCTTGCAGTCTCGTCCTTGAGATCGGCGTGGAGATGACTGGCTTTGGCAGTCTCATCCTTGATCTTTGACCATGCTCTATCGAGATCCGTCTGGAGTCGTATAGACTTTGCAGATTCATCATCGAGAGCGGTCTGGAGTTGACTGGATCTTGCAATCTCGTCCTTGAGATCGGCGTGGAGATGACTGGCTTTGGCAGTCTCATCCTTGAGATCCTTTTTGAGTTGACTGATTTGTTCAGTCATCTCGTTTAACTCATTCCGGAGCTTACTGGCTTCGGCAGTCTTTTCAGCAAGGTTGAGCTTCTCTTGTTCAAGACTTTCGTTGAGTTTCTCTGTCTTGGCCTTGAATCGACGGACTTCTGCATCCCTTGTGGATTGCGCCGTTTCCAACTGCTCGTTGACAGTCGTCAGCTCAATTTTAAGAGACTCAACTTCCCGCTCTCGTTCAGCCGTAACCGTCTTCAGTCTGTCATGATGCATCCGCTCTTGCTCCAGAGAAGTCTTTGCCTTCTCGAGCTTTTCCAGATGATCCTTTTTGATTTTCTCAAATGCAGTTCGGTACTCGCTCTTGAGATTCTGCACTTGGTTCCGAAGAGTTTCCTTTTCTCGGTCTGCCTTGGAGATCAACCCATCTAACGCTTTGTTGCTGGCGAGTAGTTCATTAACTTCGCTCTGCTTCTTTTTCATAGCTTGCTTATGAACATCGCGCTCGGCCATCAGGGAGTTAGAGTCGTTGCGGTGCTTATCCCGTTCATCTCGCATCTTGACCAACTCAGCTGAAAACTCGTCGTTCTCGCTTCTTAATCGGCTGAGCTCGTTCCCAGTCTCTGTGCGTCGTATCTGGCTCTGGTTCTGGAAGTTGGCGCACTTTTCTTGCAACCTGTCCACTTCCTGCTGCAGATGTTCGACCTCCACGTTGAACAGCATGTTTCGGACCTTGTCGTCCAAACCCCTTGCTGGGTCGAGGCTCTTGTGGGACGAGACAACGATTGCGAGAGCATCTTCGACAAGCTCTCGAGGTGGGTTGCTGTCTGGATTGACTCTTTTCTGGTAGGGAGTGACTTTGTCCAGCTCTATTTGTGCCTGAGCTAGATTGTTTTGCAATTTGCTCATCTTCTGGGACATCTTTTGACGCCATATATCCGCATGGGACTTTCTATCGGCAGCTGCTCTAAGCCGGTCGAAGTCGTTCGTGACGATATCCTTGGAGTCTAATAATTCCTTCGATATTGCCAGGAGGTCGTGATTGCATTCCTCGAACGCTGCAACGCTTGCTTCGTAATTCGACGTCGCATCGCCGATCTTTCTTTTCGCGACTTTGCGCGTCGGTGTCTCTAAGACAATACTGTCGAAATCAGAAATTGGATCGTCCGACATTGTAATTGTAAAACGATAGGTTTCTTGAATAGTATCGTTATGGTGTGGTGTGACGAGGATGGGAATCTATCTCGCGATGGGTTATGGGGTTATCATCCGAAGTTTCGCGCGGTCGAGTCACATGATCACAGCACCACGTCCGAATTAGGAGAGCTGCAGGTCTCGTCGCCCACGTAACTTCTCGCGAGACGCGTCCTTTGTTCTTCAGCATCGAATTGACCCTGAATCTATTTTGAGTATACTACATACAAAATGGAACGCAGAGAAGATGTACGACAACGGCTCGACCAATTGGTCAGTGAGCAGCATGATGAAGCTCGAGACTTGTGCGAGCGATTGCTTGCGCGACTCAGAGATGAAAACATCGGAAGCATCCTGGCTTCGTTGGTCTTGCAGGAAGGCATTCTGAAGCTGCTAGAGCAGCTCAGTGTGTTGGACGGCTTGATCATCGACATCAAGGCGATCAAAGCAGAAATCCATCAGGATTCAAGTGCGCTGAAAGCGCAGGTCTTGAAAGCCGAGCAGGACTCAAATGCTCTAAGAGCACAAGTCTTGACAATCGAGCAGGCCTTGACAAAGATCGGAGAGTTGACAGCAGCATTGCGCAATGAAGAGCAAAATGCAAAGACAGCGAAAGAGGACTTGGTAAGTAAAGTCCGTACCGCTGAAGAGCTGAGAGATGTGCAACAGAAAAAATATGAACTTGCACATCAAGACCTCCAAGCCACCACAAGCCAGAACACGGCGCTGGAAGCAAAGGTGAATCGACTGAAAGAATCGATCACAAATGAGGAAAAGCACGTCTATACATATAGACTTCAAGCAGAATCCTCCAGAGCAGAAGCTGCCGAGTACAAAAGCGCCTGGCAGCGGACGGATAATGAGGCAAGGGATCTTAGAAGTGAAAACGATAAGATAAAAGCCCAAGTCATCAGAATCAATGAGCAGCTCGACGATGTTAAAAAGCAAGTCGAACATCTCACAGAGGAAATCCTGAAAGCGCAAGAGCTGCGCGAGTCGGATGCTGCCAAAGCCAGCACCGAGCTCAAGCAAGCCCAGGAAAAACATGAGCAGGCTCTGCAGAAGGAGCAAGAGCTGCGAGAGTCCGCTGTTGCAAGATCCAACGCTGAACTCAAGAACGCACAAGAAGCTCGTGAGCGGACAAAGTCAGCTGTTGCAAGATCCAACGCTGAGCTTAAGAGCACGCATGAGCAGATCCTGCAGAAAGAGCAAAAGATGCGTGAGTCCGCTGTTGCAAGATCCAACGCTGAACTCAAGAACGCACAAGAAGCTCNGAGCACGCATGAGCAGATCCTGCAGAAAGAGCAAAAGATGCGTGAGTCCGCTGTTGCAAGATCCAACGCTGAACTCAAGAACGCACAAGAAGCTCAGAGGCGGGCAGAGTCCGCTGTTGCAAAATCCAACGCGGAACTCGAGCAGGTGCAAGCAGCTCATAAGCAAGCCATGCAAGAGTTAGAGTCGGAAGTTGCAAAATCCAACACCGAACTCGAGCATAAACAAAATGCGCTGGCACAAGCCCTGCAGAATGCAAAAGAGCTACAGTCAGATGTTGCCAAAGCGAGCAGCGATCTCAAGAAAGCGCAACATGTGCACAAGAATCAGCTCAATCAAGAGCAGGCAAACGTGGCGGTCCTCCAAAAGAAATTGGAGCAGGCATGCCATGCGCATCCAGCGGACGTTGAGATGCCAATGAGAGCAATGCTGCCACCACCGACGCCAGGTGCCCCCCAAAAAATGACTCCAACCAGTCAAATGGCGAGCGCCAATACAGCGCAGAAGAAACGCAGAATCGACTCCGTGGACACTGAAACTCCAGAGACCCCCACACCCGCAGATCGTGGGAAGAAGGAGATGCAGCGATTTGCAAGATTCATCGAGTACTTCACACCAATTAAGGGATGTGATCTCGCCATCTTGCGTGTCTGGCTCACCATGACCTACAACGGCATGGATGAGAAATCAGCGCCTAATTTTAGAGAGTACAGAAAGAGCAAGACTCCAGAAAGGCTACACGAATGGAAGTGCCTTTTTAGAGTCCTTTCCCGGGGTCCATATTATCCTGGGGAACCCCTAGGTGATGGACCATGCCCGACCTGTATCGACTCCGTCTGCCTCCAAGTTAGGCGGGAGGAAAACGATATGCTGGTTCGATGCATGGGTGGTACAGAACCGCCCCCCACCACGCCATCAGAAAGTGGCAAGGGAAAGGCTACTGAGTCAGCCAGCCGATGAGCAAAGCTCTGGGTAAATGGCGCCCTGCTCTGCCTGGAATCACTGGGTTCGAGTCTGACAATTAATGTCACGGACTTGTGATGGAGATGAATCGTGGTAGAGATCACACCAAATGAAATTCAATCTCCCTCCTTGAGATATTGTATTTGAAATGTGACAGAACAAGTAGTAATAATGTAATCGCCATGAGCACCGCTTGGTATAGGTATGTTTCATGCATGAATTCGAGTAATGCAATCTCCTCCCTCCTTGAATATTGTATTTGAAACGTGACAGAACAAGTAGTGATAATGTAATCGCCATAAGAACCGCTTGGTAAATGTTTCATGCCTGAATTCGCGCGTTGTGTAGAGTCGATTCGATGGACGTTTGCTGCAGTAGGTTGACATTCGTGTTTCGTATCTGTGTATTACAGGATCAGCGGGAATTAATAATCGGATGGCAGGAGAGTGGTGGACCCTACGAACGATACTGGATCTATACCGATTCCAAGGGACTGAGTCGGGGGTGTGAAGATACGTTGAGATTTGTCGAGTCTGCCCCTTGCGCTACTGCAGTCGCATCGCACCTTACGTAATAAGCGCTGCACTGAACTTTACTTCAACGTCGTTCCAAATACTTTACGAATACCAAACAGGTCAGACAGAATTACGGACATTATCACATTATCACGCATTAAAACGGGAGTATTCGCGCTAAATTCTTTTCATTTGCACGATCTAACAAGAGGACAGTGCCCGCCGAGAAGTAGGACGCCTTATGCGACCTACTCCTGGCTCTGTGGCCTGGCTGCTGGAGGCTACATTGGATGGGCCAGCTTTTTTGCTGTCTATTTCCTTCCTGATGACCTGATCATCGGTCTGCACCTTGCCCTCGTTCTTCGAGGATGGCTGGGTGATTTTAACAGACTTGATCATACCAGTGGCTGTGCCTTGGATCTTGCCGGCATTCTCACGCTGCTCTATAAAACAATAAAACAGGATCCGTCGAGAAGTACGACGCCTTATGCGACCTACTTCTTCTTCTCTGGCTTTGTAGCCTGGGTGCTGGAGGCTGCATTGGATGGGCCAGCCTTTTTGCTGTCTATGCCCTCCTTCTTGATGGCCTGGTCAGCGGTCTGCACCTTGCCCTCGTTCTTCGAGGATGGCTCGGTGATTTTGAGAGACTTGGTCTTTCCAGTGGCTGTGCCTTCGATTTTGCTGGCCCTCTTACGCTGCTCTATCAGAGCCTCATAAGTCTTGTCATCGGACTCCATAAAGCTCTGAGAATTCAGGAGGACGTCTATCTCCTCGTCGGTGAACCCCAACGCGAGCATCTTGGTTCTCCTCGAGTCCATAGCTTTCCTGAGGATCTGAGCCTGGGTCATGGAGGCGTGAAGCTTCTTGGCTTCGACTTCGACGACGAACGAGCAGATGCCTATAAGCTTTTCTCTGCAGGCTCGATTGCTTTCGTCCTCCTCATGACGGGCCTCTTCATCCATCTCATACCAGTCTCTGGTTTGAGATTTCAGCTTGGCAGCCTCGCCTTCGCGCCGCCGCTGGGTCTCCTCTGGAGTTTCGTTGCGACCAAGGGCTTCTTCGGCCTTTCGGGCCTCCTTGACCACTTCGTCCAGCTTCTTCTGGGCGGAATCTAGCAGCTTGGTCTGCTTTCTCGCTTGCTGGCTTTCTTTGGTCTCCTCCACCTTAACCTGCCGCATAAGGTCCCCAGGGGAAGGGTTCTTGTGTAGTATGGCTGGTTTCGTGGCAGCCCCTGGCTCGCGTTGCCCGAATTTCGGGTGGTAATCATAGAGAACCCCCTTGTAATCGGGCACCGGATGGCCAACGTGTTTACCCTTACCCTTATTGGGCTCGGGGCGTGGCCCTCTTGGATACGGATATCTCCGGGTCACCTTGACTGACCTCTTGTCGGCATCCTCTTTGTTACGTCGAGCCATCCAATCCGAGACGAAGAAGTCGAACTCCTCGGCCTGATCTGGACAATCATTTCGGCGAGTGCGCACCCAATCCTTCAGGATGTTGTGCACGGTATCGAGCTCCTTTTTAACGCCCTCTGTCATGGCATGTTTGAATCTAGGCTCGGCCCAGACGCACACTGCTGTCTGGTCATCATCCAGGTAATGTGAGCAGAGATTCACATTGAACATAGACTGGACTTGTTCTAGATTGCGTCCGTCCTTTCCGATGAAGGCAAGACGGCCATACTTAGCAGTTGTAACTGCGCTGAACCGAGGCATATTGTTAGCCATTGGCAATGCTAGCCTTACGCCCTTGAACGGATTTCTGGGACCACGAGGCTGTGGACCCACGGTCATCCATTCTTCGCCTGACGCATCGACTTCGGGAGCCACAGGTGCTGGTCGTTGCAGCGCCTGACTATACGACGATGATGCCCCTTCGTTGGCGGTCGAATCATGCCCTGCGATATCCGTGGACTTGATCAATCTGCCATATCCGAGACGGGGCTTCTTCTCACCACTAGCAAGAGCACTTCGCTCGACCTCCTTGGGCTGGGCAGCGTGAGCATGTCGCTCGGCTGCTCCCTTGGGCGGGGCGGCGTGAGCATGTCGCTCGGCGGCTCCCTTGGGTTGGGTAGCGTGAGCATGTCGCTCGGCTGATCCCTTGGGTTTGGGGCGGATCTCAAGAGCATGTCGCTCGGCCTCTATAGGGCGGATCACAGGAGCATGTCGCTCGGCCTCCTTGGGTTGGGTAGCGTGGGCATGTCGCTCGGCTTCCCTCGTCTCGATGCCAGTCTTGGCGGCATTCTGAGCCTGCGCTCTCGCGGCTGATTCTTCGTTTGCTTTCGCAATCCAGCTCGGAGGCGCGTCGGCAGGGTCCTCTACTATGTGCCGGCGATTATCTTCAATCTGCACAGGCGTCATAGGGCTAGGCTCTGGACACCCGAATGATTCGACCGTCGCATCGTCTCCGACTATCCATCCATCGTCAGCAGGTATCAGATCGCGCCAACAACTCGAACTTACAGTACTCGCGGTAGATCTTGTACTCGGCGTTCCACTGTGCCTGGTACACCTGATCTCCGTACTTCGTCTTCATCTCCTCGTAATAACGGCAATAGCGCGTGAAGAAGCGCATCTGCTCTTCTTCAGTGGCAAAATGCCCTTGCTCGATCATGTCCTCGAACATGTCGTCGATTCGAGGCTCGTACTTGAACGGCCGAGCCGCTGGTATCAACATGGGTGGCATGTTGGTGTCGTTGGCGCGTTGTTGGTAGAACCTGGATAGCTTCAAAGATGAGAAGGGGGGGGAGGAGTATTATGGGCGCGCCTCTGGACCACAACATCACGTGAGAGCTTGGCGAGTCAACGGCGGTGAACGCAGGTGGGATTTACTATGTCACGTTGCCATATTGCATTGTCACTGGCATGGTCACAGTACACGCTGTAGTGATGTGAAGTCCTGATTAATTTGATGGTGCATTGAACAACCCCTAAGATACCTTGCTTCCTTTGCCCCCAGTTTTGAGAGTATCTGCCTCCTTGGCCTTGGTGCCAGACGATCTATTCCCGGTCGCAGATGTCTCTTCTTCGGCGTCCATCTGTTTACGAACGTTTTCGATATGGAGAGCCGTCATTGGAGGGGGCTCTGGGCAGCCAAAGGTCTCGACTGAAGCACTGCTACCAGCTATTCATCGTCCGTCAGCAAATGTCCCGGAGGTATCGCACTCAAGAGATCATCGTACAATACTCAATGCAAATTTTGAATTCGGCATTCCACTGTGCCTGGAATATTTGCTCTCCATACTTCTTTTCCATCTCGTCGATACACTCATCGTATCGACTGTTGAAAAGCGTCTCTTCGTCTTTATCGATGAAGCGCCCACGGCTCTTCATATCGTGGAACATCTCGTTGATGCGATCCGCATAGTAAAATGCCTTTCTCTTGTAGCCCCAAGGACTATCTGGGGGGATGTACTGTGGTGGTGCCATGTTGACACGCTTGCTCTGGCTTTGATTGTGCTGTTGTGTTGCTGTGGTCGTGGTTGTAGTTGTTGTTCTACATGGAAGCTGAGGTCTCGAAGATGAGATGGGATACGCCGCGACCCTGGACCATAACATACATCACGTGGATTGCTGGACGAGGCTACGGCGGCGATTGATACCTACGGATATATGCTTACAGGCAGACATATTGCTATCATGTGGTCACATTCACTACGGTGCGCAGTTGCATATATTATGGCCAGTTGATGCGTTTAAGAGTTATTACCAGCGGCTCGGTTGTTCAAGTACAAGCCTCGAATCGACGAGATGTTCGAGGACAAGGGCGTTTTGCCACCGAAGAAGACCAGATGCGCTTCTTCACGCGCTATTACCGTTTTTATGAACGCGCTTCTGGGTGACAACAACATCCCGTGAGAGATATTAAGGCGTCTCATCAGTGAATGGGCAGTATCACATAGAGCTTTGACAAGGCGATTGGCCTTGACAGCATCTTGGCTTTGACAACAGCCCGATCAATTGATAACCCATATGCTCTACCTCCTTTACTATCACTTTCGACAAGGAGGCGTGAGCATGTCGCTCGGCTACTGTTAATGTCTTCAAACGTTTCTTCGATGCGAGGCTCATAGAATAGCTTAGTCGTATAGTCAAGTGGCACGAACAGTGCTGGTGCCATCTTCCTGGGCTTGTGGTGGTTGTTATAGTGTAGAGCCTGGGAGACTGAAAGATGAGACGTATACTGTACGAACACATCTCCAGACCACAACATCGTGTGGGTAGACTAACAAGTCCATGGCGGTTGTTGTGGTTCGATTCCATTGGTATTGCGGTTTTTCCGTAGCTATTTTGCTATCTCGTGGAGTTGGTCACATTGGCTGCAATGCACGGTCTCATAGCTACGTTGATTCGTTTGATAGCTGTCTAACGTGTTACTTTGTAAGGATCTCGACAATCTCGAAAGATTAACTAGTTGCAATGGAATCAGCTGGTATACCTTCATGGCTCGCCACTTATGTGGTCGAATTGCGAAGCAAGGGGTCAGGGTTCAAGTTCATAGTTCGCCGCTGCGGTCGAATCCCAAGGAGAAGGTTCATGCCTCGCCGCTTATGCGGTCAAACTACGGGAGAAGGAGCTGATCTATCTGAAGCCTTTGGCTCCAGAGTGCCATGCCGCTCCTTGGCAGACCTCCTCGAGAATCCCGAATGCTCAAGCAATCATCTCGTCTTTTTGACGTAGATGGGTATCTGTCAATTCGCTGCTTGTTCAGTCGAATTGAAATTGCGAGCAAAGCAAGAAGTCGAGGAGGCAGCAAGTTTACAGTTCGCCTCTTATTCGGTCGAACTACATGGCAGGGGGCAGATACAAGGACTTATCTTATCGCCTTGGGGGATCATGCATCCTTGATTCCCTTGGCCAAATCTTCCTTCTCCTTGACTTCTTTCAGCCACTCTATAGTCTTGAGCCTAAAGTCGAGCTGTGCTTTCTGCTCTGCCATGGTTTCCACCATCTCCGCAATATCCTTATAGATATTCTCCGTATCTTCGTCGAGCTGTTTGGTCGCTTTTCTCATCGCTAAGCTCATGTTTTCCTTGCGCTCTCGCATGATTTCAATGCGTTCGACGTTCTCGTCCCTATCCTTCTTGGGATCATAGCTCTGCATCTCCTTTATGGATTTAAGCAGCTCCATTCGCAACTTTACCTGGGTCTCAGAAGCTTCCAGATCATCCGTGATGTTTGTGCTCTCGACAAACGCCTGCAGTTGCGCCTCAAAGATTTCATTGTCCTCTCTAAGGTTTGTGTTCCCAGGTTGTATCGGATTCAGTCCGCCATATTCGACCATTGATGAGGCTAACTCCGTGACAAGCGTCTCTGCAAGGGGAAGGTGATCATGTCTCCAGACCTTCAAAATCGGCACCGAAATATGCTCGACTTCAACTTTCATTACTGCAAGACACTTGATTGTAAGTGCCCAGAGTTGTGGGGTGTTCCTCATTCCGCAGGCTGGGCTGTATTGGCCCATTCTTGACGCTAGGTTCTGAGAGCAGCCCACTTGAGTAGGCGACTGTAGTTGCGATATTTCTCCACTTCGATCAAGATCATGGCAGATCCTATTTAATAGCAATCTGCAAAATCTGAGATCCTGGTTTCTTCTCTGCTGGGTGAAGGCTCTCTTGCCGGATCTAGTCATCTCTCGGAAGTAGTCCACGCTTTTGTTCGAATAAGCTTGCTCAATTCTGGCCGCTTCGTCTGCGTTATTCTTCATGTCCGAGGTGGAATTCTCATCGATAACGCAACCTTGGCCCTCGAGATACCTGGTCCCTGTTAGCGCTGTGTCACGTATATCATAGGTTGATAACGTACCGGTTCATCATTTGGTATAGATCATACCACTGATTCGAGTTGAGCCCCTTGCCAGTTCCCTTTACCACGAATGTGTTCAAGTAAACACCGGGGCATCCGTCTTTTACCATGAACAGACGGGCGAATTCCGGATCTGTCGCGTAGCGATGTCCAATCGTGCCCTCGATCATGGCCTCAACTATCGGCTTTGGGATGCTTCTTAGCAGTGATGTTGCCTGCTTTTCGCCCTCGTAGTCTTCGATCATACGGTCGGTAGATTTCTTTACTGTGTCATTATCAGCATGCATTCGTATCGCGTTTTCTTGCAAGGCAAGTCGTGGCCCATTAAATATACTTACCTCGAGGAGTATCGTAGTCGACCTCCCTCTTGAGCAATTCATCGTTCGTCTCCACCATAAGGCGCATGACCTCGGCCATTAAGTCCTCGGTTGTTGACCCATCGCAGCGGAGGATGTCAAGCATTCTCCACTGCCTCCTTGTCCAGCAGGGCATCTCCGGAGTTCGCTCCACCCTGTATTTTTTAGATGCAATGAGAGACATCGTGATGGTTGTGATGGCTGTGATGGCTCTATGAATTTGTGATGTTGGAGTTGGAATGGGTATGTCGCGGGATGAGTTGATTGGCGCGCTGAAAATAAGGGGAGTGAGTCACGTGATATCAACACGGTAAGCGAAGCGCGCTCGACGCCTTTTGGATATCTTGTCGCGACCTGCAACAACTCCATCTTCTTCCCTCATACACCCACACACACGCATCCGACTGCCACTTACAATGGCTAACGATGCTCCGAACCCAGTCACTACTCTCGTAGTGTATGCTCCAGACTTCGAGGTCATGCTAGATCCTATCGCCTCTGACTACTCACCCGAATCTGAAATGATGGCCGAGCGACATGCTCACGCCTCTTCTGAGCGGATGGCCGAGCGACATGCTCACGCCCCCTCCACATCCGAGTCGATGGCCGAGCGACATGCTCACGCCTCCTCCACATCCGAGTCGATGGCCGAGCGANCCTCCACATCCGAGTCGATGGCCGAGCGACATGCTCACGCCTCCTCCACATCCGAGTCGATGGCCGAGCGAGATGCTCACGCCTCGTCTTCAGTTGCGCCCGGAAAGAAGAAGCGTGTCCACCGAGTTCGAGGACCTCGGGTCTCCTTTCCAAAGGCCCGAGGTGGTCCGGCTAGTGTCTCTTTTCCGAAGACACGAGGTGGTGAGCAAAAGAGCTCAACCTCCGGCCCCTCGATTGTTAAACCCACATCTGCTACGATGCAAGATGCGGTAGCTGACGAGGACGCAATGGATACCAGCTCCGATACCGCCAATGACCTCGATATGCGGGAGTTGCAGACAGCCCTCCCAAGAGGCAAGACCGCGGCACCGGCCCCAGTGGCTATCCAAGCAGAAGCTGGTCAACCTGAAGAGCCCCCACGGGAACAAGACCCCGACGACGATCAAGAAAACGCCGGGCAACCAGAAGAGGACCCAGTTGTCCCAGCCAGATACAGAGTCACATGCGGTAATTGCAGCCAAGAAGGCCATGCCGTCAAGACCTGCAATGGACCACTAGATGAGTACGGGTTTATAAACGCCTGTCCCTGGTGCAATTCTGGTGAACACAATGCTGCGACTTGCATGAAGCAAGGACGCACCATAAATGAAGCCAGAGAAATGTTTGTTGTAAAACGTTTCAACAAGGCGCCAATCCGGTGTCCATGGGACCTCTGGGACCTGAATTTTGACGCGTGGATGAAACATCCTCAATGCCCACAAAGCGGCAAGTTTGCGCTGGAAAGATTCAATGCGCATGGCATCCAGCGGCATGGAGAGTTTTGCCGTGATCCCAAATGGCAAGAATTTAATCCATTGTCAGAGGCTGCCCAAACCCCAGCAGGGTGGAAGGCCAAATTCGGAAACATCTTCACCAGGGGCGAAGATGAACCAGGTCTCCCTTTGGAAATGCTCCATGCGTCAATCCCTAGGGAGATGCACAACGAGGCCCATAGAACAGCCAAGGGAGTTGACATAACCAGACCCAAAACCGACACCACCGCCCGCGTCACCAAAGGTCGGCCGAAGCCATCTCAGTCTATGCAAACGCATACACTGGCCCAGAAATACCAGCTCCCAAAGTCCGTCGCCAAGTTAGTTGGTGAAAAGGGCCTCGAGGAAGCAAGTGCATTTGCATCCTTCCTTACTGGTATGGCAGTGTTCGAGAGGACATTCTCCGACAAGCCCATCTCCGATAGTACCCAACAACGGGACAACAGGGACGGACCACCTCGCCAGAACAATCACCGATCCCGAGATAGAAGCGCCTCACCCGGTCATGGCAATGGCCGACGTCGTGGCAGAGACTACAGGGACAGATCACCTCGCCGGGACAATGACCGACCTCGAGACAGACGCCCCTCGCCCGACCGTGGCAATGACCGAGGTCGTGGCAGAAGATGGCGACGAGGACGAGGCAGAGGCGGCAGAAACGATAACAATCGTGACGCCCCAAACAGAGATGCCCCAAATAGGGGTCAAGAGGGAGGCAACGGGGGTGGTGACCATCAATAAATGGCCCACAGTGCGATCAAGAGCGTGTCCCTGTCTTCATTTTTGGTACTAGATATATCAATATGAACGAGTCGCAGCCCTAAACGTTTATGAATTGTTACCGGTGACGTGCGACTTGTGACCTTCCTACTAACTGCGTCCAGCAGTCTCAAATGATAGACTGCCATATGACCTTATCACTTGGACCGCAATTTATTGCTGGCTTGAATCGGATTTTTACTACGGAGCAGTGTTTGAAGACTTTGGTTGGAACGGCTAGTTTGTGACTGGGCACGTTAAGCAATGGATCTCGTCAAGACAAGCCTGGATGACCGGCTTGGAAACAATCCTGTAACCTCTCCTCTTATTCGCGAGTATTGAGCTACTTCACGGGTAAGTCCAGTTGCCAGATTTGGTTTATAGCGGCCCTACGACCATGTTGACAAGTCCGCTACGCGTCCGATTCCCCCCGCCCAAATATGAATTATTCCACATCGTCTACAACTTTGAGAAAGCATTCGACCTCTATCGCCTGTCAGGTTATGTTATCGCATAGCTCCATATAACACTCATCTTTAGCCACACTAAATCAGTAGTTTAAATTAATTTACGAACACAACAACTTCCGATAGTAAAGTTTACGAGACACCGGCGCGGAAAGCCGCCAGAAGGAACATATTCAATACGACGTCGAATTATGAAGCAAGCGTTGAACTGGCTTGAAACTGGATCCTGGCTAATCACATAGGTAGTTTAGAATAAACCACTCGATAATTAATCACTGTAGGCATGTAGATAAATATGGCGGCTCGATCGTTTGTATTGATCTGCTAGACTGCTGCTACTTCGGCCAAAGCTGCATTTACTTGCCAAATCGGGCCCTGCAAGCTTTTATGCCACCAGCCATTCTCTATCGTCGAGCTTCTTGCGAGGCGGCTTCAGCTCGCAGACCTGACTTGCGACGATGGAACTTGGCGCCCGGACAAAGAAGAAGAACTCGTTCGGCGTCGGTACTCGACACTCGAGGACGTGTCTGACGCGAGGTTGCCACTTGTGTGATCAACCGGAGTCTCTTGGGGCTCACTGGCGTCAGCGTGCTGGTAGTCCATGCTCGAGGGTCTGTTTGCCACGAGGTTGTCACTTGTGTGATCAACCGGAGTATCTTCAGAGTCGCTGGCCTCGGCGCGCTCTTGGTTCCGCGCTCTGATAGCTTTGCGTCTGCAGTTCAGCACCCACTGTTTCTTCAGTTCAAGGACCTTGGCTTTGTGTCCGATTGTGCCGGCTTTGACTCGGCCATGGGGAGTCTTGAGATTTGCTCTTTCCAGGGCCACCTCTATATCTGCCAGTCGGGGGCGTTGCTTTGCAGCAAACTCATCCCACGCGTCGCATATAGAGTCGACATCGCGCTTGGTGATTGCATTGCTTTTATTCAATGCAGCCTGCTTTCCCCGCGCTGCGTTGTGGGAATATACGCTCTCTTTGATGCCTTTGGCAAAATCGTAATACTTCGGCTTGTCAACCCCGAAATACTGATTTAATGTGTTGCTCATGATCGGCATAAAGTCCTCGTCGAGCTCGGCATTGGCGCCAAATGCCTTTTTGACATTCTCGTCAAATAGCGCAATAAATTCTTTATTGCGCTCGGAGGGGAAGGCAGATTTGCTTGGTTTTGTTCCTCCTCGACGATAGTATAACGCCAACTGCAAGCAGTAGGCCAAGAACTCTGGTTGGCGTTTGAAGGCCGGGCAGCAGACAAGCTTCGTGAGAGATAGCGAAAGACCTTGACCCCAGTTGACCACGTCTGTGCCATCTGGTGTTGGGCTAATCTCTGCAGGTATCAAGTCGCATGGCGACTTATTGAATAGAAGCTGCGTCTTTCTCCAGAGCGCCACCTCGGTGGTAGAGATAGCATTTAGCGTATCTTCATCGTCGGTAGTCCATCCGTCCTGAAGCTTTTGTTCATTGGAATTTGACCAATATTGATCGACTATAACCTGCGATTGATCAGCATCATCAGAGTTTTGAGATGATGTGGAGAGAGGGGGAGAGGTATTCTCTGGATCCCGAGCCTTAGCCATGTTTGACTGTCTGGCACCTTCAGCGGGCTTATTTGTAGCCGCGAGAGGCTGTTCCTCGTCATCGTCGACAGCTTCGTCGGATTCTTCGCTGTTTTCTACATCAGACTCATTTTGAGTAGATGCAGCTTTGTTGCGATCGAGTGCCAATGCCAAAGCAGATCGAGGTGCTGCCTGCTTTGCAGGACGGCTGCCTCCCTGATCGTAGCTTGAGGAATCATCGCGCATTTGCGTCGCCTGCTTTTCAGGTCGAGCGCGTTTGCTACGAGAATCATCGGGGTGATCATCGCGCATTTGCTGCGTCGCCTGCTTTGCAGGTCGAGCGCGCTTGCTACGAGAAGCCTCGTCCTCTGCACTTTGGCTCGAGGTATCTAGCTGCTTTCGCAGTTCACCTTGTTTTCTCTTTCGAGATCGTACATTTGTACTTTGTCGCATCTTGAAATACTATTTTGTTCCGATTTCAAGCGTTGTTGTCGCGATAATTTAGAAGAGAAGGGAGAAGCGAGAAGCGACAAGAATATTAGACAACCCGACATGTCGCGTGTCGCGTGCTACGCTTGAAATAATCTAACTTTATTTCAAAATTCTATATTCTAAATACTCGAGCTTTTTAAGTTCTTTATTTTTGGAGTTCAAAATTCTAAATAGTCGAGCCTTTAAGATTTATTATCGTAAAGTATATTCTCTGACTATATAATTCAGAATTCTAATTAGTCGCACTTTTAAAATTCCTTCTTATAGAATACTAAATTCTAAATAGTTATACTTTTAAGATTTTATATTTTGAAATATACTTTTTATTATAAAGTTCCGAATTTTAAATAGTCGCGTTTTTAAGATTCTTTATTATAGAATTTAGAATTCTAAATAATCGAGCTTTTAAGATTTTATATTTTTTTATATTTTTTTATATTATAGAATTCTAAATTCTAAATAATTATATTTTTAAAATTCGTTACTATAAAATTCTAAATTCTAAATAGTTATACTTTTAAGATTTTATATATTGAAATATAATATTTTATTATGAAATTCTAAATCCTAAATAGTCGTATTTTTAAGATTCTTTATTATAGAATTTAGAATTCTAAATAGTTATATTTTTAAAATCTTTTATTATAGAATTTAGAATTTTAAATAGTTATATTTTTAAAATCTTTTATTATAGAATTTAGAATTCTAAATAGTTATATTTTTAAGATTTTTGATTATAGAATTTAGTTTTTAGAATTCTTTATTATAAAATTCGGAATTCTAAAAATTTATATTTTTAAGATTTTTTATTATAGAATTCTAAATTCTAAAATTTTTATATTTTTAAGATTTATTATTATAAAATATAAAATTCTAAATAGTTACACTTTTAAGATTCTTTATCTTTAAAATTCTATATATTTATAACTCTCTCAACTCCTTCAAGCTTCCTAGAATCTTTTCACCCTACAGGCGGATCCAACGGGAACCGATCAAGAAACTTAAACGTCTTCAATCCAGCCTCAAAGTCAGATAGCAACGTAGCAGTACTATTCCTAAAGTAAACACCCGGTCTCTCCGCGATCCCCACGCTTTGAAACACCATGCTGGCACCGCCCAAAGCTCCCACCGGCTTCCCATAGACGTATGCGCTCTGCACGATCTGGAGCGGACGACCAAGCGGGTATAGCGGAGACGTTCCGTTGAGGAAAATGCTTTCCGAGCCTGGGGTGACGAGGATGCCGTCAAAGTCGATGGCGTCAGCGGCGGAGTATGTGAGGTTCACACCCGGAGCGAGGTTTTCAGCTACGACGCTGACGAAGAGGCCTAGGTCGGCGAATTGCTTGCTGAGCATTGCTGCCTGGGACATGGACTGGTTTGAGTAAACTGATGCTAGGATACCGAAATTAAGGCCTTGGATGGTCGGCAATGAGTTGTGAAAGATGGAGATGTATGATGTTTTGTTGTTATTATAGTAGGTGGTGTCTGGTGGCGGAACCGTTACGTCGACGAGTACCTGTGCCACTCGCACAGCCAAGTCGTGGTCGATTCGGTTCATTTGATTGATGAAATTCTGCTTGACCGTCACAGAAACCACGTGGGATGTTTCAAAGCGGAGGGCATTGACTGCAATTTGCTGCTCCTCAGGCGAAAGCGAGTTCCAGACCATGCGTGGTTGACTCCAATGGTCTGCAAAGGTGGGAGAAAGCTCGCGAGTGAGGGCTCCGCTCACATAGCGATTTGGAGCGGTGAAGAATCCGTTTCCAACAGTTTCGTTGGCTTCCATGGGGGAACCGAAGTTGAGCGTGTTGGGTGAATAGGCTGCAATATTGGTCGGGATATACGCTTGCGCCTTGCCATCACGGTTGTTATTGTGGATGGGCACTCGTGGTCGGTTAACGGGCGCTTGCTCGAAGTTTGGGCCTCCGTATCGATTAAGCTGAGCATCTAGGTACGAGTAGAGACGGCCTTGGAGCACCGGGTCGTCGGAGAAGTCGATTCCGCGGACGATGTGTCCAGGTTGGAACTGCGCAACACGTTAGCATAAAGAAACCCACTATCCTCTCTTCACGTACGCCGATCTGCTCCGTCTCCGCGAAGTAATTCTTAGGATTCGTATTCAAAGTCATCTTTCCAAGTGGGGTAATTGGAACGACCTCCTCTGGGATGAACTTGGTTGGGTCCAAAACATCGAAGCCAAAAGCCAGCTCCTCATTTTCATCGAAGATTTGAACACCAAGCTAGAGATCATTAGCAACCCATGCTAAGAGAAGATGCAGGAAACGTACCTCCCACTCGGGGTTGACACCAGCCTCAATCGCATTCCACATGTCTTGGCGATGGAAATCGGAGTTTTTGCCACCCACAGCTTGAGCTTCCTCCCACAAGAAGCTTGCCTTCCCTTGCAATGATTTCCAATGCCATCTAACCAACTTTGAGGCACCCTCGCTCGTTACGAGACGGTAGGTGTGCACGCCCCAGCCATCCATGTGGCGGTAGGATCGTGGTATGCCGTAACCAGCCATCACTATCATGACCAAGTTCAAGGCGCTGGTCTCTTGACTGAAAAAGTCGTAGGCGGAATCATGAGCCGTAGCAGCCTGAGGGATTTGGTTGTCCGGGCTCGGCTTCAGAGCATGAATGAGATCAGGAAAGAGGATGGCGTCGTTGATAAAGAAAACCGGCACGTTGATGCCAACGATATCTTGAAGACATGATCAGTACCCAGTTCTTTAAGTTAGGATAATTGCTCACCAAAGTTTCCTTCGTCAGTGTAAAATCTAGTGGCCATGCCGTGCACGTCTCTGGCGGAATCGACACTACCCCGTTCGCCAATGACGGTGGACATTCGAGTGAACATTGGCGTTTGCTTGCCAGCCTTAGATAAGAATGAGGCAGCAGTGACATTGCTGAAATCACCGTAGCTCGTGAAGACGCCGTGGGCCCCTATTTCGGGTCAATGACTGGCCTCTGATCAGACGAGATGGCTTACCAGCGCCTCTAGCATGTACTGGACGCTCAGGAATCTATGTGGAGGTTAGAACCCACGGGCCCAGATCCAAATGCGGTTGAGACTTGGATACTGACACGTTCATGATCAAATCTCTGCAGCTTCTGCCTGAAAATGAAATCCTCCAACAGCGTTGGCCCACGCGGACCAGCTTTCAAACTCACCGCTTCGTCAATTGGCGTCCCAGAGTCGGTGGTCATATAGACATTCGTGTCGTTCAGTTCAAATGGAGCTAGGAATTCCTGAGTGGCCAACGTCGTCCCTTCCACAGAGTCCCCTGCTTGACGCTTCGCGAAGCCTTTATCTCGAGCACTAAGTTGACCGCTCATGTATGGGCAGCCAGCAGCCATGGCCGTGGCCAGAGTGGTTGAGAGATACAGAAATGATCGCATTTTGAAGGCAGAGTAAAGTTAACAAGGAAATTGCTCGGAAGAAATGTTCTGTCAACGTGTGCTCTTGGCCCTTTATATCTAATTCAGCAGTCATCGAACTCTGCCTTTGAGAATGTCGACGGATATGGCATCTCGAATGATTACCAAGTCTCACACATCTAGGTAGATAATAAAATTCTCAATCGTCACAACATCGACGCCGAATTTCCCGACCAGAGACTGGAGACAACCATCCGCTATTGTACCTCTGATAAACTGCCAATCCGGAACTTCGAAGGTCATCGACATTCGGATCTAGAAGTATCCGAGAATCTCTCAATCGTCAGCTCGAACTATAATGTGAATCTCTGTGCCGAAGAATATATTGATTTCGGGTAATCCAGAACGCTCTAAAGCACCATCACCGCATCCCCTTCGTAAGTGTGCCAAATTTAAACATTGTCCGATGTGCGGAACAGTTTTTCCTTACGCAGCTTACATGTAAGTCCCCGAAGTCCCCATGTTCTGATCCGGTCGGCCCTACACCAATACATTGAAGAACTGGAAGCTATCACCTGCAGGAGATCCAGAAACTGCGTGCCGGCTGTCGCAGGCCATAATTTGCGCCCTGGAGACTGGTAAGATCATGGAAAGGAGGTCAACCTTGACTTAACTCCGGGAAGCCGGTGGCCCGAGCATGTCGGCGCACTATCTGGTGGGGATTTTCCGACGGCATGTCACGTATTTACTCGCAATGTTGAGATCTTGACTTCAGTGGCGACCTAGCTTGCGCGTCACCCGTCTGTTACACAACAGTCGGCATGTCAAAGTAGATCCCGACATATCTCCTTCCAAACCATCGTCATCAAGATTAAAGATCCTTCTCCATTCACCTGGGAGGTGCCGTTCGGCTGTTTTGCAACCGGTCTTCCCATCAAGTCTACGAAATGTGATTGGGTTATCCTATCCCAGGGATCTCGTGTCGTGGTCGTTGGCGGTGCCGTGGGCAGTAGAATTGCCAATTCGGTGTTGGCGCTGGAGGCACGACCACGGGAGAATGCAATTTATGACTATGCGGCTCGAAATTGAGGACATCACGCTCGCAAGGCTCCTTTAGCAAGTCAAGTGATAATGGAATTTCTCGAGAGCGACTCCAAGGTGGAAGCCTCCATTCAAGCGCTTATGGCTACTAAGCGGTACCCATCACATGCCAATTACAGCCAAGAAGTTCCAAGGGATATAGCAAGGTCTCATTTAGCAGCGCACCTTGGACTCGAGGAAGCTATAAAAGAGCTGCAATGTTCGGACACGCAGAGGTTGCGAGTTGCTTCTTACAGAGACAGCTCTAGCATTTCTCTTCGATAAAACAAAGCTTCGCTCTGACGATAGAGACTTTTCTGGGAAGACACCATTGCAGTACGCAGCTGAACAGGCCCGGAAAAAGCGCCATCGGACTGTTTTCGATTCGCAGAGGTGGTCGGGGAGTTTGGAAATCCTCTGAGGAATGAGGCTGTCGCGGGATGAGGCAGTTCGCCGGGAAAGAGAGCCACTGTCATATACCAGGCAAAGCATTTAAAGCTGTTATTTGCTTGATTTCATTGGTTAACAGGTTAGTAACCAAGGTCGTTTTGATATATAGTGGGTATGGGGAAAGCACAATTTACGCCGCACAATGTCCAAAGGACAATCGACTGCGCCTCTCATCCGTATTCCTACCTCATAGCCCCAACTCCGAATCCGTAACGAAGTGACCACCAGCCGAACATCTGTAGCCGCCTTTCTGCTTAATCCATCTGAAGCCGGCAGGACAAATTCCCATAGTCCTCAATTGCTGCTGAGCCTTTGCCTCTTTCCTTCGCTCTTCCTCCTCAGCCTTGCGCTGACTCTCTAGTTCTGCAAGAAGCTCTTCTTGAGCACGTCGTTCCATCTCATGCCGAAGACGAGTCTCTTCGCGAAGCCGCTTGGCTTCTTGTAAGACAAACTGGTCTTTATTATGCTCGATGGCCTGCTGAAAGGCTTGCTCGGACGCCTGCTTTTTCTGCTGGAGAATTTTGGTATTATTTGCTGCATCAGCGCTTGCTTTGATGAGTTTTTGGTATTGGTCTTCCTTCTTCTTGGCCGCTTGTTTGTCACGCTGGAGCTGTTCCCAGACAGCGTCGCTAACACCAGAGTCACGCTTGATTTCGTTTGCCGGGGCCGCTGGTGGCGCGTCCTTGGCTAATCGTTGAGGAGTCTCGGCCTCCGAAGTGTTCATAGCGGAGCTACTAGTAGCAGCTGTCTGAGGAGGCGGGGGTGATTGGACATTTTGCATCTGAGCCATCATATCACTGTCGAGAGAGCTAGGTCGAATTTTGGCTGCGTCTTGCCTCTGGCTACGCTCGGAGATCATGGAGTCGAGGACGGTGCGAACATGATCCTCCGTGACGACGGCAATGGTTTTCTTCATAGCGCCAGCTTTTAAAAGCAAGCCAAATATGCTCTTGGCGATTGTTTGCACGTCACGGGCGTTGGCCCAATTTGCGATCCTGCCGAGAGTGTCCAACTGGTCCAGTGTTTCCTGCTTGAAGTCTGGAGCGGGAACCTCCAAGGTTGACAAGTCCAGATCTTTCTTTTTCTTCCGCATATCGAGCTGACGGCTTCTCAGCAGCTGAATTAGTAGGTCGAGGCAGTCAGTAGGCTCCAGTCCACGAAAGATTACGGCTTCTGGAAAGCGACTTGTGAGACCAGGGTTTTGCGCCATCAAACGGTTTATATCATCGTCATAACCAGCCAGAATGACAATAAGCTTTTGAGCATACTTCGGCTTCGTCAGACAATCCACGATTTCATCCATCGCTTCCTTGGCGAATCCCTCGCCTGCAAGGCGATAAGCTTCGTCGATGAAAAGGACTCTGCCCAATGCATTCTCGAGGACCTTTTGCACCTTTGGTCCAGTTTGACCGACGTAGGACCCTACCAGTTCGGTGGCGGAGCACTCGACGACGTCTGCTTTGGCAAGAAATCCCATATCGTAGAAGACTTTGCCCATTTTGCGCGCAGTTGAAGTCTTTCCAGTACCTGTAATTTGTTAGACGAGTAAATATCTTGCTTGCGGTCCATCCGACTTGCCAGGTGGGCCGCGGAAAAGAAAGTTGAATGGAATCTCTTCCCTGGGATCCATATCCATTGCTTTCAGCTCTCTCGCCGCATTTTGGTAGCCTTCGAGCTGAGATATGATGGTCTCACAACCAATTACGCCTTTGAAGAGCAGACGGACATTTGTATCTGCGCGTTCGCCTCGATCGAAGTCTTCGTCAAAGTCAATGGGCTCGAAACGCGAGCGGTCAACACTACCGTTCCCCTCATTGAGCCTCTGCTGCTGTCTAACTTTGGCATGATCAAGGAGAATATCAACTTCACCTGCGTTACCAAAGTTAGGTCGATTGCGAGCCCGACGTAGCACATCCATCGCAACACGTTTGCCTAGATCTGTCGTCTTGAATGCCAATTTCCTAAGCTTGAGGTCAAAGATCTTTGCCATTTCTCCGTCATTGAAATCTTCAAACACAAAAGCGGAGGCAAGGGGGAATCTCCTACTAAGACCAGGATTGACCTTCTGGAACATCTCTTCCATCTGCTCCTTGTAGCCTGCGAGTAGAACACATCGATCATCACCTGGCACGCTCTGCACCTCGGCCACGACGGTGTCAATCACTGCAGTCTTGTATGGGTCGCTGGTGGAAGATTCACCCAAGGAACCACACAGGCCGTATGCCTCGTCTATCAGAAGAACCTTGCCCACCGTGGAGGCAAGAATACCTTTGGTTGTAGACTCAGATGCGCCAAGGACGTTGCCAACAAAGTCGGAGGGGTTCTTTACAACAACTGTATGATGTCAGCGAAAGCCACTCTTGACCAGTGGTGGGCGTAAGATTACCTTCACCATTTGATAAGAACCCAAGATCCGCCAGAATCTGTCCGTACATCTTCGCAACGGTGGTTTTACCCGTGCCAGGGGATCCAAGGAACACCTTGTTGAGGGAATACTCGACCAGAGGTGCCTCGTCCAGTTCGCGCCGATAGTTGAACTGAACGGTACCCAACAAGGCCTGGACTGTCTTCTTGACAGCCGACAGGCCAATGAGATTCTGAAGCTGTTTCCAAGCCTCGGAGTTGTTCAGCGCTTCGGTAGGCTCAGGGCCGAGGAGGTCAGCACTCGTGAAAAAGAAGTCGTCTGGCTTTTTCCCGGCACGCCTCTGTTTCGAGATTCGGACCGCTTGTCTGCTTGCAATTTTAGAGAGGGTATTTTCCATCTCGCGCGCATTGCCGAAGCCCTCCCGTCCTCGACCTCGACCAACGCGCCGGGCAACAATGCGAGCGAAGAGACCGCCTGGTCCATCTTCGACCTCCATTCTGTTGTCGTATCTCTTGTTCATTTTATGGGCGAGGATCTTCAGTAACTCATCGTCTTCGTAGTCCTTAAATTGAAGTTCGTGCGGAAAGCGACTTGGGAAGCCAGGGTTATGTGCGAAGAACTTTTCCATCTGTTTGTTGTATCCAGCGAGAATGAAGACGACCTTTCCAGTCAAGTTCTCCGATTCCGGGAGAATAAAGTCAAGAACAGCAGTCCCCCCAAAGTTACCGCCAGATGCCAGTTGGTATGCTTCATCAATGAATAAAGCACCACCACCATTATTCTGAATATCCTCTAGCTTCTTCTTGCAGCCCGATACCCCTTCATTTGCGAGAGCTGCGCCTGTCGTCTCGACAAATTCACTCCCAGGCAAGGCTCCGACAGAAGTGAGGAACTTAGCATAGAGCCGAGCGACGGTAGTTTTGCCTACGAGTGTCAATAATTAGTACAGAAAAGAATGGTAATTGCTTACCAGTTCCGGGATTGCCTAACAAAGAAGCTCCGAAGCGTTTGTTCGGCATATCGAGACCTTGACGCACAGCAGTATCCACCTCCAACTTGATCGAAAGGAACTTGTCTTTTACGTCTTCCAAGCCAATCATACTCATCAAATCATCCAGAGCTTCGTTTTCCGCACCTTCGTAACGTTTGAAATGCTCCCACTGCTTCTTTGCTGATGCCCAGTCTTCTTCGTTCTCCACAGCCACTTTCTTGCTCGACGACTTAGACGCAGGCGTCACTTGTGGTTTGGTGGAGGACTGTCGCTGCTTTTCAAGATTATTTGCTGTTACTTTAAGATTGGCTAGGTCCTGCTTCTTTTGCTCAAGTGCCCTGGCCGAGTCTTCAGCCTCACGGTGATCTTGCAGAATGCGTCTCTGGTGGTCAATCTCAGCTTGGTTTTCCGCAAGCTGCAGTGCATAAGCAGCCCTCTTGGTATCACGTTCGGCGTCGAGTTGTGCATTTCGCTTTCGAATTCGTTCTCTCTGTCGATCTTCCTCTGCACAAATCGCGCAAGCCGCTTGAGATTTTGAGCAAAGGCGCTGGGACCTGTGCTTCTGTGAACAGACAACCTGAACCAATGCCTGGCATTCCATCTTGGAGTGGTCATACAGCTGATGGCATCTGGAAGGGCAGTAATGAGTACCACAGCTTAATTGTGTTCCGCTTGTTCATGTTAGCTAAATGAATCTTGGTGTTGGGCAAGACCAACTTACCATGGCTCCGAACATCCGCCATCAGGACATTCAACGTCAAAATCACGAGCTGTCTTCAAAAGGACCTTCTTGTGCGGATGCTGCTGGCACTGGACTGGAAGACCGTCATATAGATGACCGTTCTCCTTCATGAAGTGCAGGAATGGCGTCCATGCTTGACCTGCATTGCGACTCTTGAGGAAGGTTTGCGCATTGCCAATCATGACGAGTCCGTCGCGGGCTCGAGAAAGCAGGACATTGAGTCGCTCAGGCGAAAACATGAACCCAATGTCGCCTTTTTCGTTGCTACGCGTGAGAGATACGATGACAATTTCACTCTCTTCACCCTGGTAGTTATCTGAGGTCAAGAAGGTTAGCGAGGGCGCTGAAACACAACAGCCATTGACATACCGATCGTGGAGATATTGATAGGGCGTTTGTTGATATTTGCGCTTGCCTCCGAAAGTAAACCTGCTCGAACGAGATCGAAGGAATCGAGATCGTTGAGAACCGGATCGTTCTCTACCATAAGATGATCACGAAGGAGGCGCAGCTGCCCGAGATAAGGAGTAAGTATGACAAGCTTATCAGTCCCGTATCCTTGTTGCCCGAGATAGCGGATGCATTTCAACACAAGGTCAACCTCGAATGAATTACTCTTGCTGGTCTTCGATTCAGAATCTCGACGGTCCGCAAGCTCTGGGGCATCGACTTCTGGATAATTGTGGTTGAAGAAGACCACTCGGTCTCGGATCCCACGCACCGGTGTCCGATTCAGTGTCTTGTCGGCGTCTTGAAGGCTGGGATACGTCAAGTGCCTGACCAAAGTTGAGATTTCAGGGCACATGCGGTGTTGCTTGGACAGCGTGGTGTGGGGATAGCCTGCAAGCACGAGCCGCTCAAACATGGACCGATTGAGGTCATACCCATCGCCTTTCTCGACGCTGATTGCGTAGTTGCTATACTTTGGACGCAACTGTTTGTGATCTCCGATGAGAATGAGCTGCTTCGTATTTGGCGACAGCGCAGTCAGAACGTGGCTTTCCAGAATTTCGCCGGCTTCCTCAACCAGGACAGTTCCTGGCGCAGCATTGCGAAGATCGGAAGCATACTTGGCGGCAGCTGTTGTGGTGCAACCGATGACTCTCATGCTTTTGAGAGTCTGTGCTGTCCTCTCTCCCAGGACTTGTGCCAAACGCTGCTGATATTTGTTGTAGCGTGAAAATAGAGTGGCGACTTTGGACGCTTGTTCGTCCAACAGAGCGGTGGTCCAACGTTTCATACGTTCCAGTCTAGAGTTCGCGTCCATGTCCCAAATTTCATAATGTTCCGCGGCTTGCTTTTTGAAAATACCAGCATCCTCACCTCGCGACCATCTGTCACAGAGGTAATCTGGTTTGATTTCCTTTCCACCCTTGCCAACGCGAGTCATTCCATCTTCCTCATCGGGCACAAGTAGAGCCGAATAGAAATGATCATCATCATCGCTGAACTCCAGGTAAGCAAGTATGTCCTTCCAGGATACTCCAGTCTGGGTATAGGACTTGAGCTCAATTGACAGCTCAGTCCGGTAGGTCTCAACGAGAATTTCCAAGTTGTTGACTATCTCCCACCCGGTGCGAGATTTATTATAGCCACCAGTTCTTTGTCTCTCGAATAAGTTCAAGGGTGCGGTACGTGGTGTAGATTTCGATCCAAGTCGAACGACACTCTGCGGTGGAATCCCATTGTCCAGAAGGTCTTCCAGAAACTGGTCCAGTGCATGATTGGTATAGCTTAGAACAAGAAGCGTCTCGCTCGTGTGCTCGTACAAAGCTTTTGCGATCAAAGCACCAATAAAAGACTTGCCCGTTCCTGGTGATGTCAATGGTCATGATTGAAAGAGCAAGCAATTGATGAACTTACCTGGCGGTCCTTGTATCAAACTCACAGACTGTGCGAGCCCAGCGATGAGAGAATCCATCTGAGATTGATCGAGATCGATAGGTTGGTCCGTTTTAAGCAGGCGTTGGATGATCGGGCTGCCCTTGGCTCGCAGCTCGTCAACAAGTGCGCTGTCAACGGCCACGGCGGTCTGAGATGCCTCGTCTGGAATTGTCCCTAGGAGGAATTGCGCGAGTGGAATATCTTTCATATCTTGAAGACATCGCAGGACAGGCTCATAGGCAAAGAATGGAGTGTCAACTTGGATATAGTCAACTGGCGTTGTTCCCTTCAAAGCCAACAAGAGGGTTTTGAAAGCATCGTCTCCGCATATCTTCAAGGTGATAGCCGGAGGATCTTCAAGCAATCCAGCTTCATCTCTATCCAGGATGGCGAAAGCAACGATCTGGTCTCCTTGTAATAAACAGCCGAACGATTGATGCTTGAGGGATCGTGGATTGCTTTTGAGGTAAGTCTTTCTCTCGGCAGCAGACATCTTTGCGAACTTTTCCATGCCAAGTCCGCAGTGTAGCTTCAAAGCACATTGCTTCCATTTCCTCGGCTCACCACATTCAGTTCCAGAAAGACTGAGGCGCTCAAGGATGACAGGAGACCGTCTCCCTTTCTTCTTGCCAGTCGCGATGCGAACGTCGTCCCTCAGTTCAGCAAGCATGTCTTCCCGAAGGAGGCGAAACTGGTTATCCAGGTGAATTCCGACCCGATTTTCAGGCTCAGCTTGGGCGATTTCTTCGGCCGGTCTGTAGAATGGTTGCGTGTCCGACATGAATTCGTCTGCAGTGGGAAATATTGCTGTCTCGCGGTAGTCAACGAAGTCGTTGTCATGTCGACCTCCTGGCCCAGCACTGTCCGGGTTGGCATATGCGCTACTTGCTTTAGCTTTCAAGAAGTGTTGAATTTTGTAACCGAGAACGCGAGTTTCATGGGATGATGACTCCAGAAGTGATCTTGAATTCGTTACAGATTTCGCGGTTTCCATTACTTCGATGTTGTCATTAGAAGGCATCGAGAGAAGCTCCCAAAGGAGCCAAGCAAAACCATGCGTTGCGTTCTCATTGAGAGAGCCATTCTTATGCGAACTAATCAAGGCGTTCCAAAGAGTGGGAGGATCAGCAATGATGACAAGGATATCTTGAAGAAACTGGCCGCCAGAAATTTGTTTGATGGCAGGGTCGGAGACGTATTCAAGAAATGCTGCAATGGATTGGTTGATGTAGTTGATGGACGTGTCGAGCCTCAGAGCTCGACGAAGCGCGTCAAGAGATGGTTGCTTTGCAAAAAGTCTCTCCACACAGGTTACACGGTCGTCTTGTGCGCATAGAGCTTCCAAAAACAGCTTCGCACGATCAGCATTAGTGATGGAGGATTTCCCAAATGCAATGGATCCAAGGAACTTGTTCAATTGGACCGCTCGATACTCGTTGAATGCCATTAGAATATCGCAAGGAGAAGAAGTTGTGTGCCAATAGTGACCTTATAGGGAATAGTGGAGTCTTAAAACAGTGGTCGATCAGCGTGAAGGTAAGTCGTGGTTAAGAGAAAATGCTTGACGTACCGCTAGCTATCAGTAGCGACAAATCGTTGTGATATAGCCTCAAAAAATTTCAAACAAACTCTCGATCGACTTGTATATTCCTGGTAGGGGCTTGTTTCCGATGTGAGTCTTGTAGACAGGTTCGGCAAGTGTAAATAGCAGGTTCGGAAGGCTGAAAACGGGATTTCGACACCCAGAAGAGTTCCGTACATTCTTTTCAAACGGGAGCTTACTTCTTCCAGGCAGTCTAAGCTCCTCAGCTGTCAATGACCAAGAATTGTAGACTAAAAAGAAGTTTTGTGAACACCAACTAGAGTTCTGCTCCTCTTCAAAAACGAAAAGAAAGAGGATAAAAAGGAAGGAATTCTAGAACCATCGAACAAGGCGTTGTGGTTTGCCCTGTAGCCTTCTCTGCGTTACACAACCGCATCTCTCCGCTATTGCCTTCTCTGCGTTACACAGCCGCATCTCTCCACTAATAGGATCTCTAGCCGTCAAGGATAATGCAAAGAAATCGAAAGCGACGCGCTCAAGAGCCGAGAAGCAAGGAATTGGCCTGCCTCATGTGGTGCCAACAAACCCTCCAACAACGCCCACATTTAGTCTCGGGACCGAGTCGTGACGAGTAGCAAGTTGAAGCCTTTCTTCCGCGATCATCAACCCAATCTTGCTTCAGCGCGAACTTACGAGATGTTCTCGTCGAGCAGTTATGATCGATTTGGCGGTCGCGGTCCTAGTCGTGATCGTGGTGGTTACCGTGGTGCACGTCGAGGCAGCGGACAAGGCCGGCGTTCAGCAGCTCCTGAGACTCCAAGAAGTCCATCACCGCCAATCGGTCCAGCCTTGACTACCATCCGCTACTGCGAGCTCGAGGCCGATCAAGCCTCATCCAGCGATGCCAAAATCACAGGCCTGGAAGATGTCGCATCGTACAACTGGCTCAAAGCAAATGAGCCAACGATCATGACTCCTGGTTAATATTTTCACAACTTAAGTTCTCACGACATCAAAAAAGCCCTAACGTAAGAGCAGGCAAGCCTCCAAAGTGGACGCCCACAGCCAGGCCGACTAAGCTCGCGGAAGACAATCCCAACGGCACTTACTATCGAGACCCAAATGCTGCATACTTCCCATCGCATCCTATGGAGCCAGTCGTTCGGTCTATCTTCGAAGCGCGCCCTGATTTCAATGCCCAGGAAGTCGACGTCTTCGGTTGCGGAAGTACTTTTGGAAACTTGCTCAGGTTCGCCCGCAATGTCGAAACCGAGAAGCCATTTCGATTTCTGGCTGAGGTGGTGGGTGAGACGGTCTTTTTGATCCGAAGAGAGAACTCACCAAAGGAAGTGATTGCGGACGTTCGTGGCTATGGGCATAGTTTCCCTGAAGCGAACACTACCTGGGATGCCGACGTCCAGAGTTCTGATACTCATCAACGCATCATCCGCTACCAGCTTGGTCATCTCAACACAATCATCCGATTTGAAGCGGACGGCTATCTTGCAGAGAAAGTTCCAGCGAAGAAGACGTATGCCAGCCCGGCAAATCGGGAGGTAAATGAAGACTTTCTCGTGTCGGCCCTTGTAGGAAACACCATCAGTGCGCACACGCCCAAGAACTCGCACAGCCTAAAGGTCACTCGAGGTCAAGGATCTGTGCCCCAGTCTGCAGTTTTCGATCTGAAGACGCGCTCAATCAAAAAGAAGCACCATGACACCACGCTATCCGACCAAATTCCCCGCCTTTGGATCCGCCAGATTTCATTCTTCGTTCTCGCGTACCACGACTATGGCCTCTTCAGATCAGAAGAAGTCACGGTCCGCAACATCAAACCAGATGTCGCAAGGTGGGAGAGCGATAACAAGGGAGACGTGAGTAAATTTATCGGTCTTATCACAAAGATTGCCGACGTCGTTAAGGCTACGCCGGGACGAAAGCTGGAGGTCCGGTACCGATATGGGCTTGGATTGGAACTGAGGGAGCAAGTCGAAGGAGTGGCCTCTGTCTTGCCCAGTGATCTTGCTGCACAGTGGGCGGATCAAGGCAATCGGGCGGAATCTACCGGTGCAGCTCTCGGAAATTGCTCCGTTGATGGAGCCGTAGGTCTTGAGCACGATTCTATTGAGAAAGGGGTGGCTCTTGATGAAAAGATTATTGATGCTTTGGACGATGACGAGTATGATTGGGATAAGAAGGAGGATTATACGGCATGTTCGATGGAGAGTTGCAATTACTGCGGTCATTGTTCGTACTGAGAGTTTGAAGGGACGGGGGTCCTGTATATCAGAGCTCAATGGATGGTTGCTCAACGGAAGAGTTGGCGGTAGTGATCAGACGACGCGACGCGGACGAAAGTTGAGTTTTGAACCGTGCACAGGATTTCGCCTGTGCCGGTAGTGCGTACTCTAGATAAACCCAGCCAATTAAATATTATTTACACTCTTTATAACTTCGTAATAAACTCTTTTATACTTTTTATAGTTAATATTTTATTCTAAAATATAACTTAGTTTAAATATTAAAAAAGTTGTTATAAAAAAGAGATAAAGAATTTATAGTATTTCTTAAGATATAGTGAAGAGTAGTAATATTAGATTTTTCTTTATCCTTTATATACTTTATCCTTCCCTTTAAAAATCTTCTGAAAATCAAAATCTATAAGCTCAGTCCACACTAACTTTAGCCATCTCGGTGTCGTCTTCATATACCCATAAAAGGTAATTGAATAAGGACTATCCTTTGGCGTTCCCCTTCCCGCGGCCGCAAATTGTATCCCCTCACACTCCTCATCATAATCTACATCTACAACCTTTATAACGATACCATCCTCTTCCTCCGTCGCAGCCTGATAGCTCGAGCCGGCCCGAATATCTAGAATAGCCTCCGGAGCGTCCAATAATGTCGTCATCGTCTCCTCATCAATCACGACGAAAATTCGATGTCGCATATCATGATCTCGTGGTTCCTCAGAATACCCGTCTCATACTGCTGAGGCCAGCCGTATTTGGCGCAGAAATGGGTTCGCGCCTCGGGGATGCTTGCGGTGGGAAGGCGGATGTATTCGATGTCCAGTGGGATCTTCTCACCGTACAGCTCTTCGACAGTAAAGCGTAAGTTGGATTCGATATATGCATGGAATCGCTCGTAGACGCTCTTGTCGAATGCTTCTTCTGTAGACGCTTCGGATGCGGAAGTAGAGGTGGAGGTAGGATAGGTCCTGTAGATTGTGAATCTCCAGTCACCTGGGGATTCTTCCATATCGAGTCCATTGAGGAAGCGTTTAAGCTCCTGCGGGATTTCATTTGACATAGTAAATGGGTTGATGGGGTCTTTTGAAGTCCGCAACTGGGCACCGGCGGAGCGCTGACTGCTATTTTATCAGGCTATTTCGTCACTCATTGCCATTTGGGGGGAATTGCTTGGAGGTCTACAAGTTGCGCTCCGCATTTCGGCGTTACGAGTACTTAACTCCGATTCATACATGAACGCAGCCCCAACCTCATCCTCACGGCTTTAGAACAGTTCTGACATCAACGTGAAAGCAGCAGTATTAAGCGAAAATCTTCGACTATAATAAGTTGAAGCTTATTTATAGATTTTATAAATATTAAGAGCTAATAAACTAAAACTTTATCTATATTCTAATATGTTTATTACTTTATATACCCTTCCCATCCATCTATAAACTTTATTAAATCTAGTTTGCAGCAACTACGGCTATCCCACTACCTGCAACCATCCATATATCGATATTTCCCGCTCTCCCAAAAGCCGAGTTTGCCCCTTTCGTCGACGTCGGAGCCGGCCCACTCATAGTCACCTTCGAACCAGGCGTAGCAATAGGTCCCGTTGGTGTCGCCGTCGCTGACCCAGACGTAGGATGTGCTGAAGCATAGCACCCAACCACATTGATAGTATCATTCAACGAGCCAAAGCCAAACAGATTTTGAGAACCCGTTCTGTACCAGTTTTGGGGGCAGTTACTCGCGAGAGAAAGTGCCCCAGATTTGTGATTTGACCACCACGAGGACGCCAGGCTGGCGTATGAGGAGTATGCAGATAGGAGGGTTGATGGTGCGACGGTGTCGAATGCACACCATGCTGAGGAGTCTGGATTTCGGCAAGCAGTCCGGTCGAGTCCTGTCAATGTACAGGTTTGGAACAAAGACCTCCCGTACGATATCAGAGCGGTATCTAGTGCGCCAGTCGCCGTTGGGACATCGAAATAATTCGTGATGTTTTCAGTTGCGCATTCCCAGGGATCTCGCGTCGTGGTCGTTGGTGGTGCCGTGGGCATTAGAATTGCCAATTCGGTGTTGGTGCTGGAAGAGGCGGCATTAAGAGCATTTGTGAGGAGGAAGGCCAAGAGAAAGCAGAAAACATTGACTACTTTCATGTTGGCGATATTAAGCAGTAGAATATGACGATTCGAAGGAGACAAAGAAGCTTGAGTTGGGACGCGTATGATGCTCAACACATAATTTTTGAAGTAGAAAGCTCAAAACCAAAGATATATAAAGTACTAACGTGTGGAGGGGTGGCGTTGGAGGCATTGACCTTAGCTCCCGGCTGAATAGGAATGTCCAATGTGAAAAATTTCCGACCTAAAACCGGGATACATGTGATTGTGAGGATTACTACCCCATAGTTGGTCAGATTTACTCCGATTGTTGGGAAATGTTGGTCATTTTCATCGTCGAAAATATCACGTGTTCAAGCAAAAGTGAAACGAAATCCCAGTTCAGTTCTAAACCCCATCCACACCAATCTGCGGTCAAAATATCTTCGCATACCCCACCACAGAAGCCCGTTCATCTGAGCTCATGCATCTATAGGAGCCTCGGCGTATTCGGGATACCTCTTCTCATGGCCCGCGTTGATCCTCGCGTCCAAATCATTTGCCTCCTCATCATTAAGCTGACGATAGTCCACACTTCAAATCGCTTTTGCCTACTATAGGTAGGGCTATAAAGTGGTGTTGGTTGAGACGCCACTATTACATGATAAAAATATCTAGCAGGGAAGCTCCCGCGTCGAGCCCTCTCATCGCTTCTCCATACATGATTCCGTGAACATAAGCCTCTCCAATCACCCTGTATTTATTTTCTGAAACAGGACGAAGTATAACAGGAACGTCGCATCCTAATAGCAGGCAGACACAATCTCCGACTTGTGGGTTGGAGGCCGACCATCCAAGCCCAAAGAAACCAGTATGGCTGCCCTCTTCCTGCACATACATACAAAGCCGTCCTGAAATCCATTTTGAAAATTCATCTACGGTGAAATACTCTTCATGAGAAGGAATATTTTGCTCAACGAATTCTGTTTCTTTATCTCGTTTTATCTGATCCTTTAAATGTTGGTCCAAACTAAATATTGGAGTTAGTTGTCGCACATTCAACTCATGGCGAGAAGTCTTGCTGCCCGCCACATCTTCAATTGATGGCAGAGAATACGGCTGTGTCACTCTGATAATACTGCCACAAATATACCCTCTCGAAATCAAACACATTTGATCAAACCGCACTATAGGCTTCATTCTTTTGGTCGCTTCGTACTTGCATTTTCCTGGCATCCCGACGAAGGTGTCAGAAATTTGCCTTAGGGAAGCAATGCCCTGGCCACCTGCCTCCCTCAAACTTTTCATAGTGCATATCCAAGATGGCGACTCGCCTCGACTCCAGTCCTGAATCCATGGGCGACAGATGACATTCAATGACTTTGAGGACGAAATGGCGTATTGGACATATTCAAGAGCGATTTTGTCGAATGATATGGTGTAGTCTATGGTTCCTGGCCAAGGCGGTTCATCACTCCGTATCAGAGATAGTAAAGCATATATCGTGTCCCTAGGATCGGTATTCGAAAAATTGGTCGCAAGTGTGACAATCGTCTCGAATGATGCTGGCTGTTCGACTAGCCTACTGTCGGCACGACCCTGCAAAGCACGGGTTACTTGGATAAATTGCCACGCCTCTGTCACCGTAACTTGGCTATTCGAGTGAGTGAAATTTTCGACCACGCGCTCAAAGTCAGACCAGGCGAGGGCACATCCTTGGCCAAACACCATGACACTTTGAGCGACGACAACCTCTTGGATGATCCAGCTGTATTTATTCAGTAAACAATGAATCCTATGCAAACCCGTGGTGACTTACCGTCTGTTGAATACCCCGTTTCTGAGAACTGGTGCAAAATCCGTAGGTCGTGAGATCGCTACCTCGCCTTGTTCTTTTATTACTTGTTTACCATGGTCGCTTGGATCCGGTACTCGGTCAGGCGAGGAGCGGATTGCAGGTGGTTTAAATTCTAAGCTTGAGCGCCTGACACGTTTCAAGATTTTGCGAATAAATGGCCTGCCGCCAACAGCAGCAGAGCTTTCTCCGCTCGGTTCCTCTTTTCCTGACAAAGTTGTTGGCAACTTTTCTGCAACCACTTGAATTTCCCTTAGAGCAGCCGAAGTACTCTCCTCACCCCCGAGCCAGATCCAAACGCTAGCGGCCTGGATGAAAAAATTCCTCATGACACTTATCTGGCCTTGCCTCTCTGCCATGTCATGCATATTAATGCACAGAGCATCAACCCATAAAATGACTTCGGAATCTTGCTCTCGAAGTACGCAAAGGGCACTGAACAGGTTATGCCTAACATGCATAGCCAGTCCATCGACCATGATAATTGGCTCTTCGCCTTTGCTGTAGTCCCAGCAATAACATAATGCGATATAATCTGGATGATCATTTATGGATTGATGGGATATGGATGCATATATAGGGTCAGTAGTATGCTGTGCCGGCATAATATGGAGCAAACGAAACTCCTCTATTGCAAGACTTGAAATCGACCTATATCTGTACGACTCTACTTCTGGCGTGCCAACACTGACTCTGGGACTGGAACGCTGGAGACTTGAGAGACTTGCAAATCGAAGAGAATCTTCATCTTGACGAGCTGGAAGCGAGGTTACCAGTCCAGACGAAAGATTATCCTTGATCGTAATAACTTTGACTATCGACTCCGGGTCAATGGCAGAAGCCGACATTGCTAGATCTGGGGACATATCAGTTGGCTCTGCCAGTTCCTGGGCATCCATCCATGCCCCAACTCGTTGTTTTGACTCGACCTCATTTTCAGGCAATGGTAGTCTCTGCTCCAGCTCTTGGGAAGCCGACGTTCTCACTGAGGAGCCTGTGACGGAATTGGAAGCTTCACTCAGCTGCACACTTCCTGGTGCGCTCATAGTGCTAGATTCCTTTCGCCATGCAAGCGGGAGAGATATCATCGATATAGATAACAGATGATTGGCGATATGGTCATTCATATCTGAATTTTCTTTGGCAGCTTGTTCATCCGACATGCCATCAACACTCGAACTATGCTTACAGAACAGACATTCGGGGAATAATGTTCCCAGGGGCTCTCGACGTCGGGTACCGTGCTGTAATAATGTTTGGATTTGATACGTAGCGAGCTGGGTATGAGTACGCTTCAAGTGCTGGCGGAGATCCTGCTTCCTACTAAAAACTTCGTTTCGACAAATTCGACACGTCCATTCTTGGCTGTAATGAGTAATTGTGTGACTAAGCCAGTCTTTTGATGTCGCAAAGAGTGCATTCGGCTCGGAGCAATCATGGAACAAGCAGTTATAGGGCTCCAAATCTTTTTCAAAATGCGCCCTTGATCGCCTGGTCAGTAACTGTATCAGGTTGTCGATGATCCAATAGACTTACTTCCATCTCGTACCCAAAAAAGTTCGGGAAGCACACACTTTCCGGCAGTAAGGACAAGGGTATTCGGGCAGATCTTTAGGCACTTTAGGGGGAAGTGGGATCTCTGTACTTCTTTGGACAACCGCATTCTCGGACGGGGCAATCGATTCTTGAGTTTGTGATCCAGTGGCGGGAAGACGTAGCTTACTTCTATCGAAGCCCGAAGGAACAGTACTCGGCGACACTAAGGACTGTCCTAATGATATTGGCTCGTGGGGGTTTTTCGACCCCGTGGTCGAAGATGGTGATGTGAGATAAATGTTCAGTTCGGTGTCATTAGGGCGACGGTTTTCAAGGTGGGGCGCATCGTAAGTTCTTTGGGCCAACTTTTGCGATCTGGCCACATGGTACAGGAAGCGACGTCGACGGAAGCAGATTGCAGAAGCCAGCCGTTCCTTGAGAGGAGTAGGCAAATTTGGATAATGGCTTTGGAGGATCTGCTGTACGAAGGACTCAAAAGTAGAATCAATGTCTTCTCCCTGTTCGTCAACAATGGTAAAATTGGAGATGCGAGAGTATAGATTGCGCTCGCCTGCGGCCCGAACTGCAATAGAGAGTCGATGAAGTCTTGTGATCAGTCCTGCGATCTCATGTAGATACTTAGGGGTAGTTTGTATATTTTTCTCGTCGTCCAAGGCCTTCGGAATCCGGTGCATCAAAGCAGGGGTTGCAGCTTCATTGGGAATACCCGTCTCTTTTGGTTGAGGAGATAAGGATGCTGTGAAGGATCATTTAGAGAACAATCATCGGGTAATGTAAGGCTCAACACACATACCTTGTTCTATGAAGGATTGTAACATTTCAAGAAGTTCGTTGAACAGTTCTGCAATATCTGGAGCTGCCTCAAGGCGTTTGTCAAGAGACAACCCGCCTCGTACAAAGACTCCAATATTCGATGCCCAAATATTAAACCGGGCGAGCTGGACTTGAATTTTCTCTTCATCAATCTCTGAAACCACTTTGGACCGATTCTCGAAAGAATTGAGACAGTCCGCTGCTAAGCTGGCGATGGTAACACCTCCAGTAGGTGTCTCATAGGCGGATCTGTCAATTACTTTATCCAAGTCACTCCATGGTAAGCTGGCGAGCCGACGCAGAAGATCTTCACGTCTGATCTGTGCATTTGGACCAGCTTCCTGGGCTAATCTCTCAAGTAATGTGTCATCTGCCACAGTGATTCGCTTCAGTCTGGTGTAGTCATATATATATCCTTCGTCATGATCTTCCTTCAAGATTTGATGACGATCCTGTAGCTAGGCATTTTAGCTGTAGCCCAGGCTAGAAACAATGTCTACTCACTATACACAGCTGCTCTAGGGTGTCGAGAAGGTACAAAATTGTGGATCTTGGTAGACTTTGGGACCTTCGATCAGCAAAGCCGTTGAGCCACTTCTGAGTTGTGTCAAGTTGACTTTTCAAGTCGCTAAGAAATTTGTTTTGTCGAGCTTGGCTAGAGTTAGCATCGCCCTGCTTTTGGGTAGTCTGTGCAATCTCCTCCTGGTGCGAAAGTTGTAAAGCGATGCCTTTGATCGTAACGACGGAAGATAACGCTATATCCAGACATTGTGAAGTGGTGAGAGTGACCATTGAGGACTATCAATGTGCAGCTTAATCGTCAAAAAGGTCATTGCAGGTCACATTGGCGATGATGCTGGCAAACCAACTTGGTGTGCAGCATATGCACCGTACCTTAGCGATAGGTAGGGTTACTTGTAGCGATAAAAATAGCTCAGTGCCGAAGATTGGCTAACGTGAAACATAACTACGGAGGTCCCAGGGCGGCTAAAGAATGTCACACCGCTTTCCCTCTGCCACCAGTCAAATCCTTTTGCCCATACAAAATAAACCCTGCAAGCGAAGGTGGTGCGACATTCTTCAGCCCTGGGACCGCTGTAGGGTAACCTGAAGGATTTCAGCTGGAGCCCCGAAGCATTTCCTTGCATGTTAATTAGCTTTCACTCGTTTGTGACCTTCAACAATAAAATCATGTTATAAACGGACAGAAGAGCTCCTCACATGGCGGATACGTCGGAGATAGAAGAGGGATTATCGCAACTGCTCACGGATTTATTGCCTATCTTCGAAGCTTCTGCAAGAGAACGGGCGAAATTTCATAAGCTTAATGGCGACAATGACTACCGGAAGTTCTTTTATTACCTGCAAGTTGAGCTCGTGGTCCTTCGCTCCAAGCATGGCTCAGAGGCCCTGGATTTAGGCACTACGAGGCGAGCCCTAGCGCTCCTTAATAGTATCATCACACATAGTGTGGCAGAAACAGTACGTGGATCTACCAGCTCAAGTGGTATAGATAATGAGTTATGGCTAATTTGAAAGCGTGAGGAGCCGTATTCTACTCTGCGAGCCATAGAGAATGGAGAAGTTTCATGCGATAGTGTTCTGGCAATGCCAGCAAACTCAGATGAGATTTTGATGGACCTCGAGGACTGTGGAACTTTAAAGGATGATATTTCTATACCTATACTAACCTATTCTTCTACTATACGACAGCCTCCTGGGCGAGACATCCGTCTCTCTGCAGACAAATTGTACCAAGGTATATCCAACTGTTGGCCTTGCATCTGCGGACTCGGTCACGAAGGCATGCTATATCTTGCAACACATCATTCCGAGAGTATCGGAGACGGTATAACTTATGATTTTCTATTTGGAACTTTAAATCCTCGCCGAAAATGGCAAGAGGCCAAAATATGTGTCATCCATTCTTCGTAAGTTAACACGGGATGAAGTTTGACCTAGCTGACCTTGAGAATTAGGGATCCAGTCAGCTCACCAATCCCTACTATCGTTGTACATCGTCCAAACAAGGTTCCGAATGATCTTAACCCTCAATTCGGTCCTGCTATCGAGTCTCTATGTTCTGCTACGCCTTCTAACAACAATGTAAAACTGAGCCTTGTTATTGCTAATGACGGCGTTTGGAAAGGTCGACCAGAACGTCACCAATCGTTCGCCCGCTCTCTCCAGGTTAGGATTTCTTTACGACAAGTGCTGGAACGGGAATTGCTCACCCGCAAACGAACAATCGCACAAGTACTCGCCGTAGTGCTTGCGAATTCTGCCTTGCAGCTTTCGGGAACACCTTGGCTGCCCGCCAGCTGGGGCATTGATGACATTTACTTCTTGGGGAGTGAAAATAATGCAATAGCCCTTCGGCCTACAATTTTGGCGCCTTTTGTTTCCGGGGAGGTAGACACCGATGAAGTGAATCTGACGCAACTTGAACTTGCAACCGATCTTGGAAGCGAATGCATTCATCCAAATCGCCACATACTCGCTCTTGGCATTGTTCTTCTGGAACTCTTCTTCAAGACTCCTATTCAAACATTTAGGATGCCTGAACATTTGACAGCTACAGGTCAAGTTGACGCAAATACGGACTACTGGGCCGCAACAATGGCTTGGGAGCAGGAAGATTGGGACGTACATGATCGATACAAGGAGGCCGTTCGATCATGTTTGTATTGGCCTGAGGACAGGGAGAGTAATTTCGATAGTCTCAGTCTTCACAAGATACTGTATAACGAGGTTGTACGAGAGTTGGAGGAGGAACTGGAGGCCTATAAACTCACTGTTCCGAAATTGGATGCATACCTACGGCCATATAAGCTTGCCGCGAACTTTTCTAGCCAGGAAGCTCAATCTGTACAGCCAGTCACTAATCACAGTCTAGCTGACAACATGCTGGAGAGCCAGCTTGAAACTTCCAGTCAACACCACCACAGTCATGAACTCCCTTGGCTATCATCTAATTCCCATGCAGGCTCTATTATACACTGTCAAGAGAACCAATATAGGCGGACGGTCTTTTCCTTCTTTGATAACAATGAACCCCGGCTAGGATCGTAAGTCGTAAATTTCCTTTGAGAGTGTATTTTCACTAAAATTCAAACAAGGGCAGCACATGCCGACGATTGGTTCAGATTATATCGTGCTAAGGTTCGGCCACTTCTCCCACACTATTCAAGCCCCTCCGGTCGAGTCAAAATTGCAATATTAGATACAGGTATTGATTTGGGTGAGGATGTTATCTCCAGCCTCACTGATCGCATCATCAAAAATGAAAGCTTTCTGGTCGATGACAAATCTACAGATGACTTGGATGGCCACGGAACTCATGTTGCCGGGCTCATCCTCCGCGTGGCGCCAAATTCAGAGCTCTACATAGCCCGGATTGCTAAAAATCAAAGTCTTTTGGACAAAATTTCTATCGTCAATGTAAGTTCACCCAGCAATCAGATATGGTATATTCATTGAAAGTCAGAGGCTCAGGCTTTTGAGTTCGGGGTATCGGGAGTACTTCCACTTCAATCTGATCTACATGCTAACCGGTTCTGGAAGGCGCTCAAAGAAGCGATCAATTGGGGAGTGGACATTATAAGCATGTCATTCGGATTCACTGCGTATAACCAAGATCTGGAAGAACTGCAAGCTGTCATCAAGGAAGTCTTCCGTCGGGATATTCTTATGTTTTGTGCCGCGAGTAACAATGGCGGCAATGGAGATATCGCTTACCCTGCCGACCGGGACGAAGTCATCTGTATCAACGCAGCCGATGGTGAAGGGAGCCCTTCTGGATTCAACCCTGGTGAAGCAACGCTTAATCGTAACTTCTGCGCCTTGGGGGAAAACGTTAAGTCATCATGGCCTACACGATTCAATCTTGGGGATCAGAGAAAGTCGGGCACATCCTTCGCCACACCGATTGCAGCAAGCTTTGCGGCCATCATTTTGGGCTTTTGTGGAAATCACAAGGAGTCCGCAAGCCATGTTTTTGAAATCTCTAAGCTCAAGACGCGGCAAGGCATGATGAATGCCCTCAAATTAATGGGTCGGAAAAAGGGCAGCGGCTACTTGTGGCTAGACCCAGGGAAGCTGTTTGATAGCTCACGTAGGGACATTTTTGGGGACATCATTGCAGTTGCTAACAAGTAATGGAATCATGGAGACCAGGTGCAGGATTTCCTCGGTGTAACACCCTCATTTTTCCTGGACTGGTGCTGCGCCGGGGCTCATCCACTTGCTGTTTACAGATTTGGCTCAACGAGGAATTGTTGGCAAAATGCAGACGCAATCTTCGGCGCTATCTTCATCAATCACCGACACAAATTCTCTCCCGTCTACCAAAGCTTTTCCCATTCCATCCGAAATCTCCGTCTCCATCTCTGCTGTTGTCTTTCCGTCACCCAGCTCGAACATTGCGCCCGCAGTATGGTCTTTCAACACAGGTTCCTCCCCACCACCCTTGCACCATAATTCGCTCAACTGATAAGCAAACACGACCGGTGATGACCTCTCAAATCCTGTTGTGCCTTCTATTGACTTCGTATGCTCTGCCTCTGGCCCGATAGTGACTGGAACTCCAATGGGTGTGCCGTCAAATCCGAGCTTCCCTTGGAGGGTTCGAGATTTTTTCGGGTTTGTCGTAACGCTCGCCCCCTGCACTACTTTGAGTCCAGTAATAATGTAGACTGGCTTCTCAAAATCAGTTCTGTCGAAGAAGCTTGCGACTCGGGGGAGTTCTGAGCTCGCTTTAGCAAAAGATTCGCTGGGCAGGAACCATTCCGTCTTCATATGCTTGAATGCGTACGTCTCAATCGATCCTTTCTCGAACAAAACACTGGCTTCCCCACCAAGACCGAAGATCTGAAGAAACTGAGCGAAAAATCCATATTTATGGGACTTTGATTTTTCGAACTTGTCGCTAAAATTGTACTTATGTGAAACGTAAATAGGTGTATCGATAAGATTTTTGTCTTCTGCGCTTGTAATAGTCTTGTGGGGGAAATTCGGGTTTGACAGTATAGCACCGAGTTGGATGGAGTCCACAGGGAAATCCCAGCCAGGGCACAGGAAGTATGTCTTTTGCTTGTTTGACATTTTGGTTTTGACACGTGAAAATATAAAAGTAAGGAGGAGGGTTGTGAATTCAGCAAAGATGCAAGTTCTTTTGGTTCTATTTACTGTGTAGGAAGTCGAGGCAGATTCCCATGGAGCATATGAAACCCCTCAGCCAAATGAGGCTGAGTAACAATAGGACCCTGTGATTGAGTGGCGCTACATATATGTGGAGGCGGAGTAATGACAGCGAAGACTATGTGCGGAAGATATTGGATTGCACACGAGGCATTATCTTCCTCGGAACACCACATGGCGGAAGTGGGCTTGCGAAATGGGCTGAAAGGTCCGCGTCGCTCTTGAATGTTGTACGAACTCCAAACAAAGATATACTGCCGGTATTAAAAGCAGACTCTGAGGTTCTCTCACGGATGCAAGAAGACTTTCATTTAATGCTAAAGGCGCGGTAAAGGGAAGGCCGCCCTGAGATCAAGATTAAATGTTTCTATGAGGAACTCCCGGTGCGGAATATTGGCATGGTGCGCTTGATCTCGATTCGTTTTCTCGCAGCAGACCTTGGCTAACAAGCGGGAAGGTCGTAGATCGAAATTCGGCTCAATTTTCTCCAGCGCATGCCGCTACTGGCATTCACGCAACTCACATGGACATGACCAAATTCGAGACGCTACCAGCGAGGGCTATCGCTACATCGTGAGCGAGTTGCGACTTTGGGTAGCGTCAGCAGTAGTAGTGCAGGAAGGAAAATCTACTTCTATTGCATCGCGGCATCCTGTTAGAATATGGGAGTTATGGGAGTTCCCCTGGCCGGCTGGTCAAGCCACTTAGGCACCCCACTTGGCACTTCTCCACCACAAAGGAGAAATGAGATATGTGTACTCGCGATGAGCCGAATACACGGATATCATCGCATCCCATACTAATTAGTATGGCACATGATGATGGAGGCCCTGGGAAGCCATTCGGATACCATCGGTATTATTTCCTTGAGTCACCTGATTGATCACCTGACCCCATACATTCATTTGCCTATATATGTGAGGCTTTCACCCAATAGTATTAGGCTTGGGGATCAATTCAATTACCCAATTCCATGACCCATTCTGACCAATCAATTACCTGTATTAAGTGTACCAATTTGGGTCCCATTAATCAATACATCCTGACCATATATACAACCGAGTTATAGCTCAAGATGATGCAAGGCAAGTAAATGGAAATGTCGGTAATAGTGTGTCATTGAGCGATGGCACACATCTACGTGGAGTTATCAGCCAGCGGGAGGAGCCAGCAAGTCAACGGAAACTTCAGCGATCCAGCGACTGCGGTTGCATTTTTACAAATCGCACATATTTAATCCCCGTGATGCCGAACTGCGAATCAAATCGTTGTGAATTGAATTCGGGGGCTTTTCCATCTCCACGACGACACACTCGCAACTCAACGCATTCTGTCCACGAGTCTTGAATGTACGAACCGCCGTTCCTCCAGACATGGCGACTGCCATCGGATCAACGATATATCGAGTGACCGGCCTTCCTATCGATAAGGCTGAGAATGAAATCCAGTCAACACTGACCGAGACAATCCACAGTCTCTTAACGGAGGATGAAAGGAGGCGGGCAAAGGTGGAGATCATCTTCCTTCATGGGACGGAAGCCAGACCACGAGCGCGCAAGTGGGATTCCAGAATTTTTGCCGCAGCTTGCCCATAACCCACTTGGCGATTGGCAGGTTGTAATGGGAAGATTGCTAACTTACCCGTGCCAGTGAGGGGTGTATAATAGACTCCATTGAAATTACTATCAAGAAGCCATCCCTCGGGGAAACGTTGCCAGAAGTGATACCAAGCAGCAGTCTTTTGACGGTGGGTCGGGTTACGGATTTCGGCTATATTAATAAAAGGTGTGTGATGTTTGAGCTACAAAGAAAGGATTAGTATATCTACTCAGGCGGATAAATATCGCGTTCTTCCATTAATAATCGTGCTTCTAGCTAGAGTAGTGCGACGAGCTGAAGCCTCGGAAGATCAAGCCTTATACTAAATCACGTGAATAGCGCTGAATATTCCAACGGGCACGGCGAGCACGCGATTACTTGACGTAATCTAGTATAAAGTAAGAAATAAATAATTTACTAGTTCCTCTACCCTATACTTGTATAGTGGAAAAAGTGGGGATTTTAGTGAGGTGGGAATGTAAAGGGGATATCGAGTACGGTAAACAGCTAGAGCCGAGTATAAATAAATCAACCAACCAGGCTGTAACACGTCACACCTATCTCATAAACCGCCCCTCTCAATAATATTTAGAATTAACAACCTCGGGGTTGAATGAAGAGTAGAGATCACCCTCCAACGATTTTCCGCTAGTGCGAACGGCGTTCGACCTCTCTCTTGTCATGGGCATCGCTACCTCACACCTCTGCAAAGCATGTTGCAACATCTCGTTCTCCGGCTTCGACAGGAGTTACCCACACCATTCAAGCTATGCCGCTTTTACAGAGGCTCGGTCGAATGGCTGTCATTTGTGCATCATGCTTTGGAAAAGCTTGAGATTGTCCGAGCCTTCTGATCCTTCTAAACAACATGATTCTGAACAATTGGTTCTGAAATATTTCAGACCAGGCAGATCTAAATGGGATCTATCGGGTCAAAGTATACCCCTTGATGACTTTGTATTGAAGATTAGCTATCAAGATCGTCGAGTGGAATTAGCCTCTACTGTATTGCCCGGTAAGAATAAAGGACAATATGCTACTAGCGGAGGTAGTTAACGTAACAACTCAGATGCTTTTCGCCGATTTAGTGAAAGAGCAGCGGCCATGTCTGTCACTGATAACCATGATAAACACACTGGCTCACCCGAAAGCATGGATTTCGCATTAGCATGGATAAAAGAATGCCAAGAGAATCACCCAGAGTGCTCGCAAGAGAAAAATAGCAGTGCTTCACTTCCTACCCGCGTACTTGATGTAGGAACCCGCGGTGCCTGTCGGCTACAGACTGAGACCCTAGGACTCCTAGGGCCATACGTAACCCTCAGCTATTGTTGGGGTAGTGGTCGCAGGATTTTCACTACGTTGAGCAATATCCACACACGCCAACAAAACATTGAAATCAAGGAGCTACCGGCGACTATTCGAGATGCGATCCAAGTTACCCACGATTTGGGCTATCGATGGTTATGGATAGATCAGCTATGCATTATTCAAGATTCACCAGAAGATGTGCAGAGAGAATTGGCAGTTATGGATGAGATTTATACAAACGCAGCTCTTACTCTTGCTGCCTCTAAAGGCGACAGTGTTGACGATGGACTTTTCGTGGAGCGAGACCCAAGATGGTTTAGACCATGTCGTGTGACTATAAAAAATATTGGCAAAGGAGCAGACTCCTCGAATGACTATGTTTTCCTACGACCCAATTGCGTGGAGAGCCCGGACCCAGGCGAGTCTGCGTCAGCCAGGACTTCTTGGTATGGTTCTAACGACTTTGATGGACATAATTTGAATAGTTTAGGCCGGCGAGGGTGGACACTGCAAGAAGCTGTCCTCTCCACCCGAATGCTCGTCTTTGGCCCGGTACGCTTAGAGTGGTTTTGCTTGCGCGGTTGGGCGTCTGAAGATCACCCTATATCGAAAGTTGGCCTCCCGTATATATTCAACAGCAAGCACAAAATACAAAGGTTGCGCACTTGGATAAGTCCGAACTTTTTGGGTGGTCTCTGTAACGGCGAAATCTCCGAGTACGACAACAGAATCTCTGACGTCACTAGTTTATCCCGGCATAACACCTCCTTCATAGAGGAACGCTTTAACGAGATGCGTTATCCGGCATGGGATAGCTTCCAACAGAATCTTTATAATGACTGGTATGCCATCGTTACAAATTACAGCGGGCGTGCTCTGGCATTTGAACAGGACAAACTGCCTGCTCTTGCCGGAGTAGCGAAGCGAATGTACATGATTTGCAAGACAAACTATCTCGCTGGACTGTGGAAAGATGATCTTGTATTTGGCTTGTTATGGCACGTTGAACCTACTCGGGATAGGGCCTCTCTACGAAAACCGGCGTGTTACCTAGGGCCATCATGGTCGTGGGTATCACGGATCGACAGGCAAGTTGGCTTTGTTGACTATGCCTCCCGACCTCGGTACGAGCAAACCTTCGGCATGACCGTGATTGAATCGAGATGTGTGCTGGCAACTCCAAATAAATTTGGGTCAGTAAAGGATGGCCATCTGCTATTATCAAGTGTGATGAAGCATGCTAAAGCTAGAGTTGTGGCGGAATATTTCGAAATCAAAGGATTTGAAGGCATTGGGCATAGGAATTGGAGAGGGGCTATTAAAGATGATGATTCTGGGGAGACTATTGGCGGAGTATACTTTGACGAGGACGTGCAAGCCCTCGAACAAGTGGAGTTTGACTTCTTTCTGATCTACTTCGAGGATGCGGATCATGGTTCAAATTGGAACAAGAGACGCTATGTTTTCCGAGGTCTCGCGCTGATTAGAAAGAATAATTCTGATGATTATCAACGAATCGGATTGGCGACAATTGTAAAGCAGGACTGGTTTGGAGACATTTCGGTTGATAATGATCGGAAATATCGAACGCAAGTCAGGATTGTCTAATGCAAACATGTATGGATCAGGTTGGATGAATCCATTTATTTCTAGTGAGTGATTAAAATATTGTTGCGAACGGGCTTCCAGGTGTTTGATTGATTTATTCATACATACAACAGGCTAATGTTGACGTATAGAATAGTATGAGTACTATATCCTGCATCATATTCAACTCATGCCATTGTAATCACGCTTTTTCTGCCATCATTGCTGGCATATGCCTCAGCAGCATTCTCAATGCATACCTCTTCCCACTCTCCTGACACGGCGTACTTCCACCTCCCGCTCTCAAACAATGGCTCTAATTCTCGGAGTAGGCCAGCCATCTGTTCACTGCTGTGTGAAACGGTGTTCACGCCGACGAGACTCTTCTCCGCCCGGTAAAAGTCCAGCATGTTGGTACACAGATGAGCAACTGACGACCCACGCGCACGCGGGGCCGCGATGAAGACCAGTCGCCCAGCATGACCGAGAGCCACCTCAATAGCTGCACTCGAAAGTGAGGGAGAACCTACGGTGTCGATAACAGCGTTGACGCCTGTAGGTGCAAGCCTACTAACCGACTTGAGTTCCGGGTCTGCAGATGTGTCAATGTCGGCACCTTGCCCAAGGACAGCCCGCAGAATCTTGCAGCCCATTTCCTCAAGCAGCACGCACACACATCTACCGACATTTCCATGAGCACCAATCACTAGCACAGTGTCACCAGCCTTGACTTCGGATCGGCGGACCACCAGTGCTGCGGTCGTAAAGGGCACCCCGAGGGTCGCGGCTTGGACATGACTCAACGAATCGGGCTTAGGCACGACGGCGCGCTCTGGAACAACGGCATAGTCTGCTTGAAAGCCATCGACGGTAAAGGTGTGAGTCGAGCCAGAGGTGCCAAAGACAGCTACACCATCTAGAGGCGTCTTATCGGCTCCGGTCCCATCCCAGAGACAACGACGCCGGAAAAGTCACGCCCGGGGACTCGAGGGAAGACGTTATGTCCAAAGCCGCCAAGTGCATTAAGCAGGTCAGACGGGTGGATGGCGGAAGCGTGGATGCGAACAAGGACATGGCCTGGCTGCCGCATCGGGAGCGGGTGCTTGGTGGTGAGGGTGATGTGAGGCGCGGTCGCTCCGGGAGCTTTGGTCAGGAGAAGGGCACGCATAGTAGCTGGAGTTGAGGACATATTGAACTGGGTTGAACTGGGTAGATTGTGTGCTATGTGTGCTTTCATGTAACGATTTGGTAGACACCTTGTGCCACGGTGCTTTGTATAAGCTGCTGACTTGATAGTTGAAAGATGTGATGCCTTGTTGAATGGTGACAACTAGAATTTATTTTTATTTGCATTGCTATACTATGAAAGCAGCAGCAGGACATACCGTTTATTATAGCAATGTTTGGGAAAATTTTATCTACATCAAGACAACTCGTCCGTGGAATAAGAGGGACGACGTCGAAGTAACATTGTCTACGACTCCGCGTCGGCCGGCGCGGACCGCACTTAGCTTGAAGCCGCAATAGCCGACTACTGATCCGCAATAGCCGACTACTGATCCGCAGGGGCCGCAACAGCCGCTTTTTACATCATTGTCGCCGCACCTTTTAGCGAACCGAGAACCCGAAGGTGGATTTGTCGATAGCCACTAAGCCATCGCAATGCAGAGTTTTAGGCAGAGACTTGGGGGGAAACTTTGAATATAAATACGATCAAGCCATACTCGTAGCTGGCCGACTTGAAGGCTGCGTGACATGCAGCATTTGCAATTTACACCTGCAACCCCAGACCAAGTGGTTTACCACCTGCATAAACCACCGAGGGGAGGAAAATAACAGTTTCCAATGTCTACGCCATGCCCACAAGCGTACGGTGCGAGGGAATTAAGGACATCCCTAGACATGACCACCGCGGACGAGTCTTTGACGGCTCGAGACCTTCCATCGCAATATCGCCACCGAGACAAGGAAGACATGGACGAACTCTCTCGGATCAAGCGCGCCGAGTCGAGCATCCCATATCCATCAACACTTCCTCGAGAGGCCATCTTCGTTGCTGTCCTCTGCTCCGCCCAGCTTATGACCCAGGCCGGCCTGGCCATCAGCATCGCCCCTATGCACATAATAGGCCAGAGTTTCGATATTTCGCCCGTGGCTGGTGGTAGCCAGTTAAGCTGGTTTTCCGCAGCATACTCTCTCACTGTCGGCACATTCATCCTCATCGCTGGGCGCCTTGGCGACGTTCTTGGCCACAAAATATTCTTTGTCGCCGGCTTCGTGTGGTTTGGGCTGTGGTCGCTAATCGCTGGTATTGCGGTCTACAGCGGGCCGATTCTTTTTGACTTCTGTCGCGCCATGCAGGGCATCGGCCCAGCGTTCCTGCTACCCAACGCCCTCGCCATCTTGGGCCGCAGCTACGAGCCCGGCCGCCGGCAGGAGATGGTATTCAGCCTGTTTGGTGCCACGGCTCCTGGCGGTTTCGTCCTCGGCGCAGTTTTCAGCAGCCTGCTAAGTGAGCTAGCATGGTGGCCCTGGGCATATTGGTCTATGTGCTTTGCTTGCCTGATTTTCGCCATTGCTGGTTTCCTCGTCATCCCTCCCACGCCAGCACTAGAATACGATGACGATAAGGAGTCAAGCATATGGAGTCGAGTCGATGCCGCTGGTGGTGTTACTGGCGTATCTGCCCTGGTAGTTTTCAACTTTGCATGGAACCAAGCTCCAGTCGTCGGCTGGCCGACTCCTTATACTTACATCACGCTAGTCGTCGGCATCGTCGTTTTTGTTGCGTTCATCCTTATCGAGAGGCATGTCGCACATCCACTTATCCCCTTTGGCGTACTTCAGATCGATTCCGTCTTAGCCTTGGCGTGTATCAGCGCCGGCTGGTCCAGCTTCGGTATCTTCGTCTTATATCTCTGGAACTTCCTTATGCTGCTCAACAAGCAGTCGCCTCTGCTTACCTCGGCGCAGTTCAGCGTCGTCGCCGTCAGCGGTTTGTGTGCAGCGTTGACCACAGGGTTAATTCTCTCGCGGATCAAAGCCTCTACTGTCATGTTGATTGCAATGACAGCTTTTGCAGTTGGAGGCACTCTTCTCGCAACACTTCCAGTGGGCCAAACGTACTGGGCTCAGGTTTTCGTGGGCCTAATTATTCTTCCATGGGGAATGGACATGTCTTTTCCTGCCGGCTGTATCCTGCTAAGCAGAGCTATGACGAAAAGGCACCAGGGCCTCGCCGCATCCTTGGTTAACACTGTCGTGAACTACTCAATCTCCATCGGGCTCGGCTTTGCCGGCACCGTAGAATACAACGTCAATGATGGCGGCAAGGACATTATAGCAGGATTCCGTGGTGCCTGGTACACGGGCGTTGGCCTGGCTGGCCTCGGAGTTGTGGTCGCGCTGACTTTTGTCTGTTCAGAAAGGTTGCGCCGGTAGCAGCAGAGAGATGTAAATAGATAGAGTAGCTACTTATTCATAACAGCCAATGCACGAACAAATGCTGTCATCGCCATGCTGCTGATTGTTGTGGAGAAAAACATAGAGTATATTAGCATTGCAGCTTATGCCACCATTATCGATGGCGTCGTACAAAGCTAATAATATCAGGCCAACATCATGGGCACGGAAGATGCGTCGGGAGCTTGTACGCAAAGATCGTCAAAAAATGTGTCCCACCACAAGTCGAGATCTTGGCTATACAATTCATCAACGATGCCATCTGCCTCCTTGGGTGTAGTTCGCCTGTTGGCGTCACCATCATCGTCGCAACCATCATCGCCATCACCATCACCAACGCCAGTGTCAGCGTACGCGTCAACAGACTCTAGCACCGCTATATCGTGCCTCTTTCTCATGACACAGTCCCTCAACAGCTGATGGGCGGTCGACAATGCCTCACGCGTCATTTTGGTGCCTATGGCGTTGGCCATAGCCTCTAACACGGAGAAGACGCTGGCAACATTCGCTAGGGCATACGGCGTGTCCAGCGCCAGTAGAACGCACGAGAATTGGAACACGCTTCCCAGCGCATTAAAAAAGGGATATCCTTCATCAACAACAACTCGCTGTGCTGCGGCAACAGCCTCATTGCCAGCTGTTACAATCTGTTCGACCACGTCTCTCGTCAAGGCTACCCGCTGTTGGCGGAGGCGTCGGTAGAAGCAACACATCAAGTCGGCTTTGGTCCAGGAAAGGAACGCGTGGCCAGTAGGCAACCTATGAAGTGCTTTGATCCTCTCAACAAGTTCGTCCCCAGCCTGTCTCGGTTCGGACTCTGGAATAAAAGGGGAGCTGCGTGACGGGATAATTTGTATGAGACAGATCCACTGGTAAGAGTATGGCCCTGGCAACAAAGTGGTGTTGTTGCATGTCACCATGGGAATCTCGATGCTGGAGCGACCGTACTCGTACGACGTGGCGATATGACAAGACCACGCGGTCCAAAATATGCGTCTCAACCTCTCCGCATCATGACCGCGGGAGACGGTACCCGGAACTGCAGCCAGCCTATTTACGTTTTCTTCTTTATGTAGGCCTATCGCCTCTGCAAGGTGCATGGTGGTGCTCGAAGCTAGCCATGCATTGTTTGGCCGTGTGGTGGACCGCAGGTAGAAAAATCGCAAAATCCATCCTACAACAAGGTCGACAGTAGGTCTGCGCACCGAAGCTGCATCCTCTAGGATAGCCTTCGCAAACTGCACTATTTCTAGCTCGCGAGGGTGGCCGTTGTCTCGTGAGAAGAAGGACCCAATAGCTGCAACACCGCCAGCTACTGCCGCAAAAGAGCCGATGTGGTGATGCTCTTGGTAATAGTCCCGGCATCTGTGTCGATAGTTGTCCTGGTCCAGCACGTCTATGCAAGGAGCACATACTCGAAAATAAACATCTGAGAAGGCCTTCAGCTCAGTCTCCGAAAGCAGATCCATCAAGTGGCCATGTGTGGTGCTGCTTTCCTCTTGTCGAATGCCAAAATTGAACCCGAAAGAGTGCAACACAAGAGGTGATTTGGACCCAAGCTCCAACCCAAAAACTCGTGCAAAGGCAACGGCTGATGAGCTGCCAACGTAGCGCGATTTCTCTTCATCAAATACACCAGTGTCAAGGTCCAACAAGGCTTTGCCGCTGGTGACGCCGACAGTGGCTTGTGACCGCGAGCTTTGCTCCCGTGCGCCGCTCAACGTACTTGCTGCAAACTGCTCTAACGAGCTATTATCCGGAGTAAAGCTGCAAACATAGCCATAGTTATTACACATCCTGCACGGATGATTGCCATCGCATTTCCGCTTGCGTTTGCGACACGGAATGCATGCTCTCCTGGCACGCTTGCGTCCATGGCTACTGACCGTCTCAGAAGACTTCTCGGCAAGCCGTCGGCTAGTATGTGATCGATTCTGTCGCATTGGTGGAGTAAGGTCCATTGAACGCCGTTATCCATGCGTTAGGTTAACTGTACGGCGAGGGAAATCCGAACATTTGAATCAGTTCGGGTTGAATGGCATATTTGCGAACCGAAGTGTGAGCTGAGGTGAGCGGAGGAGGTCAATTGTGGAGAAAGTAGTACTCGTACCTCCAGGATTCGAAAACGGACATGGATGTAGTTTGTCGTATTGTGGTGGGGTGGAACTGCAGGCAAGTGTCACGTGAGCGTGCGACAGGAGAGATAGGGGCATAAAGGGGGACTCCGGCACGTGTATATTCTTATTCTCTCCTTAGGCAGTTACAACTCCAAAACCTTGATTCGCAGTCAACCACTTCCACTCCGTTACAAGAGGACTTTAACTCCCAGCCAAACGGACTAAACCACTATAATATAACATCCTTTTGGTTTCTAATCTTATAAAAATCGTTATTCCACCATTGGTGTAAAGCGCGCCTTTGTTCAGTAGTAATAGTATGTCGAGGACCTCGGTGTCTAGCTCTCTTAAGTTGATTTATGATATACCGGATACTTAGTAAACAAAAATTAAATTAGCCGGTATTCTGGTATATATAGAGATTCCGGTATAGCTATACAAATATTGGTGGGGCAACCCGAATTCCGGTATATCTTAAGCTGGTATAAGTAGAGTTTACTGGAGTGCCCCGCCCCCGCCTCGGGTATTACTGACCTCCCGCCTTCGTGGCGATGCAATGTTTTGGTTCTCGTAATGTTATCCGATGCGGTATGCACAATGCCGAGCTTGTCTGATGGAGCCGCTGAGCCGTAGTTCATCGAAAAGGCAGGCACTTTAGCATTGTGAGGAAAGAATATATTAATCACTCGTCAGCTTTCAACTACATTCAGCATCTCAGAACGAAAACAGAAACAGTATTTAAAATGAGTATGGTTAAATATGCATTCGCTGGCAATGACTAAATTGGATGTAGCGCTCACACCTGTTCATTTCTTCTCTCACGGATCTACCCGCATGCTCGAAGAGGATTGTGATGCGGGGACATATTGGAAAAAATGCGGCGATGACGCTCTCGTACAAGGTGTCAAAGGTATCGTGATAATGGTGAGACTTCCTTACGCTCAGCTACGGGACAGTCGATTGATGCTTCGTCGTTTAGGGCGCACATTGGGATTGCTTGGGCGATAAGATTGAAGTCGCCACGAACCCCAATCCTTCCAAATCGCCATGTCCGTATGTGACACCATCGATTTACACGCAGTGGAAACCAAATCCAGACCTCAAGACGGCAAAACGATGCGTTTCTATGCTTGCTGCACAAGGCTTCAATGTCTCCGAGAACCCTACTTTTGATTGGATCCATGACACTTACTTGGTCCTCATTCGAATGTTTCCCGACGCCAAACTCTGCCCGCCGGTAACCATTGTCTCGATGAACGCACGGTACGATCCGCACTACCATATCAAAGTCGGCGCCACGCTTCGCCCACTCAGAGAAGAAGGCTATCTCCTTATCGGTACCGGTGGCGCTGTACACAATCTCTATCGCAATGAATGGAGGCCTATGGTCCTTTACCGCGACTCTCTAGGTCAGGAGAAGCCACCCGAGACATGGGCTCTCGACTTTCGACAAGCCACTGAAGATGCAATAACTCGGAACTCTGGGCCAAAGTTACGAAGAGCGGTAGCAAGACTCATGAAGCACCCGCAGTATCGTGCCGCGCAGGCGACAGACGATCACTTCATTCCAGCTCTGTTTTGTGCAGGAGCGGCCGGGGACTGGGATGATATGGGCAGCGTTAACGTGCTGGGAGCGGAGACGTGGGAGTTGACCAATATGTGCAACTCACAATTTACACTAGGTTCATATGACAGTGTTGGAGCCCAGGGCCTTGCAATTACTGCTTGAAAGATGTTAATTTGACTATTGTTCCGCTCGTTTTTGAGAAGATTAGCAGAATTCATATGATAATTCAATTTTTGAAACGATTTGTTACATTTACTCCTAAAGTAAAGCCCTCACGATTTCTTCATCTCGTCAATTTCCTGTAATTTAATGGCTTTCATCCGGCTACGCCTGCGGACACAATACCTCCACGCAGTGCAAACCGGGAACGTGGTGTCTGTTGAGGAAGGGACTAGGCGAAGAATACATGAACAAATCGGCGGTGGTAGGGAGTCAGTTAAACGCATCACAAAAGAATTAGGGTTGTAGCCATGTGTATATGGCGCTGCATAGCAGCTATAAAAGACTGTAGATTTCCGAGATGCAAGCTAGCTTTATTGGACACTATAGATTACAGCCCTCGGATCACAACCTTCCCCACGAACGCTGTCAGTATCAAGAGCGGCATGCCTATTACCACACCTGCCCCAACACCAATAGCAACCGCGAAAAAGTCTTTCTTCTTGCCAAGTCTCTGACCTGTAGGTCTTAGAGGTGCTTGCATTAGCTCGGTCCAGTCCAGAAACTGTGACCGCAAGCCAGGTTGTTCAAGAGTAAGCCCACTCTCCACCATCTGAGATGTCGAACTTGGTGTCAAAATGACTGGCCGAGATTCTTCAAAGATTTCGCGAATGTATCGAGGCAAGGCTTTTGTGTCTGCGATGACACCCATGGACCTGGGAAATTGTGGCCCAACTAGGAGTTCCACAGGAAATGTGTTGACACAGGTAAAATCGGCAGCAACTGCATTTGCAAGGTACTTGGCCTCTGGCAACCTGGCAAATATGAATGCCGAGGATGGTGTATCAAGTAGATTGCCTGTCAAGTCCGCTATTGAGTCTATCATATCGTCCATACTTGTAGCGCTGTATAGTAGCAGGTTGGTTTGCTTCTGAGCTTCAGATTTGACCAACGTCTTATAGTTTTGCCTAGCGATATTGTTAGCCGTTTGCGACCTTTCTAGAATTCATTGACCCACAGATCTTTGATAAAGGCTATTCTTCCTCTTGGATCAGAAATCAAACCCTCAAATTCCGATGGCCCTCCTGCGGTCTTGACATCCACTTTGTTTACCGTTCCAGATTCAGCTGTCGCAAGGCCAGCAAAAGCCTGTACATCCTGTAACAGACAATCTGAGAACTGGCTACGTACTGCCTCGTGCACAAACACAACAGCAGGAGCAAACGAGCTTGTCCCTTTGAATGCAAATTTTGCTTCAAGAACACTGCGAGACGCTCTCTCCAAATCGGCTGTTCTGTCGACGAAAAAGATATTCAATGACGATAAAGGGGGTGAAACGAGCCTCTTCGCCGATGTGGAGATGATATTAGGCAGATCTGTGTCAATGCCATTTTGCTGTACTACCACGCACTGCTCGAGGAACTCATTTGGGGGAACCGCGTCCGAGACTGCGAAAGTATCGTGATCCAGTGAGTCCAGCAAAATTCTCCGCAGAATCGATGTCGTTCTCCGCGTGGTATTTGGCATCTGCATTCTTTAGTAATATTTCGGAGCACATTGAGCGAACCAACCTCCACAACGATGCAGTTTCCTGCTGCCAGCGCTGCACATAGTGGGCTCAGAGTCCCATATACGTCGGCTCTTGTGCGATCTGGCCTTATATACACGATACCCACACCGACCTTGCGATGCAGACTATCTCGCGCTTGCTCGACAGCCCTTGCGGCGGCAATTTCAGCTTCCAGACTGACGCTTTCATATGTTGATCGCAATTCTCTCAATGCCAGCGAATACTCAAGGACTGCTTCTCTCCTCAAAAAGCTATTGTCATCCTGAAGGGCTTCGACGATTGAAGCTCCTGCTGCGATCAATGCATCATGGAGACGGTGGAATTGGTGCTGACGGTGACGGACGGAGCGAGGCTTCCCTTCAATACAAGCAGCCGTAAGTTGAGGGAAGCCCTTGAGGGATCTGTTGCTTGGGGATGGCATATTGTGGATGGATGAATGGACAGTGGTAGTGGCTGAGCTCGCGGTATTGAGTCTCAAAGTAGAAGAGGAAGCGGCGAGTGGAAGAAGGAAAGGTATGTTCTGTTCACACTTCTTCGCAGATATCTGAGACTATAAAAATGCCCTTTGAATCAAACTTCCCAGACACGACTGAGAAGTACTCCCAATTGCTGTGCTGCTTAATCGACGACCCCAACTCGGCAATTTCAACAATCTGGGCTAACAACGGACGGCCGGTGGGGAGGCGAAGTACTTCGGACATAGGATTGCCCGCATGAGAGTAATCCACACCAAACCCCATTTGAGTGAGGAAGGCCTTGCTGAAGGAGGATAAGGTTCTCGTGCCATGATCTTTCCCATCCTCACGAAGTAACAGCAAAAGGAGAAAAAGCAGACCACCATGTCATCGTCCACCGCAACCTTCGTCATTCCCAGTAGTATTTCGGAGCTGCTGCAAACCTATGATGTCCACCACACTGGCCAAGAAGAGCAGCACCAGAGGCAGCCGAATCGTCAGCCCCAGGCGCAGTATATTCTCCCATCAACGCCGACAATCCAGCTGTTGGAGCCAGCGGATCCCCAGGTAGAGCCACCATCCAGGCGCCGAGTCCCGCCTTATCGTGCCACGAGCCGGAACCATTCATTGTCGTCTCGACCAGCTGGACCCAACGCTGCAGATGTCATTCCTGTCACACTAATGTTCTTAGGTGTATATATTGTTGCCGTGAGTGCCGCCTGGGATTACACGAGAGCGATGCTGACAACCCGTTTCTAGGGCGTTGATCGATGCTGGAAAAACACAGGGGGCAAGATAAATGATCGTATTTTTCATTACGAGGTTGGGGGGGAATGGTAATGGCAGTACAGTGTCTGAAGCGAAATCGCCAAACTCATCAAAATGCCCTCTCTTTGGACTTGGACTTCTATTTCGCTGCCAAGTTGGATATGATTTTCAAACAAAGTTTATGCATCTCTTTATTAGACTATTATCTGTACCGTTACAGAGCAGTTATTCTAGTTGGTTGTGCGAATGAATGTTATCACTCAAAGTTGGGTAATTTCGCAGGAAGGATATTGGTGAAAACTGATATCACAACTGGAATTGGTGGAACAGTGCATTCTTTTAAAGACACAATACATTCCTCTCATGCGTGGCATACCCAAGCTCATGGATAGCCATTGAAAATACATCTCAGCAAATTCAATCAATCCCACCCTCATCTTCGTCCAGAGCTGTACCTGCAAGAGTCACCGACTCAGCAGCTTGTAGCACATACAGCATCCTACACCACTGGTCCTTGCTTGTATTCCTCCATGCATGATTGGTTCCCCTTTGCACGGAGACATCTCCTCGCTTCAGAAGCCTGGTCTCTCCCGAGTCAAGCTGCAGCTCGACCTCTCCTTCCAAGACCACGCCAAAATCAAGAGAGACTGTGCGATGCATAGGCGAAGTATATCCCGGAGCAAAATCGACAGTGCGGCAAACTGTACCGCCGGGAATCGTCAGTGCAGGAGGCGTCTTGAGGTATGATGCATATGCTTCGACGTCTGCATCGTCAGCGAGACGCAATGGATCGTGCTTGTTCGTGTACATGAGCGAGAATTCCATCGCACCGCCGGTCGATTGACGGACATGGGCCTCGGAGGGCACTTTATCGCTGAAAATTCCTTTGCCCGAAGCATCATGGGCGGTGATGTGGCGTTTGAGAGGGCGGAGGGAGCTCCTGGGTGAATCTGATGCAGCTGAGGACATTTTGGAAAAGTGGGGGTAAGGCAGTCAAGTGCTGAATGAGTCTTGTATTGTCTAAGATTTGCAGTCTAAAGTTGCAGGACGCGCGATATATAAAGCAGGTCACTAAGTCTAGGTCGGAATCACAGGTATGACGACCCAGTTGTCAACATTTGGCCCGAAATGGACATGGTTAAAACCCTCCAAAACATCCGAGGGACGATCGATCTCGGAGTTGTGTTCAAAGAGTCCTGCCCCCTGCGTGTCCCCCGATGACAACTCCAGTACCAATCTATTACCGGGAGACACCACGACATTGGTCGGCCAGATCTCGACGTCCACAGCGTACACCTCTCCCGGAACGACTGGCTGAACATCCGTGGAGAGATATTCCCGGTGGGGGTGCCAAGGCTGATTGCGCGGGTGATTGTCGGCTGTTCTGCGCAGACTCACTCGGAGCCACCCCTTTGTCACGGGAACGGGATCCCCAATGGTTCCAGTGTAGAATGTCTCGCTTCCGTTTTCATCCAGATGCCTTAGAGTCACGAATAGATCAATCTCGGAAGGCGATGTCTTGGAATCCGGCATGGCTGAGGCCGACACATTGAGATGTGCCACTATATGCCCCGTGATTTCTGTCTCTTGCTTGAATGGTTCCGTGGTGAAGTGGACGTACTCGGGGTTTTTCAGGCTTGCTGGCGCTTTGTAAGACACTGTCGATTCCTTGTTTACTTGTCCCGGTTTCTCGGTAAGGCCATGGGAGGAGGTGAGGTAGAATTTGGTGTACTCTGTACGCTTGATTGGCCACTCATTCTCATACCGAAACGCATACTGCTTCTCTGCTTCGGGATCATTGTACCCAATGTTTCCCTTTCTCAAAGCAAACCCAACACGGGGCGCCTGACCACTCTTCCATCCTTCGGTGTCCTGGTCCTTCAGAAAAGCATCTAGGAAGGTCTTCTGCATGTGCACAAGCTCCTTCGTGTAAAATGGTAAATCGTGCCTGCCGGTGATAAATCTGAGGTATTTGTGTTTGGATCCTGCATGCAAGTAGCCCTCAACATTGCCCCGCAGATGTAACAAGATGCCTCCCCAGTTTGCCACGGAGAGCACCGGGACTTTGATGTCATTCATATCGTATTCCTTTGAAGCATAGTAGTCCTGATCGCGGAAACGATATTTGGCGTTATCGGCTGTCTGGTCCCGACGATTTGAAATTAGTTCCTCCTCAGGCAAGTCACCTTCGATCGTATCGAACCCCCATTTCCGGGCAGCTCTGCCAGGACGTCCATATTGATTGGTCACAACCTTGAGCTCGGATTAGCAACTATAGCCACAATGCCAATTTCGTATCCTACCTGGCGATTCCACCACCATGTTATAAACGTGTTTGACAAGATACCGCCGTGCCTGCACCGATCTCTGTAATAGTCGGACATTCCTTCCCACGGAATTATGCAGGCAAGACCTTTTGGCTGGCGTGCCGCGACCCTCCATTGACTGCCGGCGTAGTAGCTAATCCCAAGTAGTCCCACCTTCCCATTTGACCACAATTGACTGGCGGCCCATTCGACCACGTCAAAGTACGCTTCAGAGGTGCCCCTTGACATGGTATCAAGGATGCCGGGAGACTGACCACACCCTCGCTCATCCGCTCTCACAACAGCGTAGCCATGGTTCGTCCAGAAGCCAGGGTCAGGCGTCTCCCAGGCTGAATGAGGCGAGTGATGTTCTTGTGGAACTTCGTTGTAAGAATTGGCATGGAAGCTGTAGGAAATCAGCAAGTGTCCTGACATTGTGGTCCATGGAATAACTTACTGGCTGTAGTGGATGTCTTTGCCATACGGTCCATATGTCACCAGAACAGGATGCCTCATCCCTTTCGTCTTCGGGCGATAAACGTTGACCCTCACAAGTCCTTTGTCACCCTTTAGAGGCACCGTTACATTTTCTTCATACAAATATTCGAAAGATTCATCATCTTTTTTGTAAAGGTCTTTGATTGGGTTTGGCATTTTCAAGAGTTTGTTGTTTGAGGTTGGGAAGCTGGTCGGCTGTGTTCGGTGCGGTGCATCTAATTCAAGATGCTGTATGTATGATGTACTTTTGAAAGTAGGGCTACTTCAACAATAAAATCCCGAACCTGTGTTCTTCGGGAGCCGCCAGTCAGAGCGCCTGGAATCTTTCGGCAAATCAAGGGTGGGGAATAGTAAATGTGCTAATCCGGTGCGGTCACTACGGTCTCGAGGGGGTCATCGTCTATCGTGGAGGTTCTCAAAGTGGCAACTTAAGAGTACATCAGCAGCATTCAATTTTTATCCTCGTCTTCTACGTAGTATGCCCTGGGGATATTTTTCTGCTAGAGACGGCCCTGGCTTTCTACCTTGTCCGTCCTGCAGGTACCGTACTCCCCTCTCCGGATGATCTTAGGTTATTTGTCACAAGCAAACTTGGAAAGAAATTCCGCGAGGTGGTGCAATATCCAACACGTCACGTATTAACTCACCCCGCAGTGGGGGCTTCGCATACCCCAACTTCCGGGTGACCCCCCCCCCCCCCCCCCCCCCCCCCCCCCCCCCAAATTACCGTATTACCTCAGATCTGAAGATCTCATGTCTGGACCTGAAATAAGTAGAAGCATAGAACCAAAGTGTAGCACAATTGATTGCATTCCCTTGGAGTAAAAAAGTATCAGCCATGCCTCTAAAGAACAGTACCACCCAAGTCGTCACCGACGTGACCCTCAGTGGTATCAACGGTATCAACCGCACTCACCACGATGCTGAGAACGACGCGCACAAAGAGGAGGGGTTGAGGGTAATAATATGCGGGGCAGGTATTGGAGGCTTGACTGCTGCCATCTCCTTGCGACGACAAGGCCATCAAGTCGATGTGTATGAACAGTCCCTGCTTGCGAACGAGATCGGCGCTGCTATTCATATGGCACCAAATGCAACCGGCGTTTTGGAACATCTTGGAGTCGATCCAAGGGATAGTGGTGCTATTCTTTTGATTCAGGTATTTCCGCTTGGGAGAAGATCTTCTCGTTCTCGGGGCTGACTTTGGCCTAGACGAGATTCTTCTCGGCCAACAATGAACTGTTGGCTGTGACGAAAAACATCGAGTCCGCCCACAAGTGGCAAAATGTGAGCCTACAACATTTCGAGACAGAGGATCGAGTCTAACCGTTCTTTAGTCTTGGCTCATGGCTCACAGAGCTCACTTGCATAACCAGCTCAAAGAAGCCGCGATTTCGAGTCAAGGAGAAGGGAAACCAGCTAGGATACATACTTCCTCGCGTGTGCTGTCGGTTGATGCGCAGACCGCGACAATGACTCTTGAAGACGGTACTTCCCACGCAGCAGATGTTGTGATAGGGGCCGACGGCGTTCATTCGAAAACGCGTAAATTTCTCACTCCAGATGCTACGCCAGAGGCAATAAGAGGAAGCCATAGTGCGTTTCGCTTCATCATCGAACGAGAAGCCGTGTTGCAAGATCCAGACATAAAGTCCTTTGCAGAAACTAAGGGATCAATGGACATGTGGTACTCATCCGACCGAAAAATTGTCTTGTACCCGACGACCTACAACCAACTACTTAACTTTGTTTGCATACACCCAGCTGAACTTTCGGCTAGGTCGCTGTCTAAAGGCACCGACGGCTTCACAACTGCTGCATCAAAAACTACTTTGCTGGAAGTATACAACGACTTCCACCCTGGGCTACGAAAGTTATTGGAAATGGCTGACCCTGCAACAATAAAAGTCTATCCATTGTTCGACATGGAGAACCTCCCAACATTTGTTTCCGGACGTCTTGCACTGCTTGGCGATTCGGCGCACCCTTTCACCCCTCACTTGGCACAAGGAGGTGCCATGGCTATCGAAGACGGCGCTTCCCTAGGCGTTTTCCTTGACAAATCTGTCACTCCTTTCGAGGTGCCCGAGCGACTTCAATTATACAACCTGGCTCGTTACAAACGAGCATCAAGGATACAGGAGTACAGTCGTCAAGTAGGTGGTGATGGAACCGCTAAAGATGGCAAAAGCAACTCGCAATTCAAAGGTAAGACGCTACGTTCTAGAACTCCTCATGTATGCAGGCTAAAGCTATCCGCCACAGTTCACGAATACATTGAACACGCCTTGAGCCACCATGAAATTCACGCTTCTACTCAAATACTTAGGGAACACAAATGGAAGCAGCATGCCCATCGGTGGAGGCAGCCAATCGTCTTTGGCCCTCTACCTGGTCCGCGACAAGATGCCTATGGGAATTCACACCGCCAGTCCTTGCGCCAGTCAACAACAACAAAAGCCGTGGTCAAATTCAAGACCAGTGCCACTCTACTCCGCGGCATCTTTCCAAACAGCAAATATTTCTTCGAGAGACCTGATACTGTAGCAACAGCGTCCTACTCGATTGAAACACTGGAAAACATGGCATGGTTAGGTGGAGGTGGGTATACCTTACTGGCCTTATACGTCCATGGTGTCAATTACAGAGAAGACAATGGCCGGGTTCGCAAGGGTGTATACTGCCCGATAATGTTGGAAAACCTCACCGACCCGATTCTTACCGGACGAGAAGAACTAGGCGTATCAAAAATGTTTTCTGACATCGATATCACTCGAAGCAATGAGTCCTCGTTTGTCGCTAAAGCGTCCTGGAGGGGTGCCGTTTGGGGGGAGTTCGAATGGAAGAATCTGCAGAAAAACGAGGCCAGTACCGTACAAACAGAAGGCGAGAGTGAAGGACTTCTACTGCACAAGTACATTCCAGGCACCGGGAGCGACAAACCGGACGCCGACTACGACGTTCTTCTAGTGAACGATCTAGAAAAGTCATCAGTACAGTCTTTTCAGACTGCCAGCCCAGCCGATGTCCGATTCAAAATCAACAAACTTGGGTGGAAAGAACTGCCAACGCTGCACTCGGTCATCAGCCACCTTGCGGAACTTCCTGTGTTGGAAGTCTTGGAAGGCAGCTTGACCAAGACGCAGGGAGTGACGGACTTGTCAAATATGCTGAGGTTAACTTAGCAAAAGTTCATATTTTTGGTACCATAACTTCATTTGTGATTTGGGATATTTGACCGAATCGTAGCTTTGATTATTATTCGACGCCTTGCCCTCACCTTGCGTCAACCTGATGATCGTTGCCCTTCTGATAAAACTTCGTACAGAGCACCTCCCAATACTCTAGATACACGGACCTTGAGTGAGCCCAATAGCTGTATACCATTTTCAATACAGCTTTCTTTGCTTGAGTGACCGCCAGAAGCTTCAGCTTCCTCACACCAAAGTATCAAGGTCGCAAAGTATATACAGTACGGAAGATGAGGGGGTTCGACCATACGCTGTCTTTCCTTGGTCAATTGATTGAGATGATAAGGTATCGACATGGCCTTTTTGATGAGTTGGAGCATAATCTCAGCATGCCAACGAGCGACTTTGAAATCTGGCCCGGCAATACAATGATGGATAGCGTCAACAAAGTTACTGTCACGTGCAATTTTCGACCGCTTGGTGAACTCGTGGGAGTAGCGAAGTATCATTCCAAGATTCATATAGCTGTTTATGCAGCCCAAATGGTAGAGAAGAGCCTGGGAGATGTCCAAAGTCTGCGGATCGGTCACGTATTTTCTATCCGAATTCATCCACCGCTCCAAAGAAAGTTCGACAAACTCAGGGCTCCATAATCGCTGTTTTCGTGCATACTCATGTCCTCGCGGGCTGGACATCCAAAAGTACTTGCTGACTGACGCAAGATTTTGCAGATTAGCGCAAGATGGATCGACCTGCGCGTTGGGAGTCATCAACGCAGCTAAACTAGTTGATGAGGAGCTCGGGCCCCGGCACGAGTCGTAGCCTGGTGCTGTACTCGGCTCAAAAATCTCAGGAAAGCATGGTGGAAGTAGTAAAAGGAGCACACGGTAGCTCTCGAGGACCTCCAATGCCTCAGAAACTAAGGATAGCTCAAGACGATTGTGCACCTCCGATTGCGGAGCTCTTGACAGCAGGCGTGATGCCAACGCCATCGCTTCTAACATGTTGTAGTGAAAGACTTCTACAAACTCGCAGCTTCTCTTGTCTCCACTACATAGTCCATATATCTCGAGAAGAAGAGCTGTTTTGACGGAGGTGAGGGAGGATTCAAACGAAGAAGAAGGCTCTTTTCGAAACAACTTTTCGAAATGTTTTCTCCTGGCGTCATTATATAACGATTTTGCCACAGCCGTGCTTCCATCCGTTGTGGAAAATAGCCCCCCAACGGCAGCCATTGCGAGACATAATTCGTAATTCGTGTCGCCATTATATTCGAAGTTTGAGAAAACTTTGAAAGTGCTCGACAAATTTCTTTGCGCAAGGTTGAGTAAAATGTTCAATACATCTTTGTCGTATATCTGCAAGCGTGGTGGTGCCGAATACCATGATTGTCTGTTGGGACTTGATCTTCCCGAGCGCTGCTGGAAGTGGTCCCTCATTATGGTGATAGCATCATCCATGTGAGAGACTTTGTCAATCCCAAGAGCCGGAAGAGCTTGGAGCCATATTCCGTCGTCGAAGGTAACATTGTCCAGGTCGTCCAACCAATTTTCCACACCCTATGATCATGGTCAGCATATCTCTAAGCGGAAGCGAGTACAATAGTGCTGACCAATGGCGGGAGCGGCCAGTTCGACTCCATGATGTCGCCCAAATCATGGTCAACATACATGTTTCCTTCGAACAAAAAATTGCTATCGGTCAGCAATGGGTCTTGGATGGTGGCGAGGGTGGCATTATCCGGATTTGTTGATCCATGACCTGGCTGTTGCTCACTATTCGTTATTGCAGCCGCTTGCGAGACAAAAGGGGCTGGGCGATTCTGCAAATTGGATATGTCATCGTTTGCAGTTGTCGATACCGGGATGCTGTCGCTGGCTCTCGATTCAACATGATTCCATGACTGCGAAGGTCCCGAAGTCCCCATCGCGTCAAACATGCTGTCCAACAGGACATTGTCAACAAGGGAAGAAGGTGCCGCCAGAGTTCTGGGTCTACCAGGTCTCTTGCTGTTCGCGGAGATGGTGCAAGGCAGTTTCTTCGTGACACACGATTGGCAGGGAAGCCGGTCGTCGCATTTGAGCTTTCGCTTTCGGCACTCGTCACAAGCGATTTTGGATCTTTCAAGCCGAAGGGATTTCAACCTTTTCGCCGAAGGCTCCGACTCTCCTGATGCTTGAACGGAATGAAATCTTTTCATGTGTTTCGCCTTGATATCTGAGCGAGGAAAGGTCACTTCGCAATGGGGACAAGAGAACGGCCTCTCGCTCGTATCTACCAAGTCAGAGCAATTACATTACTAAGAAGGTCTGATGTGGAGGCTACGTACGGGTTCTTCCATGTCGAACGAGATGCTCGTGCCTTGAAAATGATCGGTCACATGTTTCGCACTGTCTCGAGTTGGATCAGTTTCCAATGCGACGCAGCAAAGAAGGAGAGGAGGCGGAGGATTGATTGTTCCCTTACAACATTGTTTGTGGTGCGCTTTGTTGTGCCCTCTGGATCCATATTGACTACGTCAGCTGATTGCGGAGCTTCGTTGGAGTCGATGAGAGACATGCTGGTGCTGATGGTGATGCGGTTGTTTCGTCTGGGAGACGTTTTGCCAGGGGACGGGGTTTCTGGGGTAAACTGATGGATGCGTCAAACTGCATTACCCCGCCCTCGTCTCCGGTAATTATTATTACTACTACGGCTATTTACTGAACCCCACAACAAAATGGCCTAATTACCTAAACCCCTACTATAAACGTATTTAAATTACTACAACCCTATAAATATACCCTACGCTATCCCAGTTGATTCAGCGACGTCATACATCTCTGCTGCGCGTAGGCTTGAAAAGCAGCCTTATAGCATTTAGCTGCTAAGGCAGTTCGACCCTCTTTTTGAGCCAATTGAGCGTTATGTGGTGGAGCCATATTAGCTTGATTTAGTGGTGTTGATAGGGGGGAGCTCGCTTATCAAATATGTTAGTCATTAGTCATTGGATTGGTCATCAAGCTCGTTTAATTCCTGTTGATCCCCCTTTTCGCCGCCCGCATCTATTTCCCGCACCTCAGCCTCTTTTTCCTCTTCTCGCCTGGTACGCTCGTCGCGGTGGTAGCCAGTAAACCCCTTCTCACATCGTGCTGCCTCAGCATCACGACTCGCATCTCGCTGCTAACCCGCCCCCAAAGGTCTCGTAATGTCGTCGCAGTCTCATGAATCAAGGTGGCCAGGCGAGCGAGAGAATCCCACACGCCACGATGTTGCGGTTGCTAACGAGCTGCCCGCGCCCTCATTTCTCTCCAATTTCAAGACTGCGTTGGCTGCTAGCCCGGAAGCCGCCGACTGCCAAACCTTGATGCATACAGATCTCAACGCATACGTATGGTTATACCCTAGTCGTTAGATCGGTTAGATGTCCGCTGAGTCGTCCAGGTCAGCGCGCAGCAGACATTCACCTACCCAATGGCCCTGCTATCCGACTTTCCTGCCATCCCTACCCCAGCGGAACTTCATGGTTTGAGGGAAACTTTCGCGAAATGCTGTGGTAGTCACGTTTTCCTTGGTCGGCTGCCATTCCCCCAGCCTTCTCGAGAGTCCGTCGTCCCACCCCTTCGCCTGGCGACTGCTTGTATAGCATCGCTCTATGCTGGGAATGCCCCATCCGAGGCCAGAGATCTGTTTTTAGCAGGAGGAAAGCTATGGGCCGTTATGATGGAAGTTGACAACAGGGAGTCGCGCTCCCTTGACTCGTTAGTTGCTGTATGCCACCTAATCCCGGGCTCTATTTGTGTAGGCTGGTGTAGGCTGAACTGAGTCCCAAGTCCCTTCTGCTGGCCAGCTATGGCGCACTGTCGTCAGACGAGCAAGTTAGGGATATGACAACCCTAATATTGTGCTCCTCGATAACAGTAAGACTTCAATATGCAGATGGCAAGACACCGCTGAACACCTGTGTTAGATCACCCGGCGAATGAGGCTCAATGACTCTGCCCAGCTGGAACACTTCCTTGGTCCGCGTGCTTTTTCGTACGGGTGGGTTGAGTCACCCGGTTTGCTATCCATTCAACAATTCTAATCTATTCAAAGTGGTGCTTTCGTATGGTTCCTATGGCTGGTTGACATTCTATACGGCCTTCACTCGGATCTTGCAGTGAGCTCGTTCTCATCTCGAGAGATCTGGACGAAGATGCCTTCTTCGGGTTCTGAGTTCCAGGAAATTTACAACGCTTTTCTGGAAGATAAAGGCACTCATAGCATCACCTCAGCATCGTTATCACAAGACGATGCTGTCCTCGTGCTCATGGCCATCCTCTCCGACTTACTATATATTCGCCGATCAATTGGCCAACATGCCCACCACACCGACCCAGCTAAAAAGATGGTCAGGAATTTCCACAACCCCTTCGTCCCTCTTTCTCCACACACCGAAACTTATCGAATGGAAAATATCATCTCGTCGGCAATAGACCGGTGGTACTCGACATTCAATACACTCTCATCTCCCGGAATAATGGCATTCTACCACTACTGTCGGCTTTACTTATCATGCCCTCAAATCCTCGTACTCCCTCATATCGTGGGCTACAGAGGTGCTGATAGTGACACGGATCTAGGCAGTCTCACAGCGAGGACAATATCCGATCAATCAGTGCAGCATGCCTGGCGGATACTAGACGACGCCGCTGCTCGACCCAAATCAGATCTCCTATGTCCACTGTGGTTGCCTATATTTGTCTTCCATGCCAGCCTTGTGGTCTGGGCGAAGCAACAATTTGGTACGACACAAGATCCGAACGGTTATGGCAGTAATAGGATACTGCTCCCATTCAAGGTTGAGCTTGAGGGAATGCCCTGGCCATGCTGCAAAGAAATGACCGAGACACTCGTACGACTGATGGCAGCTCCTCGACTCGGAGGAAACACATAGAATCGGGAACTGCTTTTGGGTACCAAGGTGAACGGAGAGACCCGCTGAAAACTGCTCTGTTCGATTGTCTCGTGGTTATGTAAGTAGCTGTTCATTTCCAAGACGGAGGGCAAGAAAGAACGACATCACGAGTGCAAATATATGGCCGAAAGTATCAATTTATGCACGGTAGTAGTACATGTCTTCCTATGATCCTTGTACTCGTATACAAATTCTCCCGTGCAAAGCTCAGTTGATCTTCGTGAAAATAAGAGCACACTTGCCAGCTTTTGGGGCGGCCAAAAAGTGATCAATCATTGACATGCTCTCGTCCGTCGTGTTTGGCGCCAATTGAACCGAGTAATTCTTTAACAACGCTGCAGTGATGACTTTCAATTCCATCCATGCCAAATTGATCCCTAAGCATGCACGAGAGCCGGCTGAGAAAGGCATGAAGTTGAGCTTCATGTCGCTGCTCGCATTCAACCATCTCTCTGGCAGGAAGTGTTCGGGATTTGGAAAGGCGCTGTGGTTGCGATGAGTGGTATAGCATTGCATCGAAACAACGGTCTATTGAGGAAATCAGTCATCCTACATTCAAGGATACCTCAGGAGATGAGTTCTTATCTCACCTTCTCTGGTACAAAAACATTGTTGAGAACCTTTCCTCCAGGAGGTGTCTCTCTCATCATACTCGAGGGTGCGGCAGGATACAAGCGAAGTGCTTCATTGATTGTAGCTTCCAGGAGGGGCAGTTCCATAACGTCTTTGTATGCAGGAATTCCATCTGACCACGAACTCTCACTGACAGTCGCGAGTTCAGTGCGAAGTCGAACCTGCCAGTCGGGGTACTTTGCGAGGGTCCAAAAGAGGTATGTCAGAGTGGTGCTTGTCGTGTCTGAACTCAGTGTCAGTGCGTCATGGCGCAATATCAGAGGCAATATACTTACCAGTCCCTGCAAACACAAGATTTGAAATTTCAGTATAGATTTCAAGGTCGGTCAATGGTGGTTGGTCATTCTTCGCGATAAGAACTTTCGTTAGCAGATCTCGCCGGCCTGAGTCTCTACCATACTGGGCGATATACGCACGGAAAGCGTTTTCACCATACTATATCAGATATTATAAAGACATCCCAGGATGAAGAAACAGATGACTGACCTTGATAAGGCGGCTCCGAGCACTAAGGAAGTATCGTACTGATGGTATAGGCAAAATCGACAGGGAGTGATACAGCAGTGGAAAGTTCTGCTGAATACCACAGAGAATGAAGTGAAGATCCATGTCAGCCAGGAACTCCGGGGGTTCCACCGAGTTCAGGCCGTTGAACTTCATCCCCAAAAAGAGTTCACCTGCTCACTGTTAATGCTTGGTCGTGAATTGAATAGTAGAGGTCATGATTACCGACGATATCGAGTGACAATCTTCGAAATGTAATGAAGATATCAAGAGGTACTCCCAAACTGGAATTTATACAGGACAAAGCGTTCTTCACGTGGTCCCTGATCAGCGGCTCTGTGTCGAGGAGGTTCGCTTGAGAAAAAGCATGACTCAAAAGACGTCGTCTTTGGCTGTGCTGCTTCTTCTTTCGAAAGCTGAAAATTCCACCTGGCGGAACGACCATGGTATCATAGACAGGGGCTTTTAAAAACACAGTTTGCTGGCTATAGATTTCCTTGATAATATCCTGGTTACTGTAAGAGACCTCATGAGGCCCAATACGTATCGTTGAGCCATATCTTTCATGAAGACGATGCAGAGTTGTCGTGCGATGCCCCGCGAGATCTGTGAAGATCAACCAATACGGTGTGACCTTTGCAAGAAACGGCCCTGGAATCTGGCGCAGCGGTGATAGGAAAACATTGCGGATAATCTGAGTACGGGGTTAGTTTTGCTTGGAAGGCATATACTAGAAGATGATCAGACCTGGAAGGCAAGCAGAGCTATTATTGCTCCTAAAAAGTAAGAAAGAGGAAGGTTGGATATGAGGTTGGACATCTTAGCACAAAGTAGAGTATTGTAATTGTATCGAGCAAAGACGCGACTGACTTAAATCTGGGGATCGTCCCTTGACATTCTCAAGAGCGGATGAAATGACCCCCATCACCCCGCAATTACCGCAGTCCTAGAAGCGACTCCGAGATTCCTGGGGGCGGGGATGATCTCCACTCGGAATTGGGGTAATGATGGGGAATGTCCTCGGAGGTACCACCTTTTCGCTACGTGGGATTGGACCCATCACTAGTGTTACTCCACTACCCCGCAATAATTCCCGAAGTATAGAAAATAAGTAAGTTAAATATAATCAAATTCGAAGTTTAGTAATATGGATGGACGCCTGATGGAGGGAAATAGCCAGGTGAGAGAGGGGGAGCAGCCTGCTTTGGGGCTTATTTTTTCCGATGGCGAGTCATAGTTGTCGGGTAGACGGTAGAGAATTTACGCTCCTATAATGGAGAGTCTGTGAGCTTTTTGTTTGGGCATGCGCCCACGGATTAGGGCTGGTTTCGGGGTAGGTGCTTAGGGTTTTGCTTTGGGAGGGTGGAGAGGAAGCTTTTAAGCTTGGATAGATTGGTCTTCTTTCATGGAGTGGTTACACAGCATAAGAATTATCTTGTGGACTTGGAGTGGTACACTGAATCAAATGCTGGTGAAGAGCGGGAGTGTCAGTATGATAGAACACAGCAAACTCTTTGCGGATGGCGCATGGCGTTGGAGGCTCTCCAATTCTTTCTTTCTTTCTGGGGTGGCTGGAAATGCGAGCTCAGAGGGGAGCCTTATATACAGCGGTGGGTAGAGAATCGGATGCCTGCTCTATGCTTCTCTCCTATGGTTCGTAGTTTCTGAGAGAGTTATCGACAGCTCTCCTTTTCTGATGGAGCTCAGGCTAAGCTGGCAAGTCCCAGCCCATCATATCACCCCAAAGTTTTGTTGACTTCGAACTCTCTATAAAGAGTACTTAAAATGCCTAGCTTTAGGTTCACCGACTGCTCGATTTCCAGCCTTCGGTACAGTTGAAGGCCAGTTCCATACCGCATGGGGCCCCATACAGATATCCACCCCTACAAACATCTTCATCGCCACTAACATTCTTCTGCCAATCGGAAATTCTATCACAGGAGTTCCAAACCCCAGACGGCTGTAAAAGCTCCCCAGAACAAGCGTGTATGTATATGGACAGCTAATCGCCCGTGAAATCACACGACGGTCTAAACCCAGCTTGGAAGTGGCATTCGAGCGGCCAGCACAGCAAGAAGTGCACACCGCGCCTTGCGCAACAAGAAATGGATTTGCAACCTTGCACATCAGACACGCTGCTCGTTGTCTAAGCTCCCGTCCAGGGGCTGGACATCACAAGAGCTTCTTGCTCCGCATCCTTAAGCTTCTTCAACGTCGATGGTAAATTGATTGGGAATAAGTGGACTTTGCAGTGACAAATCCACGATGCGACAGGGATACCGATCGCTGCTCTTCAAGGCACACCTCTGGGAGATTTCAGCGTTAGTGAGCGTTTCTCATGGGCTGAAGGGCGGGAGACGAAGCGCGAAGACGACAGAGCGTACTCGTTGATGGGTATCTTTGAACTTTTCATGTCGCCTATTTATGGTGAGGGCTAAGAGCATGCGATGCGTCGACTTCAACGGAAGGTTGACAAGAAAGTCAAACAGCAACAAGCTTTTGACAGAGTGGATTCGGTTCCCAAGGACAAGCAGGATTTGGTCCACAAGGAATGCACACAGCCACAAACTTCTGGCAGCGTAGATTTGCAACAGACAGCTCACAAGGAAGGCAAACAGCAACACCCTTCGAAAAGCGTGGATTCGCAACGGGCAAGAGATACGTGGCAGATGGGAATAGATATGAGCGGGATGGGATGGGGGGTGGGAATATTTGCATCCAGAACAACGATGGTAGTACATACATCGTGAATGGTGTGACCTGCCATGCGGGTTCAACCAGTAGTGGAAGGAATGGGGCATGATATTTTACTCAGGGCGAGATGGATTGAATCAAGGGGCGACCTTTTGTCTTTATCAGCAACCGCAAGTGGAAAGAGGGATGGAAGTCATGATACAAGGCGTAGGAACATAGAACTCATCGTCAACTTTACGGTATATGTTTGCTCTCTTGGTATGCGTCTTGGTCTGCGGGAAAGGTAGCTTCCTCAGACTAAGGCTCTCCTTGCGGGATTATTTCAGCAATATCTGCGTCTTTTCAAGTGTAGGCGGAACAAGCAAATTGACCGAAGCTCTTTAGAATAAATTGGTCGTAGTAGATTCAAGTTTGACGTTACCTCGCAAGATAGCCAATCACATTGCGCCCTCGAGCTCTGTTGCACTTCGCGCAAGGGCGCGCTGAGGGCGAGCGTGCTGATTGGTGGCCCTCATTCCCGTTCCCCTTTCTCGTTGCTCGCTTCCGTTCTCGCTTCACAGCGATCCGATCTGTCAACACAAAACAGATACGGGTGCCAGAACGGCAAGGACTGGCACATAAGTTGCCAGAGACTATTTCACGACTAGGATATGCGTATACTGAAGTTGTGAGAACTTTTCCCCCGTTCCGGGGAAGCTGGAGTCCGCAGTTTGAAGCATCCCGTTAACGTCCACAGCCCGATATGGTTCCAATTCGGCTTGAAAGGTGTGGTGCCTATTTGCTCCCACCTCCCAAGATTCCAAGCACAAAGCTTCCCCGCTATCCAAGAACGGTCGGGCATTCCGTACACAGTCAGCTGTCACCGGCTCTCACCACCAGCGAGCACGCCAAGGCGACATCCACCGATGTTCGAGAAGCTGAGGCTTGCTCTCTGGTCTGCTTACACCTCCTCGGCTTTTATGTTCCGCCGAGAAGGGGGCCGGTTGAAAATCTCGTTGAGCGTGGGATGGCGTGCTTTCTTCTGCCTCCAGAGAAGAATCGAGAAGGCTCGACCCGAGGAGAGAAAGACTCTGTTTGCTCTGGTTGTTTTGAGAGAATGGGAATTATAACAGGGTATATTCTTTCTTTCGGTCTATTATGAGATGCTTAACTCCTTCGACTCCTGTCTATGCCATTACCACCCATCCTTTATCCCTCTATCTCTATGCCCCCCCAAAACAAAACCCACCACGCCTTTGCCCACAACATATCATACACCAACCCCTCACCCCTAAACTCTAGAGTCCTCCTCCACCTTCTCCTCCGCAGCACTCTCCACACCCTCCGTCGTCGGCGCATCAGCCGGCTTCAACTTCTGCCACTTCCCCAAAAACGCAATGCACGTACACGCCACGGCGAGGGCTATAGAGACAATAAACGCAGTTTGAATCCCATCCACATACGCTCTTAGAATAAATGGGAGGTCTGTGGCGGAGAACACGCGCCTGATATCCGTTGCTCCTGTGCCGATCACCTGCAATGGGTCGACGTTGCCATCTGAAGCTTGGAGGGAGGAGGTGAGCTTGGCTTGGAACGCGGAAGTCCCTGCGGAGACCAAGAAGGCGCCACCAATGGTTTGCACGAAGATGATCATTGCTGATCCGGTCGGGATGTCGATTTGAGGGAGGGTGGCTTGGACTGCGGAGACCGGGACCTGGAACCCTAACCCGAGGCCCAGGCCGACGAGGACTTGGTAGCCAATCCATGCTGGCGAGCCGGTGCCGATGTCCAATGTGTAGAGGAGCCCGATGCCGATGGAGGTGAGCACGCCGCCGACGATCATAAATGGCATTGGGCGCCCGGTGACGGTAATGCCAACGCCGGAGACGATGGTCGAGAGGGTGATGGCGAGAATCAAAGGGAGATTGCGCACGCCTGATTGGATGGGCGAGACGTTGTCGATGACTTGGAAGTAGATGGGAAGGAAGTAGAGGACTAGGAAATAAGAGCCGGCGATGGTGAAGGAGTACATCATCCCTTGCCAGATATAGCGGTTCTTGAGGAGGCGCGGGGGAAGCATGGCGCGCTCACCGAGGAGGTATTGATCGATGCAGAAGCAGACCATGAGCAGGCCGAAACCGACGAAGAGACCGATGACTTTGGAGTTGCTCCAGGGCAGGGACACGCCGCCCCATTGCAGAGCGAGGATGTAGCAGACTACGGCGGCCATGATGAGCGCTATTCCGATGGGGTCCATTTGGAGGAACTTTTCGCGGAGGGTGGCTTTGGCGGGCTTGACGTGCGCGGGGAGGTTGAAGAAGATTACTAGGATAGCTGCGGCGAGGCCACCGACTGGGAGGTTGCTGTCGCTATTAGCTGTGTTGTTGTCGTCTGATGGGAGAGTACTTACATATAGAAGCACCATCTCCAAGACACCTTCTCAGTGAATACACCACCGAGCAATGGTCCAATAACGGCCGAGATACCATACGAAGCGCCGATGAGTCCCAAATACGCAGGTCGCTTCTCTGGCGGTGCAATGAAAGCGACAAGAATGAAGGCGCCAGAAGCAACTCCAGCAGCGCCCAGCCCAGCAATAGCACGCCCAACAATCAAGGCCGTGCTGTTAGGAGCAACGGCGCAGATGAGACTTCCAAGTTCGAAAATAAAGACGGCGAGGAGATAAGTCCACTTCAGCGTGAAGTACTTGAAGGCCTTACCCCATGGCGAGGTGAAGGCAGCCACAGTCAGGAAGAAGGCAGATCCGTACCAGCCGATCTGTGAGACGCTGTGGAAGTCGTCTGTAATCTTGGGGATGGCGGTTGCGACGATTGTCTAGGATGATAAGCGAGCGTCTCTGGAGGGGAGATAAGGACTTACCAAGTCCAGCGCGACCATAAAGATAGATAGGATCAGAGAGAGAAGGATGAAGAAGAATTGCAACCCTTTTGGGTAGTCGTCCGGTGATAATTGGTCCTCGGGCATCTGCTCCCCCGGTTGGAGTGTGTGTGTAGAATCATTCTCGGTATCGGTCTCGCGCTTCTCAACCATTGTGTTGGCGTCTGAAACCGGCTCCTCGACCTCCTTCCTCTCCATGTTTAAGTGATCCATAATTCTATTCTAGATTATAAAAATATCGAAGCAGAATTTTCGAAATATCGGAGGAATGTTTGCGGAAGCAGCCTTTGTTGTGCTGTCGATGACGCGGTGAAACCTTCAGGGGTACAAAGTTGAGAAGAACGCACTCGGATATTAATAGCAATAATAATGAACACAAGAAATATCAAAGAGCAGAAAGTCAGCAGCGGCCGCCATATGTATACCTATTGATCCCCAACGGAGTCGGCTTAATCCCATAGTCCAGTCCGTACGTCAACGGCATGTTTTGTTTTGTTGCTAACATAGCTCTGTGACTCGTCCGCCGAAGCTTTCGTATGCCGGTCCAATAACACCCGGCACACGCAGCGCCTCAAGATGAATCATTATGATTTTGCGCTGGCGATGATTGCTTAGGGCTGAGTCAGTATGGGTAGTGCTCGTTCGTCGTGAGATTTGACGTTGCGCTCGGCCGATCTTTTCCTGATGCGGTGTCAAGGGGCTCCGGGCTTATTAATGTTAAGCACGCGAGTTGCTTATCAATGTTAAGTCCGCGAGTTCGCGACGTCCGTCCGTCGGCGGAGTGAGATTTTGACGGACTTATGTTGTCGTCATCCGCTCTAAATCCGGTATTGAAATATGTGTTGAGACCCTTCGGATTCAACCAAATACATGCAATTTGATTTCGGCATCTTGCTGCGATATTTATCGCGAATGTTGCACAAACGGCGGGAGGATGAGTCGAGATGAGTGATGTGAGAACTTTGAAAGGGCGATGGGTAGGAGACCAGAAAGCGCTTGGTTTAACGATCGCCATTGTCTTCAAATTATGGCTCCGAGTCGAGAGATGACAACAAGCTCGGGAGGCTAGGCAGAAATCGACAGAGATGACTTTCCCAGCCGGTGCTCGAACTGACTTTCTAGGACGTTGGCTCTGCACTCCACCTCTCGTGTCTTGTGCCAGCCCTCTCTTCGGGGCATTGCGAGACCTCGCAACACGAACTACGACCTGCGATCCGGATCCAGTCATTTGCCCCTGTTTCTTAGCAGTCCCAGCAGCTGTTGGTACCTCATCATGTATACCCGCAACACCTAGTATGCTCTGAATGCTGTAGCCACCTTCCTTCGCAGAAGGAGTAGCCCTTTGGGCATTGAGATGTGTGTTTGCCGAGAGAGGCTCGTCTCGCAGGACTTGGGCTGTGTTCGTATGATTTGGTGCTCGAGCTTTTTCGAGGGAAAGTGGTTGATATGAAGTTGTGGAGTGAGGGCGACATTGGCTAGCAATCGCGCCCGGTAGCTTTGGGTTTCTGATTGCGTCGGGCTTCGATCGTGAATTTGCATTGCCTCCCTAGACAGGAGGGGCACCATTTTCGTCGTCGACGGTATCTGTCTCTTGATACCCAAGCTGCTTCGCCTTGGCAAGTAGCTTCGCCAGTTCTCTTGCGCTGATTGTTTGGAGTCGTACGTCGAGGGTGAGTTCAAGAAACTACTCGCTTGTAGACTCGAGTATCCCTTACTGTAAAAGTTATTTAAGAGTTTATTTAGCTATTTACTATACTATTAAAGTAAGGTACCTGTACCCAAATATCAACATTTTGTCTGTGCTCAAACGTAGCGATTTTATTGGCCAAGTTAAGGAATCATGGTAACGTGACGTTCGGAAAAATGCAGTGCCAGGGCCGAGGAACACCAAAATCTTCAAAATGTCCTATGCAACAGTCTCAGCTTAGAAATCAGGACCACAAATAAACTAAGCTTTTAACCTTTTAAAGATATTTTAAAGCTTAGTCTTATAAGACTATTTTCCAAGTTTGAAACTAATTGGATTAGTTGTTATTGTGTAATTAATTATTAAACGGTCGCAGCTACACTCGGTCGCAAAGTCCATAAGCTTAAGATAGCGATCTTGTATACATTTACATGCTATATATCTAGAGCTAATATAAGTTGCGAGGGTTCTACTAAAGGTACAAGATTACTTTTATTTAGTCTATACTAGTCTCAGCTTTTATTTTCGTCGTATATAATAAGTTAACGTGGCGATTCTATATCACTTTGAGCTCGATAGTATATAGTATATATTATAAAAGTTTTATGATCAAGATTTCTTAGATCTATAGTTTAATTAGCAAGTATTCAAAGTTTTAATAATAATTTCTTAATCTTTATTATTATTATAGAAATAATTATACTATTAAGAGAAATACGAAGAAGGATAATACGTATTTAGTTAGACAATATCGTAGCTACTCAGGCATTAATAATACCACCTCTACTCCGTGGGTATAAACTCAAACTATATAATATACTAAACTATAACTGCGTATAAGATGATCATCCCGGGTGATGATATTTCTTTATTCAGGCTCCTCAGGCTGGCTGGATGAATCATCCACCACTTCATGCTTAGGTACTTTGACGAAAGACATGACTCCTATGCAAAGCGCAGCGAGAACCGCGAGCCCGTAGTAAGGTAGACCTATCCCTCCACCACCAAGCCGTATCCCCAATGTGAACAGTCCCGCCAACATCGGCGACCCGTACAGGTTGCCGGCTACCTCAAGCATCCCGACCAGGGAAAAGAGCCGGGATTGATGCAGCGGATCTACATACAGACTCATGAGACTATGAACCAGTGAGCTGTAGCCTGAGCCAATGGCCAGAGCCAGGAGACCCAGGATAAACACGGCGAGGCTAGGAGTGGCTGCCATTGTGAAGAACCCTAGAAGAACAAACCAAAATGACCATTTAGCTAGACTTAGATCTCGTTCCTGCTCGTTGGCCATCCTGAAGGCTTTTGGTGTGGTGTCTTTGAGCAGGACGCTTGATATCCATGGGAGGACTCGGAGTGCCTGGATGATCTGCGCGAAGCCGTACGTCGTCTGGATGTACCCCGTATCTCTGATTAACACTTCGTAGCGCTTCGAGACAAACTGCACGAAGAACTGGAGAACTGCAGCGGTGAACGGCGTCATGAGCAGACAGATGATCAGCAGGAGAATGAGCTATGGGGACTCCAGAATCGAAAGTGATTTCTTGAACTCGTCCAGGATGCGCAGGAAGCTCCCTTTCAAGCTCGAGGGTCGGTTCTCCTGCTCGGCCTCGTCTTCATTGCCTGCCTTGTGGCTGAGAGTTTCGGGTACAAACAAGAAAGCAATGGCTGCCAGCATCAGGCAAGAAAAGGCTACGAGCATGGCGGGCCGGGGGCCAGTGGTAGCCATCATCGCTGAGGACAGAGCTGGAGAGACGAGGTTCCCAACCAGGCCGCTGACCTGTAACTGCATAAAAGCCGTGGCTCTATGAGATGTGTGAATGTGGTAGAATTTAACAAGACGAAATGGAGAATCAGAAGCGAACGAACCTTTTGTCGTCGGGAAAAATATCAGAAATCATACTCAGCAATATAGCCCATACCACAGCAGTTCCTCCCCCTATGAGGAGGAATGCGGAGTCTAGGGCAATGAGTTCGGTGGGAAAGACATCGGGGAACCGCAAAACCATCATCGTGAACAACACACTGAGCGCCATTCCGACGAGAGCTGTTGAAAAGACAGGCCTGTGACCGACACTGTGACGTAAGATTAATCTCTGACGGTATTTCGACACGCGCACAAAGCCAAGAAAAAAGGGGTTGCGTGGCTGGCAAGATATACCTATCCGCAACGATTCCCCAAGGGAACGCAGCAAGAAAACCAACAGCGGCTTCGCACATTCCCGTAATGGCGAAAAGGAAAGCCACTTTCGCCTGGATAGGCTCGATTTTGCAGAGCTTCTCACTGATGGGCTCTCCAGAGCGCTGGCTTGGATCGTAATACTGACGGCAGACTACAACCTCGACGATCTTCGTAAGAGGCACGCTAGCAAAGCCACTGGCGGAGGCTGCCACAAAGAAAATGGCAGAGAGAAGGTTGAGGATGGCTTTATTGTTGTGGACCTTGGGGATGTGCACAATGGAGACAATGGACGGCGGCCTCGAGGGCGTCCTTGACTGGTGCGATGGGCGATGTGGCGGCTCGATGTCGACATGCCCGCCCGCGACGCCGAGGAGGGCAGTCTCCTCTGTGCAGACGTCAGGCTCATTGTCGAGCTCCCTGCCGCCTTCCATCTTATAGGAGCGTGCGCTAATCACAGTAGACCACGGAGTACTGTACTGTACAAGTGCACACAAGCCGACTATCGGCCCCTCAGCAATGGTCGGGGGGCGACAGGTGAGGCGATCTGTCAAATTATCACGTAGTGTATCAGGAGAGCGTTCATAGATAAGCGAGCGTTGCGACAGGCATTGAATTGATTTAAAGAAAGAAGAAAGAAAAAAATGCAGTTGGACATGATCATCCAAGTTCAAATAGCCATGCTCGCATAGTAAGGTGCGATACAGGGTTGTCGAGTGGTGGTGCAGGCGCGTGCCTCACTTGGCCCTACGCAGCTTATTTCTTGACACTAAAACCTCACCTTATAACGAGTAGTACTACAATTCCCGCTCAAGCCGGTCGCTGCCTTGGGCTCAAGTGAGCCGGATTATAGCTGCCACTCTTTGCCCTCCTCCTCGGTCGGCTATTCGGAATCCTTGGGCGGGGCATGTTACGGGGGCAAATTTCTTCATCTATTTTGCGTGGATGACCTCATTCACGCCTCCCATTTTCACCACTTCTTGTCAAACACATCTCTAGAGCAAAACAACCAACTCCCTCCAAAACCTTTCGGCATCGGCACCCAGCAGCATTCCCCACTATCAGCAGAAAGTTCACTATGAACTCGCACATAATTATTATAGCCGTAGTCACAGTTCAAAATACCACTCGAAACACCGACAAAATTCTGCAAATCCATGTTGTCCATTGAACCATCACGGGGATCCTCAATATTCTCCACTCTTTCCCATTCCCTAACAGCCGTCAAGTATTCTGGATCGGAGCACAAATAAAGATGTTCAAGACGCTCAAAAAAGATCAAGAATTGCTGAAATAGCGTGCAGTCGAAAGCTCCCGAGAACATCAACGGTCTGGGCGTTTGGAAGTCGCTCAGGAAGCTAAACACCACATGCCGAAACCTCGAGATTATGTATCGGAAACTAGCGAAGATATCGGCATTCTGAGGGAACCACTTCTCCAAGTCTTGATGGTAGAGATCTCCAGGGTTATTGAGAGACAAACTTGGATGCCTCTGCTCAGAGGAGTAGCTCGGCACGGCTTTGACGAGTAGAGTGTCTGTTGCGGGATTACACCGCACTTGACGTCGCTGATGACTTTCGACGTCTGGATACCACATCTTTCTATATATGGTCATCGTTTCTGGGTATAGCAATAAAACAACGCTGCGGGACTCGGTACAGGCAAGGCTGAGGCTGTGTAAAGCATAGTCCTCGATATCTGAAGTGTTGGCCGGGAGGGAGAAGTAGCCATTGAACATGCAAGCCACGCTGGAGCTTGGTTGACCAGAATCAAAATTGTACGACGGGCAATGGCTATGTTGGCCGCAAAAGCTTCCGAGAAGGGGGATGCAGGAATGCATTGTTACTGCAGGGTGGTGGTTGATTGCGACGGGAATCGCACGGTTGGTTGTTGCGGAGTGGAGGGCGTCCTGCCATATTTGAATCCGAAGCTCGATGGCGAGGTCTGAGAAACGAGGAAATGTTGAGAGGGGAGAGAGCTGTTTGTTTTCTCCACCAGAGGTCATTTTGTGGACATTTGTGTTAGTTGATGAGAGGAAAATAGGTTTGGAAAGGAGAATGGTTTCAGGTTCCAGGCAGACGTGTCAACGAAAACGCAGCCAAAATCCTAGGACCGGTATAATGTGTAATATAATACGACTAGCGTGACCGTTAATACGACATTATGTAAGCGCTATAAATTCCTCCTCGCTTATTAAGACGCTTGGCGTTTTGTGTACTTCCTACTTTGTCCGAATAAACTCGGCATGCAGGTTTCGTTGTACTCCGTGTCTTTAAACAAGGCAAATGCATTAGTACGTAGAAGCTTGTCATCTAAATTTCTTTTTTTTTAAATTATTAAAGTTTTAATATAAATTATATTAAAAATATTTAATGAAATATTTTTTAAATATTATCTAAATATGCTTCTACTTATAAAAATTTACTAAAATATAGTAAAGTTAAAATTAGAAGAGCTAGTAAACTATTATACTTATTTATATATAAAGCTCCTCTAGTCTATACTTAGCTCTTGTTTAATCTTTGTTAGAGGCTATTCTAGCTCCTATAACCAGTTATCCTAACTACGTTTTACTAGTGCCGGAGACTAATCCGTGGTAGCTTACCTAGTACTTCTCCGACTAACTACCTAATCGACGATTAAATCGATCGACTGGATGCCGGATCGATATTGAATCGATTATAGGCGAATGCTAATTGATCGATTTCGAAGCTTGGAAAACAATATAACTGCATGAAAAAGAGCATAGAAAAATAAGAAAAGAAATCCCAAAGTAATTATAAATCATTTCACCACCATTTTTCCGTTGCCTCATAATGGAATACTGCTCACATTGTATAGCAGACGTTAAACACGGACCCAATCATCATAGCTGCCCTCAACAGGCACGTATACTCCTTCTGTGCAAATTGATAACATGGCAGACATCTCTTCCATCAACCGATCGATTTGAGCTTGTGACGCAACCTCACTACGGGAGAAAATGTTCATGTTTAGCCGATCTTCTTCTGCTATGGTGGACACCCAGACGTTCATTGCAGGTAGGGAAAGGGGTGACCACGCGTCGATCCGGCATGATAGCTCGTTAGATTCCAGAGCACTTTGATCCTGGGAGAATCGATGGTGGACTATGGACCCAAAGTCGGTGTTCGTAGGCCATGAGGTGCTATTCTTGACGATTTCATGTAGTTCCGTAGTTTCAAAGGGCAACGTCTCCAGATGTTGCGCCTGGACTTGCCTCAGCAACTCGCTGATGGTCTGCTCTGGGTGTATCTGAACCCGCACGGGTATCATATTGATGCAAGGTCCGATGACGTCTTCCAGGGCGGAGACACCTGTGTTGCGACCGCTAACCAGTTGGCCAAAGACAAGATCGGATCGCCGCAGTAGCTTCGATTGAACTAGGGCCCAAGCTGCCTTCACCAAGGTGGCCAACGTGCTTCCACGAGGGGGTGCTGGCAAAGGTACATTTGCTACTGATTCGACCAGGACTGGTGATGTGGAATCTTTTAATGCAACTGTCGCTGTTGACTCATCAAATAATGAAGTCATGGATGAACCATAGAGTAGAGACCTCCAAAAGGCAAATGTTGCTGAGTTTTGGCTCTGGTGGCAGTGTCGCACGTATGTCGCAAAGTCCGCAGCGACGGAGATGGATCGTTGATGATACAAATCAAGGAGGTTCGCCATCAACCTGGGTATGGATAGACCATCATACTGAGCGTGGGATAGACGCATTATGAGCATGTGGCGTTCGTCACTGTCTCTCACAAGCGTTAGGGCCAGTGGCACCGCTCCGTATAGAGTTTGGGAGGGGAAATCTTGGCGACTGTATTCTTCAGCGAATGGCCACAGGTCCTTTTGACCGGTGTTGCATTCGACGATGTCCAGGGATAGGCTGCGTAGGATAACTTGCAGGATGTGGCCTGCATGCGGAACAAATACTGTTCTGAGGATCGAGTGTTTGTCGACTAGTTCTGAGCAGGCCACCTTCAGCCGAGCCATGTCCAGTGGTCCTGCGAGTTCCAAGAACCAGTAGTTTTGCGGCCGGGTTGCGGAAAAGGCTTGAACATTTGTTGCAGGAATGACATCCACGACATCATCCTCCTGGAAGGGCAGGTCTGCCCAATGCAAACCTCTGCATAATTCGTGATCGGTGTTATTAGAAGGTTCCGCGACAGACGGCGTCGAATTCAACACAGTCGTGGACTGTTGGGCCTCTCTCGCAAGATCTGCTAATACTGGCAAAGTGAATATCTGTCTTACTGTGACCAGGAGACCCTCATGACGCGCGAGAGATACTAGCTGCATAGCCGTGATGGAGTCACCGCCCATCTGGAAGAAATTACCATCTATGTTGATGATATCTGGCCTGAGTCGTAGCACCCGGGCAACAATCAATTGTATTTTGCGTTCCGTCTTGGTAAATGGTCGTTGAGAGGTGTCCTGAGCACCAGAGCCCCCGTCAGACCATGAGATACTCGGTGCTTGGCTGCGCAGCTTGGATCGATCAATCTTGCCTGACCTAGTCAGTGGAATATGATTGACAGCAACAAACATGACAGGAACCATGTGCCGAGGCACATTCTGAAGGAGACGCGTTTCTGCAATGTGAACGTCTGTGATAAACTCTTGGCTGGATTCAAGAATCGAAAATTCTTCCCCTGCCAAATCAAGTGCTTGCCGTCTTATAAACGCTGTCAATATCTTCTGAGATGCGATGTCTGGTCGTTGGAGAATCTCCACAGCGACTTCTTGAGATCCCGGGAAGAAACGGCGCAGATGGGATTCGATTTCCTCTAGTTCGACACGCTGGCCGTGGATCTTGACTTGGCTGTCACGGCGTCCGACGTATTTCAGGGAGCCGTCGGGTAGATACTGAACGAGATCTCCGGTCCTGTATACGTGTCGCGGAGAGGCGTCAAAGTTTCTGAAATACTGAAGCCATGGGGGTCGTTCGATGAAGGTCCGACGAGTTTGTTCTTCATTATGCAGATACCCGCGACCAACGACAGGACCCTCGATAAGCAACTCTCCAACAGCGCCGATGGGAAGTAGCTGAGCGGGATTATTTCTGTCGGTGACCCAACAGGTTGCGCCGCTTGCGTATCCAATGCTGGAAGGACTTGATGCCGCCTGATCGTTGACGACACAGTCTACAGAGCACTCGGCGGGCCCATACGCATTGATAAGATGAACCGACTGTCCCCATGTCTTGATGTTCTCCGCCTTGATGGCTTCGCCACTCAAGACCAGGATCTTGATCCCTTCTACTTGCGACGGGTGAATGATCTGCGCAACGGATGGCGTAATATGCATCCAGTTCGCGTCCAGTTCTTGCACCGCATGGGGGATATTGTTTATTCGATCGGTTTCAGAGGAAACGCAGATGCATCCGCCCGCTATGAAGGTCGTTAAGTAGTCGCTGATGCTCACATCAAAAGCGTGCGAGGCAAATTGGAAGACTCGGGATTGGTTCGTAACTCTTAATCGTTTTTGGAGCGATAGGCCGCTTGTCGCGTAGCTTGAGTGCTCAATCACCACACCTTTGGATTTGCCGGTCGAGCCAGAGGTAAAGACACAATAGAGAGCATGGTGAGGGAGGACATTTTGTTGGAGGGAAGATGTCTCTAGACTTGATGTCCATCGCACGGCCTCGCTCTGGGAGACCACAACCACTCGCTCGGTGAGCGTGGCAGCTTTCCCATAAGTGGAAGATGAGCATATGACAAGAGGGCATTGTGAAGTCTCGCATATTTCATGCAAACGTGCCTCTGGATAGGAATCATCTAGCAAAATAAATGCGCCGCCGGCTCTCATAACTGCGCACATCGCCACAGAGACCCATTTCGACTTCTCAAAGAGAAGTGGCACAAAGACATCAGGTCCAACCCCGAGTGTCTGAAGGTGCACCGCCAGCTCCACAGAGAGCTGATCAAGATCCCTGTAGGTAAAGCTTCCATCCCATGCGCAGACGGCTGGTGCCTCGGGACGACCACGGCATTGATCAAGGATCAGATCGTGGACACATACTTCCTCTAGCTGCGGTAGTTGCGCGTTCCATGATTGAATAATGTTAAGCTCTTCTTGACTAACTAGATCGATGTCCCCGACGGTTTTGGAGGGATTATCGGTGATACTCGAAATAGTCTGCACCAAACTATCACAGAGTCTAGATCCTTGGTCCGGGGCGAGGAAGGTGTCCCAGAAACTGAGCGAGAGGCTGACGCGGTCACTGTTTGCATTCACGTTGATGACCAATCCGTACTAGATTGCATGTTAGCCTATGAGATTTTGTTCACTTTCTTAGATATACTATGCGTTTGGGTCAGTGTTCAATGGGGAGAAAGAATCCGTACCTCGGTTGGATCCTCTCCTCCCACGCTTTCTACCAAGGCCAACGTGTGTTTGCCATGTGCCTCGTCGCGGCTTTGTTCTTGCATTGCAGAAGCAGCCTGATAAGAGATGATGGAATTGAAGAGCGCCTCCCTGTTGAGGCCCAAGTCATGCTGGATTTCCGCTAGGGAGCAATGCTGGTGGTCGAGACTGCGAATAAAGTCGCTTTCATTTCTCTCCAAAATTGAGAGCATTGGGAGGTTGCTATCCAGCTGTAGGCGACATACCAGCATATTGATAAACAGACCAACGGCATTCTCAATACCGGAGAGCGGAATATCTCGCCCAGATGTTAAGTAGCCAAAGCAAACATCATCTGCCCCGGTGTAACAGCGTAAGACCATAGCCCAAGCTACCTGTATCACGTTGGATAGCGTCGATCCATATGCCTCGCAAAAGTTTCTGATGCGCCGTGCGTCAATGAACCGATTTTCAGAGTGTAATTTGCCCTCGGAAGAATCTTTTAAGATTGGAAATAGGGTTGAGGTGACGTCACGGAGATATTCTTTCCAATAGTCAGCAATCTGCTGGCGGGGAACGGATTGCAAGTAAGAAATGTAGTCCTTATAAGGCATGGCCGGATGTTCAAGAGGCTCCCCGCTGATCATGCTGCTCAACTCTATGCCGAGGATACGAATGGAGACACCGTCGACTAACGCGTGGCTAATGGCGAGTTCACAGAAGATCTCTGCATCACTTATTTGCTTGATGATAAATTGCCAGGGGAAACGACCTAGGGGTTCCTGTGGAGAATCCATCGAATCCAGAATAATGACTTTGCCAGCTCCGTGATCAATGACCAATTGATCGTGGAGCCTGTCGCGGGAAGCACTCTCAGTGATGACGGTACGAAGTGCCGAGTGTCTCATGACGATCCGGGCCCACGCCTGTTGAATATGTTTAATAGAGATGGGTAGGCGTGAATCTGGAATCGATACCTTCCAGAGCATTCTGGTAGTATACAATTCATTGTTACGCTCCTGGCTCAATAGTATGCCTTGTTGTACGGGCGAGCAAGGGTAATCTCCCTGCACCGAGGCTGGACTAATGTCGACGTGATAATGATTATGTGAGGGTTGAGAGAGTTCAGGACTGGCCAGTGGCAACTCGGGGAAGTTGCTCAGTGGACATGGGCGAGAAGAATCAGAAAGCTCCTGAGCCGCGCTTTCAAGAAGAATCCGACAGGCCGAAACCCAGTTCTGAATGGACGATTGCCGCAAGGACTGCTTGCTATACGAGAAATCGAACTCCAAAGTATCCCCAGAGACCCAAATCTCGATATCGAATATCTCCCCCCTGGGCATCTGCGGATCCACCCCAGCCGGAATGTCCGAAATATCAGACGTGACTTGGAGCATGGTATCTTTGCTTTCCAGACTGTGATATCTTCCATGATAGTTCATAAGAATCTCCATCGGCTCTCTGAAAGTAAGCCGTTTTCTTCCCTCGGGATGCAAATACCGGGCTGTAAAGTAGCTCCAACCGTTGGCTTGTGTCTGGCGTATAACGTCTTTGGTAAGTTGCGCCACGTCGATAAAGCTCGAGTCCGCCCTTGCGCAAACAAGGGAAGGCCAGATGGTTGTGAACCAACCCACAGTTCCCGAGACATCCACGGAGCTGTTCCAAGGTTCCCTTCCGTGACCTTCCTGGTATATGATTGGGGGCGGACGATCTGGGAATGACTTGACAAATGAAAGGAGAATTGCAGCGTGCAGAAGCTCAACGGGTTTGGTTTGTAGAACCTCATTTGCGGGCCCAAGTAGCAGCTTTGTGACATGTGGATCGATGCTGAACTTGGTAGATATCATGTCTGCTTGAATATTCGAATACTTGGGGAGTCCCCAAAATTCTTCAACATTAAGCTCATAATCGGGAATATTCGCCAGCAATGGAAGTGTCCTTGATGGTCTTAGATGCTTTTTCGCGTATTCGGCTTGTAAATGACACCAGACCTGGAATGGCAAAGAGCTTAGAGGTGGTAGTGACTCTCGTGCCAGGAGCATCTCGAGATCGCTCAAAATGATCCGCCACGAGACAAGGTCAATGACGAGATGGTGCGCAGCAAGGAAGAGATACTGGTTGTCACCAACAGTTATATGATCTGCCACTAACAAGGGGCCCTGCGTGAAGTCAAGGGCTGCCTGGCTTTCCATGAAGCACTTGGTCATCTCCGCAACAGGGAGTGTCTGGTTACGATAACGATATGAATGCTCAATATCATCAGTGACCAATTGCACCCAAACTCCATCTTGTTTCCTGAATCGCGCGCGAAGCATTGAGTGTCTTTTCACTATCGTCATAACAGCGGTCTCAATGGATTCCCTTGGTTGTCTGAGCTTCACTAAAAAGCTCTGACTGAAATTGTTCAGGCCCTCGGGAATTCGATCAAATAATGCCTGTTGAATTGGGGAGAGGTCAAATACCGTTCCCACGGTCTCCTTAATGTCCGCTGCTGTTGCCTTGGCTGATTGAATATGAGCAGCTAATCGTCGAATAGTTTTGTGACGGAATATGTCCGCAACAGTCACTGCGATTCCTTGCTGGCGACACTGATAAACCAGCGTCATGGCACTTATGGAGTCTCCTCCAATGCGGAAGAAGCTATTATCCAAGGTTATATCGGTAAGAGTCTTGTTGAGTACACGGGCGATGCAAGATTGCAATAATTTCTCGAGTTCGCTGGCCGGAATTCTTCCTTGATCGCCAAGGGGGGAGAAATTGACGTATGAACCGATCTGCTGTAGTGAAAGATTTGAGGCGGCCTCCTGGAGAAGCTTCCGGTTCACCTTCCCCGCTACACAGAGCGGAATGCCTCCCACGGGCAGGAATGCTGCAGGAACCATGGAAGGAGGTAATATCTCCGGGAGCTGGGTTTTCGCCGCGCGAGCTGCGCCCTGGAAAGCAACCGAAGGTCCAACAAAGACTACATTGTCTGCACCACCAATGACGGGGCCGAAGGAATGGCTGATGAATGCGGCTAATATTGGTTTCGCATTCCCATGATCAGGTCGGATCACATCAACAACCACGTCCTTGTCCTGCGAGAAGCATTGCCGGACATGAACTGCAATTTCTTCTAGTTCTAACCGCTGACCTTGAAGCTTGGCTTGGGTATCCCTACGTCCCATATACAGGATCGACCCGTCGGGTTGACACCGAACCAAGTCTCCCGTCTTATACAGCTGACCAATACTTGGTCTGAGCTGTTGCAACCAGATTGGAGTTTTGACGAAAGACGCGTTATCTTGCTCTTGGCTTCCAATATAGCCACGGCCGAGAATAGGGCCCTGAAGAAGGAGCTCTCCGATGGCACCTGGAGGGAGGAGTCTCTGGTGATTTGAAGGATCTACAATCCAACACACGACACCTGCTCCAATGCCGATATCGCGCGGGTCCGATGTATCAAGAACGTTGGGTTGGATGGTACCACGAACTGGATACTCTGCAGGGCTGTAGCCTTTGACTAAACGGGCAAAGCCCTGCCACCGTGCCAGGTCCCAAGACGTCGCAGGCTCCCCACTAATATAAACCGTCTTCAGGGATGGCACAAGTGAGGGATTGATACGCCGGGCCACTGAGGGAGTGAGATTTACCCAGTTGGCATTCAGATCACAGATTGCTCTTTCCACATCCTCCAGCTGGGATGTAGATGGGATGCATACACAGCCGCCCTGTGTGAGTGCTATCAAACAGTCGCTGATGCTTGTGTCAGATGCATATGGGGCAAATTGAAACATCCAGGTGTTGCCATCTATCCCCATTGGTCCCTTGTTCGCTTCAACAGCCGAACAAAACGAGGCATGTTCAATAACGAGTCCATTCAACTTACCGCTGGACTCACGGGTGAAGATGGCGGACAATGCATTTTGAGGCTTTGCAGTAGACGGCGGTGCCACGGCAGTCGGCCAGAGGCGCTCTGCTTCCTTGTTCACCACAACAAGATGGACCGGAAGGTGGTGCAGTATTTCTTCATTGGCTCTCGAGCTGAGGATAAATTTGACCTTGGCAACTGCACACACCCGATCCAGGAGGCTGACAGAGCAAGTCGGGTCCAGGAAAACGAATGCAGCACCAGATTTTATAACGGCAAGTGTCGATACCACAGCCCACATGGACCTTTCAAACAGTAAGGGAATAAATGTTTCTGTTTGAACTCCCAAGCCTACGAGTTGAGCGGCAAGTCTGGACGAAAGGCGATCCAAATCCTGATATGAGAGGTCGCCGTCCCAAGATTGGACTGCTAGGGAGGAGGGACTGCATTGGAAATGTCGCTCGATGAGGTCATGCACACAGGAGTTGGTGGTTATGGGGACCTTCTCGTTCCACTTATGGAGTTGGAGCTGATCCTCAGGACTCAGCAAAGCCACCTGACCAATGTTGACGTCGGGATAGGTCGCGATGTTAATTACTGCCTCTTTCATTGTGCGAAGAATCTGCAGGGCTTGCTTTGCCGATAGGCGCTCGTCCTTCCAGTAATCAAGGGAAAGGGATACTCCTTGTTTGTCTACGAGGGCATGTATAGCGATATCATACTAGATCAAAGGTTAGAAACACGTATATGAGGTAGTAAGCATAGGGAATCTGATATTCTACCTCTGTTCGATCCTCTCCATCCACTACTGAGAATTCGAAAGATGAACTGGTGGTGTTGTAGTCTGCAGCCCTGTTTTGCACAGACATACTGGAGTTGAACAATTCAGCTGCACCCAAGGACATGGTGTGGAATATCTCTGCGAGGGAACAGTTTTGATACCTCAAGTTGTCAATGTTATCATCCTGGTTAACCCGCAACAAATCGAGCAGAGGCATATCGGGATCCAGTGATATGTGACTGATCAAAACGTTGATGAAAGGACCGACAGCTCGTTCAATATTTGGCACGGGGGCATCACGACCAGACGTGACATACGCGAAACAAACGGATTTGGAGGTGGTATAGCACTGCAGAATAAGAGACCAAGCGACCTGAAGGATGTTGGAGATGGTAAATCCATATTGCCTGCAGAACTGGTAGATGATAGAGGCATCGTCAATCTCCAGCTCGACGGAGAGGAGCTGCCGCTTGTGGCCACCAACAGAAGGTGTCTTCATATTGTTGTTAATCCTGGGAAAAATACATGGTGATATGGCGGAGAGCTTTTTCTTCCAGTAATTAACGACAGTGTCCACCTCGGTGGATTGTAGATACCTGATATAGTCACTATATGGTGGCCCGACGCCTGCGGAGAGCATTTCGTCATATGCTAACTGCACCTCTCGTGTTAGAACAGCTATGGATGTTCCATCAATCAAGGCGTGGCTGACTTTCAGGTCACAAAATGTTTCGCCTCTTTTGTTCTGACATAAAACGAGGTGCCACAGAGCATTCTGAGCTTGGTGCGATTGAGTTGCACGATAGTCACGGATCAATTCCTTCACATCCTCGTCGCCGTATTGTAAGGTGGTGATGTTGTCCGGCATTGAGACCATGACTGCTTGATTATAGTATTCCATATGCAAACTGCTCTGGGCAAAGACGGTTCGGAAAACAGAATGTCGTTGAAGAACCCTTTTCCATGCTCCCCGGAGCCGGTTCAGGTCAACGAGCTTCTGTCCATCGACTTGAAGATTCCAAGTAAAGCGAGGACTGTAGAGATCATCGTTCTTGGCCTTGCTGAGCAGGATGCCACGCTGAATGGGAGAGCAGGGGTATGCATTCTCGATGATGGCGTTGCTCTCTCCCTCTTGAGGAACAATTTGATCCCGGACTCTGGCGACAAAGGCGTCAAGATCCTCGTAGGTCGTTGCGAGTAAGGGGAAATCACTTAGTGTGTAGGCTGGGGATGCGTTGCTTAGATCAACAACTGCCCTGATGATGGACTTTTGATACTCATCAACCCAGACTTTCAGCAAATCACCGTGCTTCATTTGCTGATTGAAGGTGAAATACGTCACGAGCTCCCCCTGGACAAGGAGGGCCGAGATATTAATGAGTGCAAGGCGCGGTGCTTCTGGTGCTATATCGGGTACTTGATACTCTACAAATGGCGATCTAATAATTTGCAGGACTGAGCCGTCATCCTCCGACTGCTCTTTAAGCCCCTCAAAGCTGAAGAGTATTTCGAATGGCTTCGGCAAAATGCTCTCCGAGTCTGGCGAATCTTTGGAGAGAGAAATATGACCAGCCCAGTCACTGGGAGGAGCCGAGCGCTGGGCGTCTTTCGTGCGACGTACCATCTCTACCAAATCTTTACAATTGTCGATATCGACGGAGGTGGGATGGATTATGGCAAACAAGCCCACAGTCTGTGAGGTAACAATGGACCCCTCTGCGGGCTCACGACCGCAACCTTCATTATATATGATTGGAGCGTTCCGTCCCGCGAAGGTCTGAAGGAAAGAATGGAGCAATGCCCCCTGTAAGATCTCGGCCGGTTGCGTTTGAAATGCCCGGTTGGCATGGCCTAAGAGCAGATTTGTGGTGGAACGATCAATCGTAAATACGGTAGTGTTGGAATGTTTGACCTGATTTGGGCGTCCTATCATACCCCAAAACTCAAGTGGACAGACCTTGGGGGATTGTTCCCTCAGGTGAGGAAGAGATTTGTTTCTGGCCAGAGGATGCTTGGTTGTGGAATCTGTCCGCAGACTGCACCAAGCCTGGAAGGATATTGATAGCGGATTCAATGCAGGGAGCGGGTGCTTCTGGCTTAATATCGTTTCCAGATCACCGAGTATTATGCCCCACGAGGCCAGATCCATGACGAGACGATGGGCAACAAGAATGAGATAGTCGTCTTCTTGTCCATCCAGTTGCACATGATCTGCAACTAAAAGCGGGCCGTGTTGGATATTTACACACGCTCGTGCATTTTTCAGCACCTGAGTGATTTCATTCTCAGCAGAAATGGTCCGGTTTTGAAATCTGTACGATCCTTCCGTTTGAGATGTGATGCGCTGCATCCATGAGCCGTCACAGTCCTGGCTGAATCGAGCACGAAGCATGGAATGACGCTCGATAATGGCCCTGATGGCTTGTCGCAGACGTTCACTCTCAATGTTTCGGGTAATCTTGACGACACTACCATAATTGAAGTCATCAAGACCACGTGGAGATAATTGGAAGAAGAGTTGCTGGCTTGAAGACAAGGGGAACGGTTCATCGATCTTTTCCACAGCCAATGCAATAGCATCCTTTGGTTCGTTTCGAGCATGACCGGCAATTCCTGCCAGGGTGAGGTGCCTGAACACGTCTTCCATGCCGATAGAAATACCGATACGGCGACATTGAAAAACCAGCTGCATGGCAGAAATGGAATCACCGCCCACGTGGAAGAAGTCATCATTTGTTCCGATCATCTCTGGAGCCAGGTTCAGCACCTTGGCCCAGAGTGGATGTAACTTATGTTCCATTTCGGTGGCGGGAGTCTGCTTGGCCGACACACCAGCGTGCATATATGCTTCTAGCTCACTCCGAGTCAGCGCCGCTGCTTTCCGCTTCAGCAAACGACGATCTGTCTTGCAAGAACTGGTCAGAGGGACCCAATGCAGAGGCAAGAAGATTGTGGGCACCATGTGCTTAGGCAGCTGACTTTGCAGCCGCGCTTGAGTGAGGGCCACTTGTACAGAGAATGCCGTACTTGGAGGAGCGAGGAGATCAACATCAACATCAACGTCAACGTCGTTGTTGCCGTCTAGACTCACGGACTTGATAAAGGCAACCAGAAATGAGCGAGAGGTTTCTGATTCTAACGCGAGAACATCCACTACGACACGTTCCGAGCCGTCAAAGCTATTGGATATGTGGTGCTCAACCTCACCAGGCTCGATGCGTTGGCCCCTAAGCTTGACTTGGGTGTCCTTGCGCCTGAAGAAACGGATAGACCCGTCTGGGAAATAATAAACCAGATCCCCCGTTTTATAGAGCCGGACAGTCTGGTTAGTGCGGAACTGCCTTGCCCAGGTTGGATTTTCAATAAATGCTGCTGACGTCTTCAGGGGGTCATTCAAATAGCCGCGGCCAAGAATCGGGCCTTCGATGAGCAGCTCCCCAATGGCCCCGACCGGTACTAGCTTGTTATGATTGTCTGGATCAACAATCCAGCAGACGCAGCCGCTCTCACGACCAATGTTTCTCGGATCGGATGACAGATCCGGGTTGACCAGAGCTAGGACTGAACACTCTGTCGGACCAAATGTCTCCCGAAGAGATACCCGACCCCGCCACATCTTTATATCATCGTATGATGGGGTTTCACCAATAAGAATTACGGTTTGTAGCGATGAGACCTGGTTAGGTTCAAGCAGACGTACCACTGGCGGCGTTGTGTGAATCCAGGTAGCGCCGTATTGTTGAATAACCTCAGCCAGCGCGTTCACTCGCTGAGATTCCGAAGGTATGCACACGCAAGCACCCGCCATGAACGTCGCCAGTTGGTCCATGATGCTCACGTCCCAGGTGTAGGCGGAAAACTGTAGCACGCGAGTAGAACTATCGATGGATAAAGATTGATGCTGGGCCCTCGCGCTGGTGCAAAACGAAGAATGATCAATAACGACACCCTTTGGCTTTCCGGTTGAACCAGATGTGAAAACCGCATATGCTACATTTGTAGGCTTGACTTGCGATGGCGGTATGGGCTCTGATGGTGGTACGACCCACGCCTCAACTTCGCCATCGCCAATCATGATCACCTCTTTGACCAACGATGAGGCATCCTCAGCCGTTTTAGAGGAGATCATGATTTGACATCCTAGATCAGCACAAATTGTCTGTTTATGGGCTAGGGGGAGAGAAGGACTAAGGAGGGTAAAAGCGCCACCAGCACGGAGGACGGCAAGCATGGCCACACATGTCCACCTAGATTTCTCGCAGTGTATGGTCACGTATGTCTCCGGTTGGACACCACAGAGGATCAAAACTCGGGATAGGCAAGATGACAATTGATCCAGCTCCGCATATGAGAAATCACCATCCCAAGCACAAACAGCCTGAGCTGAAGGGGTAGAGAGGAAGAATGGCTCGATGGCTTCATGTATACACTCTTGTCGCGCCTCGGGGAGAAGCTTGTTCCGCAACTGTAACCACTGAATATGATCTTCGCTCAAGAGATCTACATCCCGGACTTTTGCATTCGTCAAGCCTACCGAGTTCAGAAGGGCTCTTTCAAATGCGACTGCGAGATCGTGAACCTGGCTTGATGTGAATGAATGATTATAGTACCACAGTGCAAATTCCATGTCATCATTGGATACAGAAACGTTTAACGTAAGGTCATACTGCAGGATATATTAGCGACGCTTTATGTGGATGTGGTGCAAAACGTAGAGATGGAAAAACGTACCTCTGTTGGGTCATCGCTGTTGACTGTACGCATTGAAAGCCCAGAAGTGTGGTTGATTTGTTGTTGCTCGGATCTGGTCTGGAATGACACCACTGTATTGAATAAGCCTCGGCCAGATATGCCCAATGAGTGATATATCTCGGCCAGCGAGGTGTGCTGATGACCCAGCCCCTGTAGGAAATCCGAGTGAATCGACTGGACCAAATCCGCAATGGAGTTGCCGCTGTCCAAGTGCATTCTACCTACAAGGATATTGATTAAGGGTCCGATAACCTTGTCTATTCCAGCAATTGGCATATTTCGACCGGTGACCAGATAACCAAAGCAGACGGCATCAGAGGCGGTGTATGCTCTCAGAACCAGACCCCATGCCAGCTGAACCAGGTTAAACAGGGTGACCCCCTTCTCTCCACAGAACACTTGCAGTGGGCGAAGATCGTCGAGTTTCCGGCTGACATATGCCACTGAGCCCTGATAAGTGAGATCCTGAGAATGGTTTAGAGTGGGAAGGATACAATGATCTGACCCCTCTAGGTATGTGGCCCAGAACTGTGTGGCTGCTCCACTGGGCAGACCCTGAACATATGAGATATAATCTTTCAGAGTTGCCGCGGGCTCGGAGAAAGCTTGGTTATCATACGCACAAGCAAGTTGTTGTTCAAGCAAACTCGTTGAAAAACCGTCCAACAGAGCGTGAAAGATGCGAAGTTCACACAGGAGCGCAACACCTGCACGAGTCATAATGAGCTGCCATGGCCGGGATGCTGTGACACTACCAGACCCTCGAGGGACCGGAGAATTTATGCCATCAGAGTCGACAAGCATGACATCGCCAGTTGAGTGTCTCAGCACCACTTGGTCCCAGAGCTGACCCGAATGGCTCTCCACGAAAATGGTGCGGAGAATGGGATTGTGATCAACAACCTTATGCCATGAGCGTATGAAGTGGTCAACATCAATGCCCTCCATAGTTTGAACCTCCCATGTAGTGCTGGTAATGTACTGCGTTGCATCCTTGGCTTGACTTAGGAGCATGCCCTGTTGAATGCTGGAACAGGGGTAGGCATCCTCGATCTCTGTTATATCGTGTATTCCTGCCACGGCGGCAACCTTTTTAATTAGATAATCCAAACCACTGTAGCTGATTTGTAGAAGAGGAAAGTCAGTGAGCGTAAATTGCCTCGGGGTTGGCTGGAGCGTCACGCTGGCCACGCGTAGTGCGGCCTCAAAGGACGAAACCCATTGCCGAATACGATTCTGTGGCATAGCTTGGTGATAGGAGATTTCCACCTGCAACTGTCCACGATTGACCACAGCTGAAACTTCAAACAGTTCAAATCGAGTGGCACTAGCTGCTACGTCGAATCGAGTATACTGGGTCTCAGCCATGTGGAATAGGCCCTCCCGCTGTTCCAGCTGCTGGAATGATCCAGCATAGTTGAATACTATCTCAAGGGGCATCTCTAGCGGCAGTTCGTGGCGACCTGCTGGATGTAGGAATCGTGATGAAAAATAGGCCCATCCATTATTTCTGACTTGGCGCCGCCCATCTTTGGTTCGTTTCACCACCTCGATGAGACTATGCTCCGATTGCACAGTGATTGGGGTAGGCCATATGGTGGTAAACCATCCTACGGTTCGTGACAAATCAATGGAGGGATCCCATGCTTCTCTTCCATGGCCTTCGCTATGGATAATTGGGGGATCTCGATCTGGGAACTGTTTCATAAATGAGAAGACGAGCGCAGCCTGAATGATCTCCACGGGTCTCGTCCGCAAGGTTTCATTAGCGTGACCCAGAAGACTCTCGGTCACTTCTGCATCCAAAGTGAAGCCGATAGAGATAACATCCGAACGAGTGTTGGATTGACCTGCCAAGCCCCAGTAATCCATACATTTAAAGGTTGTCGAAAGCGTGACATGGTCTTCTGTAGGTGTCGGATAGGCTTTCTGAAGGGGCAGTTGTTCACGGACATGCTGAGCCTGGAGATGGCACCACGACTGAAAGGATAGTGATGACTCGATGTCGCGGGGATCACGAGCGGTAGAGGCGAAAGATGCTTCCAGGAACTCCTCCAGATCGCTGAGGATAATTCGCCACGAGACATGGTCTACCACGAGGTGATGCGCTACTAGGAGAATGTATTGTCCTTGGCCATGAACTTGATAGAGGTCAACTGCTAGCAAAGGACCACTTACGATATTCAGGCTTTGCTGGGTCTTCACAGCATGAGGCTCAATGGACGCAACATTAGCTACTTCATGCGATTTGAAAAAATAGGACGAGGATGACTCCAGCTTGGAAGTTATGCTCTGCGTCCACGAACCACACCCATGATTTTGACTAAATCGGGCTCGTAGCATCGCGTGAAGGCCAACCACCTCACGGACAGCGTCCTCCAAGTCCTGCGCAGAAATTTGTCTTGCGAGAGATAGGAAGAAGCTTTGATTATACTGGTTATGGGCCTCCTTCGGCACGATCTCGAAGAACATCTCTTGGATTGGAGACGATGCAAACGATACATCCAGCTCTTCACATTGCGGTAGAGGCTGGGCTGTGGTATTCTTCGCACGCAACGCCAGTTCCTCAATCGTGCTCTTGGTCAAGACATCCTCAACAGAGATGGAAATTTGGAGCGCACTTGAGCGCGCCACGAGCGACATGGCGCTGATGGAATCACCGCCCAGCGCGAGAAAGCTGTCGTCGATGCTGATCTCACCAAGAGGTAGGTTCAAGACTTTGGCCAACAGCATCTGTAGAGCCCGTTGTGTTTCTGTTTCTGGCGCTCGCTTGGCTTTGTGAGGGTTGATGAATACTTTGATGTCCTTTCGATTCAAATGTCTACCCAGATCCTGCAACACCCTACGGTTCACTTTTCCCGAAAGAGACAGTTCAATGCGATTGACGGGCAAGAAAAGGGTGGGAATCATGTGGTATGGAATCCTGTCTCGCAGTTTGGACTCGATCCTCTGCACATCGACATGGAACGCGGCTGTTGCTGGAAGTATTCCCATCTCCATGGATGGTGAATGGCCGTTGGAGGGTTCCTGCAGATGAGGAACTTCCAAGAAAGCTGTGAGAATGGGCTTACCCTGCTGTTCATTTAGATGAAGAACTTCCGCTGCAACGTTCGTGGCCTGGGGAAACAAGCGATGAATATGGTGCTCGACCTCGCCGAGTTCAATTCGCTGGCCGTGAACTTTGACCTGGAGATCTTTGCGGCCGACATATTTCAGGGCCCCGGTAGGTAGCAGCTGCACGAGGTCGCCAGTTTTGTATACACGATCTGCTTCGCCTCGAAGTCGCTGGAGCCATCGCATCGATGGCACAAAGGCAGGTGCTGTCTGCTCCGGGGCATTAAGGTACCCTCGTCCAACAATTGGGCCTTCGATAACTAGCTCTCCCGTTGCGCCGATAGGGACCAGTTGCTCGTCATCAGCCATATCTACAACCCAACAAACGCATCCCATGCCCTCACCGAGTACCTGAGGGGGCTGCTCTAGGTTCACGGGGTTTTGCCCAGTTGCGGCACAGGAGCACTCCGCAGGCCCGTACAGATTAATGAGACGAACTTTGTCTTGCCATTTCTCAACATCTGCTTGGGTCATGACCTCACCGCTCATGACAAGGACCTGTAGATTGCATATATCGCCTACATCAAGCATTTTTGTTACAGACGGTGTTAATTCTGCAAAGGTTGCGCGCGATTCCCTCAAAGAAGCCGGGAAGTTGTCCTTGACACTTTTGCTGTGTGGAATAAAGATGGAGCCGCCATGCATTAACGGAAGCAGATGATCGGTGATACTAACATCGAATGCATAGGATGCGAATTGGAAGACCCGTGTATTATGGTCCATACCGACGAGCCGCCCAACCTCCATGCTACTGGTACAGAAGGAGGAATGCTCGATAAGGATACACTTTGGTAGACCTGTAGATCCACTGGTAAAGACACAGTAGGCAATTTGCCTGGGATTAGAAACCGGAACTGAGAGGACCACTCCATCAGGGAGACTAGAGGAGGCAAGACTTTGCCGCGAGCACACCACTACCTGTGCCTTTGGGACCATTTTAGATGCCAGGTCCGCATATTTCGTCGATGCTACAATGATCTTTGTCTCAACAGCTTCGCAGAGGGATTTCAAGCGGGCGGCTGGCTGTGAAGGGTCAAGCAGAAGAAACGCACAGCCAGCCCGCATCACACCAAGCAACGCAATCAGGGTGTTCATGGACTTTTCCGATAAGATAGGAACAATCATCTCCGGCTTCACTTGGGCCGAGGAAAGTAGGTGCGCTGATAAGCTGTAGGAAGAAGAGTCCAGCTCGCGGTACGTTAGCTTCCCATCCCAGGCGTCCACGGCGACTACGTCCGGCGTATTCTCACTGTAGAATAAAATTAAATCGTGAATACAAGCCTCAACACGTGGTGGGAGGTGGGCGTTCCACTCTAGGAGAGATTGCATGCCCTGTGGACTAATCTCCTTCAGATCCCTCACAAACATAGCGTTATCCATGGTTCGGGAAATGGCATGGGACAGCTGGAACATCATCATATTCATGACGGCAGGCTCGGTGATACAGGTGTCAAACACAACTCGGAACTTGATTGAGGAGGGAGCCAAGTCACATGTGAGGTTGATAGCATACGAGGAGAATGCAGTCTCGTTATGAGCATACTCATAGGCCACAGAGAAGTCTGACGCTTCAGCACTTTCTTCGTCCATCCACTGAATCACAAGCAAGCTCTGGAACTGGCAAGCTAATGCAGCCTCCGAACTCAAGGAGCGAATGGCTTGGAGTCCAACCTGCTCGAATCGTATCATTTTGGTTGCACTCGTTCGAATGTCTCCCAACGCATCTTTGGTACGCATGTTGGGGTTAACGTGCACGCGAATGGGCACTGTGGCAATGGTTGGACCTGTCATGTTCTCAATGCCCGGGACTGGAGCGCTGCGTCCAGCGACGGTGGTGCCAAAAACCACGTCGTCCGAGCTGCTGTAACAAGAGATCACCGTTGCCCAAGCTAGGCGCACAATTGTGGAAATGGTGAAGTCGGAGGACAGTCCGCGGAGGGCAAGCGTGTGTTCGACGAAGCCATCTCTGGATGGAACATAGTGAGCAGACGGCAGCGGCGGGAATTGTCCACAGGAAAGGCCCTCAAACTCGCTTCTCCAGAACTCGGAGCCGGCAACACCATCAGCGCGGCAAATGTAATCCACGAACCCATTGAATGGACGGGGGGATAAGACCTGGTCAAGGTAGGCTGTTTGCAGATCCTGGACAAGCAGAGGGATGGACCATCCGTCGTATAGGGCGTGATGCAGCGTCACCACCAAGCACCACCCGCCCTGCCTAGAATCTTGCACAATAGCAGCTCTGGCTAGAGGCCCTCCCAGGCGTATAGGTATACGGGCTCCCACTTTGAGATATTCGTCTAGATTAGCTGCCTCGTGCCACTCAACTTCAGAATCCAATACGGCCTGGTACAGTCGTCCATCAGCATCTTGGACGAGTCGAGTGCGTAGAATGACATTAGTCTTTACGGTCGACTCCCAAGCGATCTTAAGGCTATCGAGGTCGACATTGGATGGCAGTCGTATAGGAAAATAACCCTGGTAGGCCCCTCGTTGCTTCAAGCTTAACGCAAGCAGCCCGGCTTGGAGGGCGGTTGCGGGATAGATGTCTTGGATCCGGTTGGTGGATATAGAACACCAACTGGCTACCAGAGAACAGAGCCGGGTTGTTTCCGTCTCATTTGGCAGAAGGAAAAACGGAGAAATTGAGCGTGCTGTTGAGTTGCCTTCGCTGCGATGCATCTTTCCAGCCAACGCTGCGAGGGTTGGCTCATTGAAGATGTCTACCACCTGTACCGTCCAGCCGGCCTGACGAGCGTCCCCAACAAAGCGGATAGCCGAGATAGAGTCCCCTCCATGCTCGAAAAATGTATCGTCCATTCCAATATCCTCGACCGGCACCATCAACACACGACCAGAGATGGACTGGACAAGACGCCCCCTCTCAGTGGTCGGGGCTCGTTTGATTTTGCTTGCCGCTATGTAGAGTCGTTTTTCTCCTTTTGCGAGACGGGAGGCAGTCTGACGTACAGTTTTTCGCTCTGTTTTACCAGAAGATGAGAGAGGGATCTTCACCATGGGTATAAAGATTGCCGGCACCATGGCGGGTGGAAGCTTCTTGCGAAGTTGAGCTGCCACTGCCTGCACCTTAGTTCGAAACGCATCACTAGGCTGATTGAAGAGGTGGTGCGCCGAGGGTTCTCCCTGAAGATCACGATACTCGCCCGGAATTTCGATAAATGCCATCAAGGCAGGTCTTTCATCATCACTAACTGGAACAATCAGGTCCACCATCACACGAGAAGCCTCTACAAAAGACTCCTTTAAATGATGCTCAATTTCTCCTAACTCAAGTCGCTGTCCTCTTAATTTTACCTGGGTGTCTTTGCGGCAGATATAGCACATTGATCCATTGCTTGGGTTATATTGAACCAGATCTCCTGTTTTGTACAACCTCCGTGGACCAGACTGGGGTGGAAACCGACGAACCCAGGCGGGATCCTGGATAAAGGCAGCAGAGGTTTTCTGTTCATCCTTCAAATAGCCCCGACTTAGGATGGCGCCCTCGACTAAAAGTTCACCAACCGTGCCAATTGGTGCCAGTCTAGCATTGTCGTCCTGGTCAACGATCCAGCTAACACTACTGGTAGCAAAGCCAATGTTGGAGTGATCCGTCGTACTCGTGATGGAGGCATTGACCAAGCAAATCACAGAACATTCCGCAGGTCCATATGCGTTGATCAACTTCACCGAATCAGCCCAGGTGGTCACTAGACCTGCGGTCATCGGCTCCCCGCTGAGCACCAGAGTACGCAGTTCAGGAAAATCTTCTGGCTTCAGGAGCTCAGCTAACGAGGGGGTAATATGCATGTAGTTGGCTTGGAACACTTTTACAGCTAACGCAAGGTTGTTTTCCTGCTGGGTGGCCTGTGGAATACATAGACAGCCCCCCGCAAGAAAGGTCGCTAAATGGTCGGAGACACTCACGTCGAAGGCATAAGAAGCCACCTGAAGAGCCCGTATGTTTTTATCAATGCCCATAGGCTTTATGAGGGCTTGCATACTCGTTAGGCATGCCCCATGCTCAATGACAACGCCCTTCGGGGTACCAGTGGTACCGCTGGTGAAAACTGCATATACACTGTTGTTCGGTTGGACACCAGACGCCCTCCACACTTTGGCTGTTGTGGACTTGTTATTCGCCTTCTCTTGCCATTCATTACTATCAAGAAGAATGACTGTCGAAGCAATATCTAAGGCAGCAGAAGACAGTGAGATAGAGGTAAGCAAAACAGGAGCATCCAGCTGACTATGAATGAGTTTGAGACGATCCAAGGGATGTGCAGGATCCATCAACACAAACGCACCGCCGGCGAGCATGATTGCTAGCATGGCAACAGGAGTCCACCTGCACTTCTCCAGGTACACTGGTATAAGTACTTCTGGTCCTACTCCTCGCTGGACTAATACGTCGGCGAGCTGAGAGGATAAGCTATCTAGCTCGCCGTAAGACAGGTCACCATCCCATGAACAGACGGCAGGTGCTTGCGGTTGGCTCTTGAAATAACCATCTATTACCTCATGCACTAGGCCATCAACCTGGGGAGGGATATGTTGGTTCCAGGCCTGGAGCTGCTGTATAGTCTCCGGCCCAACTAGATCTATATCAGAAACATTCAAGGATTGTTTTTCCACTAGCTGTAGGATCGCTTGTCCCAGATGATAGGACAACGTTTCGGTCTCTGCTTTACTCAGCACTTCTGAATCAAAGGACGCTTGGATCAAAATATGGTCTCCGTTGAGATTGCAGAGCACTGTCAATGGATACGTGTTGATAGCAGCGATATTTTCCGTCAATCGCTGAACCTCATGCATAAGATTTGGCTGGTAAAAGCTTTGTTGCTGTTGGATGACGAGGAGATTCTGGAATTGACACGCAGCCGCGGCGTCTGCTCCAAAAGCCTTGATGTTGTGCAGACCAGTCGCCTCGTAAGGAATCATGTCAATGGTTCGAGCCTGTACATTCTCCAATGATTCCAGCACAGATTCTGCGGGATTAACATGCACTCGGAATGGGACTGTCGCCATCGTAGGGCCTGTCATCTGCTCAAGGTCTGTGACAGGCGCGCTACGTCCGGCGACAGTCGCCCCAAAGACAACATCACGCGAATCGGTGTGCTTGGACAGCACGATGGCCCAGGCGAGACGGACTATGGTAGAAAGAGTAAACTTTGAGCCTACAGCCGGATTCTCCAGCCTGTGTTCTACAAGCTCCAGAGTAGTCGCCTTGTTGGCGCGGTGCAGCTGAACTAGAGGAGCAGGAAACACGCCGCAGCTCAAACCTGTGAATTGAGAGCGCCAAAACTTGTTACAAGCTGATAGATTCACACGACTCAGATATTCAATAAATCCTGTGAACGGCCGGGGCTTCAAAGCCTGGCCAGCATAGGCCGACTCCAATTGCTCAAGAAGAAGCGTCATTGACCAGCCGTCATACACCGCGTGGTGAATAGTGAGGACGAAAAAGGTCTCAGACTCATGTGAGACTATGACACATTGCAGCAGCGGCGCTCCTAGCGCGATCCTGGTATCCTTTGTGGCTTTCATAGTCTTCTCAAAACTAGAGGACTCTATCACGCAGGCAGGGCCATGGCGTAAGACGACCTGGAATGTGCGCCCGGGCTGTGACTGGATAATTCGTGTCCTCAAGATGGGGTTGGCAGCGACGACCATGTCCCATGCAGTCGCAAGACGAGGAATATCAACACCGGGATCAATTTGATGCTGGTACTGCGCTATATATGAGCCTTGTTGTTTGATAGTGAGACTCATAAGACCTTCCTGAAGCGCCGTGCATGGATAAATGTCCTCTATATCATCGGGGGATACCTGGCACCCATTCATCACTATCTCTCTGAGCTCTTCGACCTTCTCCTCGGATGGTATTAGACTGAACGGGGCAGCATCTTGGACGGATGATATAGAACGACGCTGTAACCCTTCGGCCAAACTTGATAGGGTAGGCCTGCTAAAGATGTCGGAGACTACCAAAGTATAGCCGTTTGCACGGGCAAGGCCCACAATTTTCATGGCCGTGATGGAATCGCCGCCGAGCTGGAAGAGATTATCACTAATCCCCACTATTTCTGTTGGTAGGTCAAGTACCGCAGCCCAGAGACTCTGCATGAGCTTCTCATTCGGTGATGTAGGCTGCGTCTTTCCGCTTCCTCCGCCGGCACCCACCAGCATCTCGAGGTCGGTGCGAGATAGGCGCGACGCAGCTACTCGAATGAACCGACGATTAGTCTTGCCAGACTTGGTTCTCGGAATCATCAAAATTTGAATCATGAGTTGGGGGATCATGTAGTTCGGGGTCGAAAGACGTAGCTTTGTCTGGATATCTTGGGACAACAAGCGAAAATTGTCGCTGGCTGGCATCAAGAGTGACTGCTGTGGGTGATTCTGGCTTGTGTCTACCTCGTTGCAGAGGAACGCAATCAAAATGCTAGATTTGGCTTGATCAGTCGGATGAATAACATCGACTACAACATTGTATCCCGGGGGAAGATAACGCCGAACATGAAATTCAGCCTCTTCTAGTTCAATTCTATGACCACGAAGCTTGATTTGGCTATCCTTGCGACCCAAATATCGTAGAGAACCATCCGGATTATGACGTACCAAGTCGCCTGTCCGATATAACCGGCACCCGTAGTACGGAGAAGGCGTGGGTATCCAGGATGGTCGAGCAGAAACAAAGGAGGTCATGGTGGCATCAGGCCGACGAAAGTATTCGCGAGCTACAACAGGTCCTTCAAATATGAGCTCTCCTATTGCGCCAATAGGCATGGGTCGATTAATGTTGGAAGGATCAACGACCCAGCCAGAACCTCCAACAGACCATCCAATTGTGCCCGTGGTCCATCGACCAGCCTTTATAGGCTGCACAGCGCAAATAGTGCACTCGGTCGGCCCATAAGCGTTGACAAGTCTGACTTTGCTCGACCAGGTATCAGCGATATCTTGGGGCAGATTCTCTCCGGTCAGGACCATGGTTCGCACGTTGGGGAAGTCTTTGGGCTGGAAAAGACGAACAAATGACGGGGTGAAGGCCAACCAATTGACTTTTGCATCGAATATAAACGCTGCAAGCTCATTCATTCTTGCCATTTGGGATGGGATGCAGACACACCCCCCTGAGGTCAGGACGGTAAAGATTTCCCAAACACTAACATCAAAAGTGTATGAAGCGAATTGCAGCGCTCGGGTCTCACCATTGATGCTCAAGCTGCGACTCTGATCACGTAAGCTCGTGGAAATCCCATCGTGTTGAAGGATGATGCCCTTGGGACGGCCAGTGCTGCCAGAGGTGTACAAGATATATGCGCCGTTGCTGGGTTGAACAGCTGAAACCGGATCCTGGAATTCAATAGCGGAGTGCGCAAAGATGTCCGGTGAGATCATAATCTTCTTCGCAGGGGATTGAAAGTCAATATCCACTGTTCTTGATGAGACAAGAATGATCTTTGGCGTGGCCTCCTCAAGCATGGCCTGAATACGCTCGATGGGAGCGCTGGGGTCTAGGGGTACACATATGCCTCCCGTCCTTAGGACAGCCAGCTTAGAAACAGGTACCCAGACGGATCTTTCAAGGCAAATCGGCACAGGTATCTCCGGTCCAACCCCCTGACCTGCTAGATACCTAGCGAGTGAGGAGGAATGATCCCACAACTGTTGGTATGTGAGTCTCCCATCCCATGCGTCAATCGCCAGCCGGTCCGGATGTGCGATGCACTCTTCCCTCACCAGATCGTGGATACAGGCTTTCACCGTGGCAGCTGGGGCCTTGTTCCAATCCATAATCAGGGCCAAGTCTGCAGCGCTGACCAGATTCATCTCCGACACAGGCACATTCGGCCGGGTTGTAATATCTCCAAGTACAGCGCTGAAAGTGCGGCTGATGCTGCGACCTAACTCCGGTGGAATCTTATTTCCCCAGTAGGTGAATGAGACAGCCGCATCATTGCGGTCAGCCTTGACACTCAGGACTATATCGAACTAGTAGAACTTGGTCAGCTCATGTTTCTGTCGAGTTGTGAGGGCGGCTTACCTCGGTAGGTTGTTGATCAAGGATCTCGTTAAGCTCTATGGTTGCACTCGCACTAACGGGAAGCAGCTTTTGGTAAGTGATGATGGTGTTAAACATGGGTGTACCCGAATTCCCCAGGGCACGATATATCTCGGCCAAAGAACAGTGCTGGTTGGGAAGACTTTGGATGTACCGGTCCCGGCACTCTTGCAAATGCTGCCGCACGCTCCGGTCACCCTGGAGATCAATTCTGGCGATCAACATATTGATGACAGGGCCCACCATATCCTCTACCCCATCAACCGGAACGTCTCGTCCAGATGTTAAATACCCAAAGACAACTGTCTCATTGCCCGTGTAGCATTGAAGCACGATGGCCCATGCCAGCTGAACCACATTGAAGAGTGTGATACCCTCTTCCTTGCAGAAAGAAAATAGTTGGCTGATATTCTCGATGACAATATCAAGATCCACGAGTTTATCAACCACCGTGATGGACTGCAGACCGGGAAACGAAGGAAAGTAACACGGCTCAGTTCCGTCGAGGTAGTCTTTCCAATATTTCAGCACAGGATCCCGAGAGATCTGGTTCAGATAACCGACATATTGGCTATATAAAGGAGGGGGTCTATGCGACTGTTCCGCATCATACGAACGTTGAACGTCTCGGATCAACAATTGCATTGACTCACCATCCATAAGAGCATGGCTTATCTGAATCTCGCACGTCACACTACCGTCACTAAGAGGTCTAAGGGTAAGGCTCCAAGGAAGTAATGTGCCCCCTTCGAAGACACCAGGGGCTTGATCCATAGTGGCTTGGATTTGCTCCGGAGCATCCAAGGGCAGGATTAAGACCGGAATGGGCGGACTCGTCAGCAGAACTTGGTAGTAGGAACCGTCTTGACTCTGCACAAATAGGGTCCGGAGTAGAGAGTGGCTCATGGCTACGTGCTGCCATGCCTCTTGAAGTTTGTGTAGCCCAACTAAAGACCCATCACGGGAGCGTGCCTCCCAGGAGGTACGGGACCAATAGGCCTGAGGGTCTCTAGCCTGACTCAATAACATTCCTTGCTGGATGAAAGAGACCGGGTAGATGTCTGCGATGTCGGACGAACTGAGAATATCTTGCTGGGCTAAGATGTCCTGGGTCAGGGTCTCTAGCTCCGCCGAGGTGATGGACAGCTGCGGGAAGTCATCGAGTGTAGGCTGAAATGGGACATTTTCTAGTCGCTGAAGCAGCTCATCCAATATGTCGTGAGAAAGCTGGAACCATCGGCTAATGGCGTCTTGGTGCAGCATTTGCTCCGAATAGACCAGGGAGACAACGAGAGAGCCGCTGGATTGCAGTATATAAATCTCAAAGAGGGCTGGCTTCCGAGCTCGATGCGATTCACTACCATCTAGAGGTGATGATGATACCTCTTGCAGAAGCTGTTCCTCTACCTCGGATACCGAACTGATGGCTTGCCGGTCCTTCTCTTGCTTCCAATGAAAAATGGCCTCCATCGGGAATGTGTCTACGGAATGGATTGAATGTTCCTTACACGCTTTCCGATAAGCATGCTTCGCTCGGCACACCATATTCACCGCATCGTCATCCTGATCCGCTTGCAACATGATAGGCGTGTAGGTGGTAAACTGGCCGACTACTTGGGAAACATCGGTTGTCCGTGCATCCTGCTCGATGAATGTTTGCAAACCGTCTCGCCCCGGAAAAGCAACCCTGAAAGAATGCAAAAAGACACCCAAGAGTATCTCCGCCAGCTCGGCACGAAGGGCATGTTCGCCTCTCTGTAGTAACAAGGCGGTTCTAGAGGAATCCAAAATAAACTCAGTTGAGATAGTCCCGCTACTTTTAGTATTGCTGGAATCGACTAAGCCCCAAAATTTGGACAGAGACAATTCAGCTGGTTGTCCATGGGATGGTTCGTTCGGTTGTCGGTTTATACTCGGTTTAATGGTCTCACACCACGACTGGAACGATCCTCTTGTGACAGAGGAAGAAAAGTCACCCCCGGTCAAAGAGCTGTTAAGCTCGTTGAGAATGATCTGCCATGAGGGGGCGTCAACAATGATATCCGGGGCCGCTAAGAGTAGATGCTGGTTATCATCGCTGTCCGTGGTGATCAAATCAGCCAAAAGAAGTGGTCCGGTTTGCAGGTTGATACGCTCCGGGCGAGGATCCAGTATTTCTATAGCAGCAGCTGAGGCTTGAATGTGGGAGCATTGATACGAGCCCCGGATGAAAGATGTCACTGTCTGCGTCAATTGGCCGTCTTCTCCGGGGGTAAACCTCATGGACAGGCTGGGTTGGCGATGGACGACAGCCTGTATCCCGGATTCCAACTCAGTTAGAGTGATGGGCCTAGCTAAACGCAGGAAGACGCTTCGACTGGGAACTTGGGAACTCTGAAACTCTCGGCCGGGTGAGTTTTTCTGCTGGAGCAGCATGTGCTGTACTGGGGAGAGGGAAAAGGGGAGAAGGGCCATGGACGGGCCTTGGCAATCTACTTGCATGAGGATTCTAGCGTTCAATTCAGCAATTGTAGGGTACTGGAAAATCTCCTGGGTCGCGATAGACAGACCCTGACGGCGACAATAGGCACTGAGCTGCATGGCCGAGATGGAATCACCTCCTCTGCGGAAAAAGGAATCATGGAGACCGAGCTCCTCAGCTTGAAGTCCTAGAATATGGGCAAATGAGCCCTGGAGTATTCTTCCGACGTCTGTTTTCGGAGAATAATGTCTGCTCCCCCGGTGCAACATGTACACCTCAATACCGGCCCATGGCCGTGTGGCGGTCTCTTCTCGAAGCCGGCGACGATCTGTCTTGCCTGATATGGACAGGGGAATATAGTTCAGCGCGACAAAGGCCGCGGGAATCATGTATGCCGGCACTCGCCCTTTCAGCTCCATCTCTACCTTCTCCATTTGAAGGCGGAAGACGTCTGTAGGTGTGGCGAACAACTCAGTGGCTTGAGTTTCTTGGTCAACCACAGCATCCTGGAGTCCCACGAATGCTACGAGGACGGCTTGTGTGCCAACACCGCGATGCACCTGGACCACGTCTACAACCACCTGATGGCGGTGATGGAGCAGGTCTCCAAGATGCCATTCGACTTCGCCCAGCTCAACGCGTTGCCCGCGAACCTTGGCCTGAGTGTCCTTCCGGCCTAGACACCGAAGAGATCCATCGGGCTGATACTGCGCCAGATCGCCCGTCTTGTACAGGCGAACATGACGAAATTCCTCGCCTCGGAACTGGTGAAGCCACGGTGGGCCAAGCACAAAGGAGGCCGCCGTCAGCTCCTTGTTGCTAAGATAGCCTCGTCCGATGCCCGCACCCTCCAGCACCAGCTCTCCGGCTGCTCCGATGGGGAGCAAGATGCGGTGGTCGGCCGGGTCCACAATCCACGCCACACATCCGGCCGCGAAGCCGATGTTGTGCGGGTGTCCATCCCGGCGGACCGGAGAGCAAATGATGGAGTACACGGAGCACTCGGCGGTGCCGTAGGCATTGACCAGCAACAACCGGCCGGCCCATTTCTCTACATCGCTTGGGAGCATGGGCTCACCAGCGAATTCCAGCGCTCGCAGGGCCGGCAGCGTGTTGGCATCGAGCAGCCGGGCCACCGACGGCGTCAGGCTGGCGAGGTTGGCCCCGAGCTGGGCGATGGAGGCGGCAATGTCGTTTTTCGCCTGGGCTGGCGACGGAATGCATACGCATCCGCCGAAGATCCACGTCCGCAGGAAGTCCATAATTGTCGGGTCGAATGCATAGGAAGCAAACTGAAAGGCCCTTGTCTGGGAGCTCATGGCCAGGGCTCGCCCCGATGCCTCAGCCGCGGCGCAGAGCGAGGCATGTTCGTTCACAGCGCCTTTGGGTTTGCCCGTCGACCCAGAAGTAAACACCGCATATAAGGCACTGCCCCCAGTTACGGGTGATGCTCTCCAGGACTCATTGATACCCCGAAACCATTGCTGCGACTTCGTGTCCCCAACCAGGATGAGGAGGGTTTGGTCTACCAGTTGCTGCGCCTTGTCCCGAAGCTCGCTAGCAGCCAGCACAATCGTCGCACGCGACTCCTCACAGATCTCGCGCAGACGCGGCAAGGGGTTCGAGTCATCTAGCAGCACAAAGGCCGCTCCGGCTCTGATGACAGCAAGAATGGCCACGGCGGTCCATTTCGATTTTTGAAAGTACAGGGGAACAAACATCTCACAGCCAACTCCTCGGGCCACCAACTCGTCAGCAAGACCCGAGGACAGCTGATCCAGTTCATCGTAGGTCAAACTGCCATCCCAAGAGCAGACGCTGGGGGCGGACGGTTGACCGTCGAAATGCGTTTGTATTAAATCATGCACGCGCAGAGTATCATTCCTGACGATACTTTTGCCATTCCACTGTTGGAGTTGCTCGATGTCACTGATATCAGCTTTGGCAACATGCTCAACGGCCGTGTCTCCATGGATAGCCTGTTGCCGGCTTGAACCCATCTCGATGTGCTCGGTGATGAACTGTTTGGTTGATTCTCTCCCTGTCTGTATGCTTTGCGTAGCATGTGTACGTATGTGTGCGTCTATCTCCATCTCTATCAAGTGTGTTTAGAGATATAGCTTAGCAGTATAACAGGTAATTGATCCTGCCCACTTGTGTGGCCGCATTGGTATAGGGAGCAAGAGGAGATAGAATAGCAAAAGTCCCTAACTAGCAACAATGAGACTTGTAGAATACTACGTTCTCTTCCCCTCAGTTCCTGGCTAGGGTTCCTCCCGGTGTGTGAATATATCTCTTCCGAGGCAAGCACATGTAGTCTGGTTCTGCATGATGCAGGATATGCAGCTTGCGCTCTCAGTCACACAAAATGTGCAGCATGGTAATTTCTCTTATACACATAAGGCCATATATAGCCAAGCGCCGTTGTGAGTGTCAGGTGCATGTGGGGGTAAAACAAACAAGGCGGGATTGTACTTATTACTACTTTACACTCGGTGTAGTAATATCAGAGTCTCTTATGATGTTATTCTATTCTAATTTATAATTAGTTATCTGCTTTTTAATAATTATTCTATGTCAATTTATGATTATTTGCTTTTTAATACAATACTGAAACGAATTATAGGTGCTAGCAAGAGGGGGGCATACATAGGGATTCAATGTAACTCTACATCATGTCATCATAGGGTACATAGGTGTCACAAGCTCAACTATATATTTAGGTCCTCACAAATCAAAACAGTACTAAGAAAGTTTCTTAGTTGAACACTGCAATCCTTTCACTTCTACGCTCACTTCTCCCGTCTAGTAGCTTGAACTCGCCTCCCTCGCCATGGCGCGTCGCGTTCCTCTCGATCTTCCAGAAGAAGCTATCCGTGTGATCAAGGGGGACGGAGGAGTCATTCTCACCGGCTTCACTTCAGCAAGCCAAGTCGAACAAGTAAACCAGGATGTCAACGAAATTCTGACGAAAAGAAAGAGTGATGAGGTACCAAAGTCATGTCTCCCTTCTTCCTCGCCAGGTTTTTTTCGCCAGGAAGACTAACAAACGTCCCCATCCTTAACAGGCATTCAAAGCCCTTTACAATGGGCGGATTTACTGCGGTCTTCTGTACGGCCTCAGTGAGACAGCACGAGAACAATGGACTTTAGACCACAATCTCCAATCGATTGTCAATCACTTTCTCCAGACAGTGAACGCTCCTGAGGTGGATAACAACAGTACGCCAGCACGCAGCACTAACGCCATTCTATCTCAAGCAAACAGCATCCTCACCCTTCCAGGGGCTGCCGGACAGGCCCTGCACCGTGACGACAGCATATGGCAAAAGGTACACCGCAGCCAGGAGGAGTCGGGGTACTGCTTGGGATCGGATCTGGGGATTGCATTATTGGTGCCAGGGGTTCAGACAACTCGTGCGAATGGAGCCACGTTGGTAAGTCTTTTCACACTGGTATTCTTGGCTGGTGAAAAAGAAAACATCACTCATTCTGATTCTCTAGTTTGTCGCCGGGTCCCACCTCTGGGGCGACTCGCGGGAAGCTACCAATGACGAAATCCGACCTGTGGAGATGCAGCCGGGGGAGGCTTTCCTCTTTCTGGGTTCCGCGCTCCATGGAGGAGGGGCTAATTCCACTCAGATTCCGAGACTGCTGCATGCTGTTTTCTTCTGCCGCTCATGGGTTCGGCCGGAGGTAGGTTTTTTGACTCAACTAACGCTTCCTCATATATATAAGTCTGCCGCTGACTAGGGTGTAGGCGAATGAGTTTGCATGGTGGACGGAGGAAGAGGTGCAGAAATGGTCAGTCGATGCGCAGAGGCTGGCGGGTTATGTTACGGATAAGATGCTGGGCATTTGTGATGACGGCGATCCCATCGACGCGCTGCGACGTCACCGGTCAAAATGAGGAGATGTCAAGCCTGGTGAACTATACCTGGTATCTCATAACTACTCCATCCCCTGGACAGACACTGCTTGCCTCAACGCTAAACCGAATCAATCAAAACTAAGTCGTTGACGTATTTTGATAACTCGCGCTAAGGCAATAACGCAAAGTAAATAGTTATATATAATTCTTCTATTATTATTTATAAGTCAATTATTATATCGAATTTTTTCGAGAGTTTTAGAGTATTCCGTTGTCGTATTACAGAGTTTTGAAAATATCCTCTACTTAAATGGTATGCCTCTAGCTAGCCGGCGTGTACTTTCCGATGTTATGTAAGCTTAAATTCTAGTATTACTAGTGGTTAGAACCCCTTACTAGCGCTAAGGCAAGCGATGGCTGTCCAGGGGATAGTACGCGGGACGGCTCGATGCCCCATCCTCCCGCTCCAGTCACATCCTAGTCTAGACGCATGCACTCTGCTGTGCCAAGTAGAATCAGGGCAGCCACAATACACAGATCTACCCATCCTTGGAAGAGTAAGAGACCGGGATACAGTCTTCGGACTACTACGTACAAAGTAGCTAACAATGACTATAAGAAGCGAATCTTGTGCTAATACTATTCTGTTGTTCTCGGAGAAGAACGGAAAATCAGAATCTCTTTACAAAGGGTTATCCATCTGTCATATCCAATACACACATAGTGGGTCTCAATTATTCCTCTTGGCTAGGTAAGGAATAAGTAAATAATTAGTAGTAGATTTCTTCCGCCATGCTCTCTCATCGGGCCCGAGAACAAATCCCCCCGTCCGCGTTCAATGTCATGTGGGAAGTGATGAAAGATCCATGGGATGCGTACAACAACCCAAATGGATACGTGAATGTGGGCGTAGCCGAGAATCACTTGATGCAAGCCGAGCTGGAGGACTATCTCTGTCAGCACATTAACATGCGTGGCTCCGGGTTGACCTACCAGGATGGTCCGATGGGCAGTCCTCGATTGCGAAGCGCGTTGGCACGCTTTCTTAACCGGCAGTTTAATCCGTATCATCCCTTGGATGCGTCCCAAATCATTGTCACCAACGGCGTATCTAATGCCCTCGAGCACACCTCGTGGGCGTTTGCCAACCCTGGAAATGCCTTCATTCTTGGCCGGCCATATTATGGGGCAGTCAATCTGGCGCTCCGGCCACAGGTGCTCACACTGCCCGTCACCTTTGGTGATGTCGATCCATTGAGCTTGGAGGCCATCGCATACTACGAGGAGACCATTCTCGCCGCGAGGCAACAAGGCACGACCGTCAAGGGATTGCTCCTATGCTCACCACACAACCCATTGGGCCAGTGCTATTCGCCTGAGGTCCTCGAGGCATTCCTGAAGTTGTGCAATAAGTACCAAATTCATCTTGTCTGCGACGAAATCTACGCTCTGTCCGTCTGGAGCGACCCCCCTTTCACCTCAGTCATCGCCCTCAACCTCGAAAAGTTCATTGATCCGGCCCTGGTGCATGTGCTTTGGGGAATCTCCAAAGACTTTGGCGCTAACGGATGGCGTCTAGGATGCATCATATCCCTTTCCAACCGGGAGTTCCACACGGCGATGAATTCCGTCGCCATCTACTCGTACGTGTCGTCCATTACAGATCACGTCGTGACGCAAATGATGGAGGACGATAGGTTTGTCGATGCCTACCTCATTGAAAATCGGCACCGTCTAGCGTCCACGTACGCCTTCGCAACTGATTTCTTGCGACGGCATGCCATCCCCTCCACGCCAGGCGTCCACGCTGCCTTTTTCCTGTGGGTTGATCTAGGCCAGGCGTATCGCAATAGGCATCCGGACAAGGCGTCAAAGCAAGACATCATAGAGGAACTAAAGCAGGCTTTATGGGCGCATAAAGTGTACTTGGCCTGGGGAGGTAATTTTGACAGCGAGTCACCGGGCATGTTTCGCATTGTGTTTGCGCATCCTCGAGCATATCTGGAGGAAGCTTTGCGTCGGATTAACCAAGCACTGGAGCGGGGGATTCCAGCTGCGACTTAGGCAAATCCACTTTTGTAATCATGGAAATATATACGGATGCTTATACATGAGATATATATGCTGGATGAATCATTGGAGCTGTCACGGCTACGGTTATTTAGCAAGTGAATGAATCTGATTACTCATTTCTGCCTGAGTCAGTCCCCCCGCTCTTAACACTCTTATATGTAAGCGTTACTTTTTTATTCAGTAGGTTATATCCTAATACGTTAAACTTAGTTTCTCGTCAATATACTCCCAAGTGGTGATGTTGCTGTATTTGGATTTTGCGCCATCTGGAAGAAGCTCAGGCAGAGTGCCTACAACCTGTGACCGATTAGGCTTCCCAAAATACGCCACTGAGTATCTGTCCCGAACCCAGGCATCACTCGACCCTGGAGGGAGGACTACACGGTGGCTCGTCGCGCGAAACTTGTCGTTGGACCAACGCTGAAGGCAATCACCAATGTTGACAATCATCTCTGCCTTATTCTCAAAGGGTATAGGGAAATAGTCTCCCGGAACATCTTGATCTTCTATCTCTAGGCCGCCAACGGAGTCCTGGAAGAGCAGTGTAACTGTACCAAAGTCTGTATGCTCAGATATTCTCTTTGCACCTTTGTGCAGAATGGCAGCCTCGCACCCGGGGTAGTGGTTCAAGCGTAGTTCTGACGTGTTGTGGTCGCACATGTCCCGAAAGAATGCAAGGCCAAGGCCAAGGCCAAGTGCCAGGGCCTGAAGAATCTGTTGATGAATTTGGTGGCAGCGTTCGTATAAACGTTCCATGAACGCTCGGAAATTTGGAATATCATCTTCGTCTGGCCATCTATTCGGATACAGTTCATCGCGTACGGGGCCTTGGTCAAACGATTCCTGCAGAAACCACGTCAGTCCAATAGTTGCTCGTAAGGAGAAGGAGGACGAAGTAGGCGCTAGAATGGATACCTTTACGTCATAAACCTCGACAGCATCTCGATTGCCTTTTTCGTAGTCCTTAACCTTGGACAACTTCTCCTGCCCGATGTAGCTGTATCCGCGATGTGGCTTTGGTCCACAAGGGTGTGCTGCTTTCGTCTTCGCGGCGAGGGGGAGTGAGAAAAACCTCATATTCTAGACCGCACATAAAACGGGCCAGTTAGCATCGTCCCATGTCTCGATCTGTGATTGAATCTCATTTACCCATTGAAATACTTCACAGAGCTCCTCATCACCAAGTCCGTGATTCAAGAGCTTCACGAATCCCACAGTGCTGAGGCATTCAATGAGGTCTTGGCAAAACCTACTCTGTTTGTTTGAATCACCATGGAGGAAGTCGGCAAAGTCCAATGTACGGACGGTTCGACGGGAATTAGAGAGGAAATCGCCCATTTTTCTTCTATCACTCCTAGTCCGCATAAAGCGCAAGGGGACAGATGGCTTGTAAATACGGCAGTGAATTTTTGTCGCTAAAGTTCATCACGTAACATGAATATAATAAACAAGTTATACATTTGAGGAGAATAAGTAGAACCAACATGGAGCTCAGGGCCATATGAAACTCCGACCACAGCAGTTTGGCGCTAGCCACCACATGTTACACTAAATTACAAAGGTATACTGCTTACATAGGTCTCAAGTTTTCTTCCAATGCATGTTGCGAAACATGCAGTAATACTGCTTAAGCTGCAGGACAAAAGTACATGCAGTGTCATCACATCTCTCGGAACGAAATCTTTCGTTGATGTTGTGTATGTGTGGCTGTTGTATTTTTGCAGCCTCGGTGACGTTAACCCCTGCCTGTCACCATCCGTTAGTGCGGGGTATACTCCGTACCTTGACAACTTGGCAAGACTAGTACGGCATTACGCAATTGCTACATACACAATAGTAAAGGAGCAATTGCTTCAAAGCGGGACGGCATAGCACTGCACGGGCTAGGTGGGGTACAGGTTACCATACCACCAGTTCATACGACTGAGCTCGCTTCGGCCCAAATCAAATAGCCTCGGATTTTTTATTATTGCACTCGGTAAGCTCTAGGAAGACAACTACACATCCCGCCAACCAAATGGTGTTGTGGTCATGGCATCGCAATTTTCGTATGGCGCATGGTCCAAGGTCTGACTCTTACATGCATTCGGGTCTCTAGAAGCCGGAAGACGCACTTCTCGAGAGGCCACATATTTTTCCTAGATAAGGCAGTCTCTCGTTGATTCGTAGTTGGCTGGTGACAGACAGTCTCACAGTCTCATATTGCTTCTGTCCACATGGCTAACTCAGCCGGCACACTATGTTCACACTAGTACATTTATCGATTACGGTGGCATGGCGCGAATACCTGATGCTCATTGGTATTGACCTAATGACCACTCGGCAGCTCCTTCGGGTCTTACACGTGGTTCAATTCAGATTGCTTCCCTTTTGGCCAAGATCGCCAATCTGATCCAGTGGGTTAACAACTGCAACCGCTCCTTCTTGGGAAAAGCTTAAATGATGTCGTACAATAATCAACTGTCATGTGTAGTGTCACGTATCATGGTCATATGTAGTGTCACGTATCATGCCTGTAACATGGTTCGGTACACGCGTCCCAGGTATTCAGGTCGACTCAAGACACCGGTGGCGCGCCAGCCATGTGCCTTAATATGAATAAGCCAATATAATTCTAACTCGCGCTCTATCCTTGTAATAAAGACTCCTTCAACAATCCATCCCTCACTCGTAGGTGCAATACCATATTATCCTTTCTATCTATACCCTCTCAACGGAATCGTTGAATAGAGAGAGACAAGTAAGACGAGACAAGTGGCGAAGAAGAGAAGACCCGGCGGCAAACCTCCGTCACTATTCAGGATAAGAAGGAAAACGCCTCCCCACAGCAGGGTGCCGACAATAGCTGCCAACGACTGCATGGTCCGAATGCTCATGTAGAGGCTTTCCAGAGTCTCGGTGTCGGATAAAGCAGTGGTCGCGAACGATCGCAATGAGTCGGCCAGACCAACGCTGAGGGCAGAGACGGCAACCCCCAGAGCGTAAATAACAATAGACGGTGCCATGGCCATGATCAGGGAGCCAAACACACAAAATACCAAACTGGCTGTGATGACCCAAAGATCCGTGTCCTGTTTGCCGCGCAAGCGTGGTCGCAGCAATCGTTTCGAAAATGTAGGCAGAGCGAACAGAACAACGGCAGAGATGATCTGTTCCATGGAGGTAATTTTGTCAACGTTGGCCAAGGTCGCATGGAAAGTGCCCGAGGCCCATTGCTGGGATATGCCCGAAACAGTCCCAGCTAATGTGTAAGTGAAAAATATGCTCATGACTCTTAGGGTGAGTGGATTTCGGAGCGCTTGTGCGACGAACTGTGCAGACAGGAACAAATCAACTGTGGCAGCACGAAGTACGGTCTGCCATAAGGCTAGACGACCATGCGAGGCGATGCGGGTACCTTCCTGTCCATGAAGAAGCGAAGTGGCTGGTGATGACGCCTGTGAGATGGATGAACGGGGAGCATCCTCCTCATCTGAGATGTTGTCTTCCTCAGCATAGAGGGATTTATAATGACTTGGAAGCAGGCAGATTAAAAGAATGACCAGGGCACAAATGCAGATGACTATGGAGCACAGCAGCCAAACATGCTCCCTGAGAAGCAGGGCGCCAATAAAGGTCCCGACAGACATCATCCCGATCAGAATGGCGCTCAAGATATTAAACGCACCGGTTCTAGTGTCACAAAAACTATCAGTTCACACCTAGGTATCCGGGACTAGCCGGCATACGTGGAGAAGCAGAATGAATCTGTGCATAACTTACAGTCCGTCTTCCGGGACGCTCTCTGCCATGTACATCCACAGCAAGACCTCTCGCACTGGCATCCCGCCTCCCACCAGCTCCAAAATCCACAGCAGCAGCACGCAGCGGACGTCAAAGAAGGTGTGGAAGTAAACTTGGATGTGCGACTTGTCAGTTCGCCGGGACATACTCCGCACACACTGGCACTCGAGCTGGAAGGCAAAGGTGTGAATTCACTCACCCACGGCCGTAAATAATATCATGCGCAACATGTAACTCGCGGCATTGATGAGAAGGACAGTCCTCTTTCCGACGGCCAACGCCAAGCGGGCAAACACGGGAGTAGCCAGAAAGCCTTAGGGACATTATAGTTAGCTCGCGGGATTAGACATTTCCGGAGGAAAAGAAAAGGTGGGAAATTGAATCTCGTACTTGCTATCAAGAGCGTGAAATTTAGCATGCTGGACAAGAAGGCGACCTGTGATTGCAGGTCCTCTGTTTTGCACATGTCCTCGGGCACACTACCATCTGGGCGGACAACGGAGGGGTCATTGCTGGTATAGAATGCTCGACACAGGGCTTGTTCAATAAGGAAAGTCTGCGAGGACTTGGCTAGAGCATAGCCAAAGCCATCGACGGTCATGACCGTCATGGCTTTCCACTGCGTTGATTTCGACATGAGGTCGGCGGCGAGGGTGCGAAGGAAGATGCGGATTCGAGTCAAGGATGGACGTTGGAGCCGTACGCGACGGAGGTTTCTTGTAGCAAAGGTATGTTCCATCATGATGCAAACGGCCGGGGCTCAGCTGATTACAAGGTTCACATGGCCACAAGTGTTTAGTCACGAGTGTCAGCACCTCGGGCGCATACACAAGAGTAATTCGCAACAACAAGATATCTCCACGGTGGACTAGGCTTCTTCTATGTAAATGTGGATGAATGCCTATACCTAACAAGTGCACAGTGAAAGGCCGAAGTGAGCTGCATTCTAGCATCTCATGGTGGGACATGGTCGGATTGGCAGTTGGGCAGGCAACGAGGAATGGTTGCTCAACAGCTGCAGGGCAGGCATTTTCCTGTTTCACAGCCCCAACGTCATTGCATTGACAAGACTAGTGTTGGAGCACTGGTGCTTAGTCAACGGCGGGCCGAGCCGCGCCGACGTGGAGATATAGACCAGTTGACATTCAGTGAGGTGCAAAAAGTTTGAAACCCCCCCCCCCTGTTGATGTGGTTACTTTAGGGTAGCTGAGGTGCGTATTTTGAATACTGCCGCCCTGAAAGTAAGTAAGTATCGGAACGCTAGCAAGGGGGGGGTTTTCAAACTTATTGCACTTCACTGTACTCCGTAGTCGGCGGAAGGGATGAAAAATGCATGGCAGCCTTAGGCCACCATACAGCATGCCAGGCCCCAACTGTATTTAGCCGGGTCCTTGACTCTCTCTCTTACATCAATCAATCCACACGTTACTTTTATCAAGAACCCGTTGACCTCTAATCCCACCCTTAATTATCTAATCTAAGGCCAGCTGGTGTGGGTACACCATAGAGACGCCAAAAGCGGTCAACAGTTCTAGCAGACCGAAAGCTGCTCCCTCCATCAAGATTTACAAGCCTAGCTTCCAAGATGGTCAAAAACACTTTGCTACCCGGTTCGCCCAAGTTGCACCAATGCCGGCTTCGCAGTTCGTCATCCCGGGTCCTTTCCTTCATTTCTATCGGCACGCCCAATTGACACGTCAATCTCCATTTTTGGGTGCAATAACAGTTCAGGCGCAAGCCCTCTATGCGGCGTGCAAAACCCTCCGGTTGCTAACCTTGAACTTGATTTACTTGGTGGCGAGCCATGAGTAGTTGTGGTGAGTGGAGTATTTACCATGGCCCTGTCGGTTGTATGCAAGCAAGTACTTAACGGGAAGAGCTTGCATTGGCGTCATGAAATAATGATTGTGCCATGGTGCAGGTGAGGATATACCCTGGAATACTTGACTACTTGAGTAGGTGTTGTCCCCATCCGCATGCATTGACCGGTGAAGCTCACTGCCTGTCGCTGCCGCTCTACAGAGCAGTAGTTCGACTTCACCCACTGTCTAAACTCACCCACTTCGTAGCATGCGTCTTGTTCCCTCAGGGCGCGTTGCTCGTAATTGCTTTTAACGCCGTAAACCGGCGGTACGGCCTATCAAAATACCTTGATGGCCCGGTGCATCCAATGTTACGGTTTGGGCGAGACCTGCATGCTTTTATCATGAGTCAAATTTTCATAACTACCTGTGAACCTCGTAGTGGTGGCTTATCCGCATCGAGTAGTTCCCAAAATCTCCAACAGATATCTCACCGACCGCCCGAATCTACGGAATGCGACTTCACACGATCGATCGTAACCATCCCTATGACCTATACAGTGGCAGCCACACGTAGAAATTGCATTAAAGCTATGACGACGACATGCATTAAAGCCTAAAACGGGAATAGACTATGAGAGCGTAGTACCGGTCATAAACAGAGCTATGGTTGACTTCCTATATCTTAGGACTGTATAGAGGTGATGCCAAATACTCATGTAGTGGCTAAGTCCTGACAATTGATTAGGTATGTTCTGTATGGCACCCAGAGTCTTATTGTTGTATCTTCCCACTATTCGTCAGGATAGCTGTAGGTACATGTATCAACCATGGTTGGTTCCCTTTCTCAGTCACTACATGGGGTGATATGTGTGATTGAATTGTTTCCTATGCCATTATGATACTAGCGCCGTTTACTTACAAAGTATTAGGCCGTGTCGAGCTTTGAAGCGGTTGGGCCTTGACAACTTGGTGGGATCAGCGCGGACGCTGAAGCTGAACCCCCCCCCCCCCCCATCTGTATGCAACATCGTGAATATCAACAACCAATCCAACCACTGGCACCACCAGCCGTCGACGTCATCTAGTACTTGTGCATTGTGCTTGCGAAAAGTCCCCTCACTTCGGAATATAAAGTTTCGTCCTATGTCTCGAGTTTTTGTCGGTACTATACGGTTCAATTCGCAATCATTCACTTCCAACCTTTATACCAAGCCGTACAGCTACAAGAAAGCCTCAAAATAGCGAATATGAGAACTGAACAGTTTGATTACAATGTTGAATCAAGAGTCATACCAGACGATCCCATTGAGCTGCGCGGCAAAAGTCGCGACAGCGGCAAAATAGTTGTGCTCGACCGCTCTACTGAGATGATTACGCACACAGTGTTTTCAACCATCTGCCAGTACTTTCGCGGAGGCGACCTCCTAGTATTGAATGATAGCTACGTGCTCGCAAACGTCTTGTGGTTTCAGTATGGCGACGAGTTTACCCACGTGGGCTTGTCTGGCCACGAACCTGACAATACGACGGTTGTCGATATGTTCGGATGGCCATTAGCTGCGCCGGGTTTGACTCTGACTTCAAAAAATAACGACCAACTCACTTGTACCCTCCTTGAGCAGCTGCCCGACCAGCTCTGGAGAGCGAAGTTCGAACCATTCGAGCTAGTCACGCCAACGCTAGTTCAATTCGGACAGCGAGTGGACGATATAAATGATCCGAACGTGACTCTATGGAGATCCTCCCCTCTAGCGTATCGCTCTGTATACGCTAATACACCTGGCTCATTTAATATTCCCTCAGCCGGGCTTCACTTCTCTAACAAACTGTTGGCTGAGGCTGCCGCCAAGGGAGTTGAGGCCGCTCACATCACGCTACATGTCGGGGCGACTGAGAGCTTCGCGGTTCGTCATATCAGCGAGAAGGAGATTGAGGATCACAAGGTCAGGACCGAGTACTTCGAAGTTGGAGACAAAGCAGCTGCACAAATCAATCGGGCCATTTCTGAGGGGAGGCGTGTCATCGCCGTTGGAACGACTGTCATGAGAGCTCTTGAAACATTGGCTGCTAAACAAGAGCCTAAAGCTCCTATCCAGGCTGAATCGGGGTGGACAGATCTATATATATATCCCGGGTTCAACTTCAAGCTTGTGAACGTGTTGCTGACAAATCTTCACCAGCCGCGGTCCAGCCATATTGTGCTTACCGCAGCCTTTGCTGGAAAAGATCTTGTAATGCGCAGCTACGCGGAGATTCTTGAAGGTGGTGGATACGAATTCGATATGTTCGGCGACAGCATGCTGATTGTGTAGCCGGGAGGACAACAGGCGCCGTTCGTTGGCATAGGAACCACATCTACCAATTCAAATCATAGAATAAGAAGACTCGTGTATTTCTTACAATAATATCAGGTTATTTTAAAGTTATTGAGAGTTTATTCAGCTATCTGTAATGCTGACAGCCGAGTTAAATATAAGTAAAGGGGATAGGAAATTTTATTATTATAAGCTAGAGCTAGCAAGAGTAAGCTATCTAGTAAAACCATCTCTAAGTACAGGAGGGGCCATTGCTATTAATGTCAAATGCAATAACCAATTTCGCCATTTGAGGTCTCTGGCTATTTACCGCTTCCCCTATTACCACCATTCATGACGACTCCACCGCTAGGGTCTCTGACCATCATGAACACCGAATACGATCCTGCAGTCTGGACATTCGCAACTCGGATGGGAATCCGCTTGCCAATATCCTTCGCCGTTACAAGGTATTCGAATCTTTTTCCCCCGAAGGGATCGCGAGAAGCGTAGTCAACCTTCAAATCCGTATTGGCTTCGGAAAAGCTCGAAATTGCTTTATCACCAACCCACAGAAAAGCCATGTCATCGGCCCACCATATGTCGAAGCGGGATCTTCCTTCTTGACGAGGCGCAAGATAACTAGTCCAAAACATCAAAAAGTACTCTGTTGCGCCCACGCCCTTGTTGGCTTGAGGATAGATAGAACCTAGTCTTGAAACTTCGCCGCTATCCCAACCAATCTTGTCAACTTCTCCGGTGAATTTGGCAGTGGGCTTTGCAGCAAGAACCATGTCAACACTATGGGCTGGAACGAGAGGCCCCCAACCAGCCTCAGTATATGCAATATGGCCGGGGCCGCTTCCACGCTGGAATTTGTACAAATTCCATAGAGCACCACTTTTCAAGTTGGTACACTGGCTGCTCGGCATGTCTGGCTTAGAAGCTCTCTTCCCTGGAACATCCCGGAAGACTGAGCCAAACTCTAGATCTTTGCAGTAAGCAGTTTGACCATCAGACTGGCGCGTAGCACCGCCTTCGCCACAAAGTGTTCAGAACCACCTGATTCATAGGATCTGTGACACTGAAGCACAGCGAATAGGGCCCTGCGCTCTGCACATTAACGGCCCTGATAGGAACCGGCTTCCCTTGCTCCGCAGGATACGAGAAGCGCTTCTTCCCAAATGTGTCAAGTGTAGCATAGTCTACCTTTAAATCCGCGTTGGATTCTGAGAATATGGACTTTGCTTTTTCCCCAACCTAGAGATAAGATACGTCATCGGTCCACTACATGTTGAATGTGTAACTTCCTGGGGAAATTTCGGGCGTCATCGAAACGTAGAATTTTACCTACCTCACAGATAATTTCGGTAGGTAAGGTATCCAAAGAGGGAGACAAGTCGTGGATGAGTAGAACGGCAGGAGAGAGAAAGGGGGGGTATATGGAATATAAATATATCGAGTAAAGAGCCATATATGACTTCCAAGAAGGGGCCCAAAAAGGTCCTTCTGCCGAAGCTAAGAGATGCTCCACCAGCGTGCCTTGATGTAGCACGAGCTAACATTAAAGAAGCAGATTTAAATGCCCAATATAACAGAATTTAATAGGAGAGTAAATGCGAGCTGCTAACATTTAGGGGTAGATTTTCCGAGCTCTGAAATTGTTTGTATTCGGATACAGCCTTACTTGAACTCTCGCTGCAAAACTATCTCAATTTATGAATTAAAAAAGAGCAGCAATTATGAGTTGAGAAATTGAGCTTCTTCTAGACTACGTGATGCCTGGAGGTTGGAAACGGCCTTATACATGCCCTGCAGAGCTACTAATGTTACATTCATATCCGCTAACCGGGCTCACTCGTCAAGATCTAATCGTGTTTGCCCTAAAAATTAGTGTCTTACCTCTAGTTCAAACTGATATCTATGAAACTACCCTAACTTCATGATCCAGCCTTAAGCACAGTTCTGATTATAGTAACTCAAGCGCTGACATTCCGTCACAGTGATCCCGTTATCATCTTTAGCGTTAGGGTTTGCACCATGGCCGATCAACAACCTGTAGGCCCCAGACTCATGTTGAACAAGGTGCAGCGGGACCTGGCCACTGGAATTCTTAGCGTCGGCGTCCAAGCCCCAGCTCAGCAGCTTCGCTACCGCGCCGCCGTGGTCCTCTTTGGCTGCATAATGCAAGGCAGTCCACTGCTGTGCATCTCTTGTATGTTTGCGAGCGCCAGACGCGAGGACGGTTTCAAGCGTAGCAATGTCTCCCGTCGCAGCCGCCTCGTGGAACGGCGTCGTGCCATTCGAGCCTGCTGCGTTGATGTCGGCGCCGTACTCAAGAATCTGAGGTATCATGTGAGACCTCGTGCGTTTAACCGCAAGGACCAGGGCATATTGTATGTCTCTCTTTCTGTAATTGATCTTGGTTCCGGACGAGGCGTCTGTCCCAGTGCGATATTCCAGGAGTAGGTCGAAACACTCTTCTTGATTCTCTGCAATTGCACGGTGCAAGGGCGTCTGCCCATAGTGGTTGGCGGCGTCTGTCTCTGCGCCGGATCTGAGAAGGAGATGGACGACCTCTGGGTGGTGATGATCGACTGCAATATGGAGTGGCGTGTTGCCTAGTTGAGACTTTGCATGCACATCTGCACCCCTGTCGAGAAGGAGTGACACTGCTGGCACAGAACCGCTTGCTGCCGCATTCAAGAGATGGTACACGGTTAAACTTATTCCAGCGTCCATGATCAAAGCCATAACGTCCGTGTGGCCATTTTTGGCAGCCAGCTCGAGGGCACATTTCCCATCTAATTTTATTGAAACGTCAAATCCATTTGACAGGAGTAGGTCGACGATGCCAGCATCACCCCTCTGCGCAGCAAAAGGCAAGGCCACTGCCCTATGTTTAAGATAATCCCACGGTGTAACGTCCTTGTCCCGGGGAGGTACAATCTCACTTTCTAGTAAGAATTTGACAGTTTCATAATGCCTGCCATAGATTGCAAAGTGCAAACAGCTCCAATAGTGCGAGTAAATAACTGGGCTGTCGTCGCTGTGTCCTGGTGTATCCAGTGTGTAGACTTTGTTGCTGTAGTCGTCATGAAACCCAGAGTGCACGTAGTAGTCTCCAGGGACCTTTGGGAGCAAGAGTCTGAGGATGCTTTCGTGGCCCTCTCTCGCCGCTAGATGTATCGCGCCTAGCTTGTGGTAGTTCTGTGGCATCTCCACACTCGTACGTAGAAGAGTCTTCACAGTTCCCTCGTGGCCGTTCTCCACCGCATAATTCAAGGCTACTAATACCTGGTAGTGCTTTTGCCATCGTATTCGCTTGGACAACATCACCACCACGTCCTCATAGCCACAAGAAGCGGCCTCACAAAGGCCGTGCAGACCGCGTTCGGACGTGGCTAGCGCTCCATGCTCTAATAACAACTGGACGGCCCATCCCGAGGTATTTATAGCGGCATACTCTAGTGCTGCTTCAGCCACCGTATTCTTTATGCACGAGGGCCCCTGAAAATGCCTATGAGAAGATCGCAGGCCAGCAAGGACTGAAAACGGCCCTAGAGGTAGATATTTCAGAACAACTGGCACAACAGACTTCTGCTGAGAGCTGATTGCACTAGTTAAACAACTCTCCAGCAACTTGTAATTTCGCAGGTTTAGATATTTGGAGATCAATTTTGACACTAGTGCATCATACCCCACCACGCACGCGTTGTGGAGTGCCTTTCCGAGTCCGTCCTCGTAACCACTGTTTTGGATGTATGCGTGTCCAGTTGCGCGACGTATTCAGTAAAAGGCGGCCTGGGTAGACCGGAGATAAAGGTGGTGATGGAATGGCTTCCCGCTACTTTAAGTCGGAAACGGCCCAGGTAGGTTAGATAGGGGACAATGAGGTAGAGGATATCTTCTGGCAGAGAAGCAAGGCCCTTTGTAGCCGCGTAAGTGGAATGCGATCTTGAGGGGTCTGAGAAGTTAGCGTACCTTGTCCGTTGGATCATTTACCCTCATCCTTCCTGTTTCTTTCCTGTTGCCTCTAAGCCGGCAGATGATGATTGATCCAGTCAATGTCTACTTATCCAGGAAACAATGCAGGTACTCAACCTGATGAGTCGTTGGGGTTGACTGTATAGCGAGAATCAACGAGCGAATTTAAGGTCCGCCGACGAGTTGAGAGAACTATTGAAGCAGAGAGGGGGGCTGTGGAACGATGAGCATGGCGTGGCTGAACAAACTAGGGGTTGCAGTCAGCCCATCGCAATGTGTTTTTTGAACTGACAAGACTTACCTTGCGAAAGGTCGTGTGGGGACCTGGCGAGATTCAACCGTCGGAATGTTGTAGCGTTGTTAAAGTTTGTCTGGTATATGGTATATAGGGCATGTGTCATAGCCTTGGAATGTCGTGTGCTGTATTGGTGTTGTGGGGGACTTAGACTCGGGATGCTAGAAGCAACTTGTGCCTCGATCGGTAAATCCACGCTATTTCGAGCCGCATGGAACAACTTTGAACCGGTGAGTATTAAACATTTGTAGACTTCAAGAATAAAAGGAAGAATTTCCTGGTTTCTCGTTTCTCTGCTGTATATAATACTATCTCTGTATTTTATCCAGGCCCGTCAGCCGCGCATTACCCCATTAGCTCCAGGTCGCCTCGTGAGTGATATGCGGGAGAAAGTTTGGGCGTCGGCGGTCGGTACTCGGGCTGTGCGGATAAATCGTGTGCGTGGCTAGGACCATTCAATTCATTCAGTTGAGCATAGTTCTTGTCATCAATGTGGTGGATGAAATCAATGAACAAACTGTTCCCGCAACATCACGCTCGGCCTCTCATCAATCTGTCCCGTCGCAACTAGCAAGAACCTGAGCTCTTGCGCGAACCTGCCCAGGCTGCCATCGGAAATTCTCGAAGAAATCGGAGTCTATGCCAAGGATTCCGGCCATGCGTATAGTGTCGACGACTGGACACCGCTGTGCATCGCGCTCCTTGAGCACGGAGCACATATTCCGGACGAAGCAACTATTATACACGAAATATATTACAGTCCACCTCACCACAATACCCTCACCTTAGCTTAGATAGAATAAATATAACCCACGCTTACTTTAACTCTAGAAACTTATTAGCACTACGTTCCTACTTGTTACTAGTTATAGTTATGTATTAAATAACGTACTAAGGTTTAATAATGTAATTTAACTAGATGATACTAATAACGATTCAATTGATACTATATCATACTAATACATTCCTTGAAAAATTATTATTAAACGTGATTAACATGAATGACAACCTTCTTCGCAGAGACACCCTTTCGCACTATGTCGATGCCTGTTTGCACATTATCCAACCCCTCGAGAACAAATGGATCGGGCTTTGCCTGAAACTTGCCAGCCGCAAGAGCTTGTGGAAGGAATTTTCGCCAAATGGCGTCGCCGATATCAAGCCTGACGAGGCCGGGGGCAAGACTATTCACTATGAAAAAGTCAGATAGGTCTCTGTATTTTGTCTGTCTAATCACTTACCCCATCCAAATTCTACGTTCTCTGGGGCCCCCTGAATGGGTTGTCGTTGTACTGACAGCTTGCCGCCACCTAGCTTACTCAAGATATTTGCACAATGAAGCTGGCTGTCCTCAAGGGAAACGGAATCCACGAACCCACCGAGCGTTTCTGTTTTGAAAACCGCTACTATATCGTTGACGACGTTTGGGTCCTTATGGTCAAAAACGAAGGTTGCGCCTAAGCTTTTGACATACTCGGCGTTGGCACTGGAAGCAGTAGTGAGAACTTTGTAGCCTGCAGCAACGGCAAATTGAATTGCAGAACTGCCAGTGGACGAGCTACCACCCCAGATGATAACCGTCTTTCCGGTTGGTTTGGGATCCAGCGATGGGAGGTTGAGCTGTTCAGATATAAACAGCGCCGACGCAGCGGTCGAAACTGAAAGTGGAAGGACGGCGGCGTTGGCGAGAGGAAGGTCGTCGGGTACCTCTGCAACGAGGATCTCGCGACAAATGGTGTAAGATTGAAATGCGGCGTGGGTGACGAGGTTCGTGAAGATGGAGTCGCAGTGGCCGATAACTCTTTGCCCGATTTTAAATCGTGTCACCTCGGAGCCAAGCTGGAAGATTTCGCCTGCTACGTCGACACCGAAAATCCATGGGTATTCAAACTTCACGTAAGGATCATCTTGCATCTGTGCTCTATTAGCCATCTGGAAAGAAGCACTGGTGGAAAGGGAATCGTACGACATAATCTGTTGGATTGACGGCGGCATAGTGAACCTTAATGACCACTTCGTTGGGTTCAGGCCGGTAGTCTGTCAAACCTGGTCCTACTTCGAGAGGTTCCTGTTTCTCTGTTACTGACCATGCAGCCTTGCTATCCGGAAATGTAGCCATTGATTCTAATGAGAAGTGGTACTGTAGAATATTGTAGAGGAACAAAAGTTGATAGTTGCGGGAAAGGGATTCATTTATACCTTTACTTATTCTCCTATATCATATCCTTCCTCCCATTTTATTAATTTGATCGGTATTTTGCTTTATAATACAATCCTAGGCAACGGAATTCCTTTGTCTTGTTTAGTGTACAACATTAGCGAACGCAGACTTTCTAGCCATGTGGAGAAGCGAGATTGAAAATATAGGTTGGGCTCAATTTGATCAAGCCTATAAAGGCCGCGGACCTATCTGAAAGCATACAACGTATCAGCCCTTAGCAAAATGAGCTGGCAGGGGGAATATACTACGAAGGTAGGGTTTTCATAAGTTGATTGAGAGCACGTACTCTCATGTGCTCTGTCACAACCCTCCCTTGCTACATTTGAAAAGGCTGATAAGTTGTATATGCGGGCTGATTAGTGCCCGACAATCAAGCACGTGCCAGATAACACGGAGTCCCAGTAGTACTCCGTATTATTAAGCTTTTTCTATTACAAATCCTTGGCACATTGCGTTATAAGTACCACGGGAATTCCGATGGACCTCCAAACTAGAGAACTTCTCTGTATTTTGCACCTATCGTAACAAATATCCTCCGTTGCAATGCAAACTCCTCCTGCGATAGTTCTTGAATAATCCTTATTACCTTCCGATGCTATATTAAGATCTTGTATTACTGTACCAGGGTAAAAGGAATGATTGGTCAGAATGGAAACAATATCTCAATCTCAGGTGCTACTTCAACCACAGCCACAACCCCCATTCACGTGCAGTATATGCGGCAAGGGTTTTGATCAGAGTGAGTATCGGTGATATTACGCACTATATTACGTATTTATCTAATAAATTTCTAAAGAAAGACCTCAAATTCGGCATCTGTCTTATTGCAAAAAATCAAAGACTCGAACCCCAAAACCAAGAAAGAAAGCCTGTGCTCAATGCATCAGATCAAAAACGCAGTGTGAAGTACAATATGTACACAACCGACATACCAAATGCTCTCGTTGTCGGACAAAGGGCATCGATTGCCATTTCGAGCGGCCACCATTCGTTGATGCTGTGGAGCCTGTGGATGCATCATTACCATCTAGCACGCTGGAAGGTGTGCTGGAGATTGCCACAGATAAACCGATGACAACGAAAGAAGCAGCATTTATCGACTACTCAAACTCTACCTACGAGACGGTGGAAATACCGAACTATGAGCTTGCTCTACCAGACTCACGTGATTGCACTTCCGATATGAGCAGTTCAGCCGTTGCATTATTCCAGGCGTCGAAAAGACCCACTTCTGCCACAGACTTATGGACAGAAAACATCACCGCAGGTGAGAATTTAGAGCTCATGTCCGATGCTTTCCTGTTTCATCCAAGCACACCTGGTCCTTTTCTCTACGGCGAGGGACGATATCCTTCTTACTCTCCTATATACAATACTTTTGGCGCTTCAATTCCCTATCCAATCTCACCAAAGCCACCCAAATCCTTTCTGCCAAATCGAGACCACGATCAGAAACTGCAGTTGAACAGAAGATATATAGGTTGTGTTATGAGGTCATATCCTAGTATGTTTCTTGAGAATAAGCTGCCGCCTTTTATTCATCATAGCTGCTTATCCAACGAGCCAAACTCAAGTTTGCACACCTCACTTCCTGGGCCTCTTTCTATTTGTGCGGGTATCGTGCAGATGTTCAATGTCAAGAATAAAAGTAACACGGGCTTCATCTGGAAGACGATTCGTATGGAGCAGGAAAGGTTAGCTGCTGAGGTATTTTGTTTCCTATATCTACAACAGAGTTAAACTAACAAGTGGTCAGAATTTTCTGTTTAGCGATGTTGAACTTATCGCCGCACTTCAGGCTATTACAATCTATATGCTCTTGAGGCTTTCCGAGGAGGATGAAGATGCTACAGATTTCGACATACCACTGATTCATACGATGATGGTAAGTATCCAGCTCCATAACATCCTGCTTATAATGGAACAACGATATGCTAATCATTCAATAGAAATTAGGTAAGCGTATGAGTGGAGTCACTGTTAGACATAGTGTTCTATCGAAAGATGGAAAAACAGTTTGGAAAGATTGGGGTTTGGTTGAATCCCTGACACGGTATATAGCTTTCCAAAAACCGATGAACCATTTGCTAAATTCTACTAAGGACTACTACTTTGATCTGCATAATAGATCTTCTTTTTGATCTTTCGGAAGGTCTAGCCCCATACTGCAACGACGGCTCACAGCTTCAGAAGCTGACGCTTCCATGTTCAAGAATGCTGTGGCAGGCATCGTGTGAATCCGAATGGGAGCGGAAACTCCAGTCTCAGCTAACCAGACCTGATTCTGGAATCGGTCTGACTTATGGGGATATCCTCAACGTTCAATTGGGGATAGGTGATTATGGGAAACGGCTTGACAATTGGCTCTGTCAGATTGACGAGTTTGGAAACCTAATTATAGCCGCTGCGAACTTCTCGTGATAAGCTTGCATAAGGACAGAAATACCTTAAAGTTTATTCTTTTCTAATTAACGGAGGAGCCACCACCGAGAATTCCACCAGCCAGTACAATACCTTCACGGTCACCAAGATGTGCTGAGGATTTGGACTTATAGAACTATATTTTTCTGTGAGATTTGTGTTGCAATACCCAACATTTCTCACATCCTCGGGTACTTGACTAGAAAGCAATTGGTAGAATCACCAGTGCAGTCGTGCTGGTTGGCATTAAATGCGCGCCGAATAATGCAGGGTTCGTGACCGTAGGGTCCTCAAAATTGTTCTTGCCCGCCTCCACAAGGAGAATCTTCAAACTTCGATCAGCTTTGGCCAAACGTGCCGCAGCAACACATGCTACTGTTCCCCCACCGACGAATATGATATCGACGTTCCCATTGCTAGAACTGTAGGTATTCATTGCTCTAATTGAGGAAGGAGAGTCTTGCTGAGTCGTCGTCTTTGCGAATGAGGGGAAGGGGGGGGAGGGGGTTGGCAAACAGAAAGCTCAAAGGACCTGTGACGAGACTCGAAGAGTGACTCCATCATGGCACAACTCAGCAGCATTATGTCCTCGTTCGACATCTTCCTTGCTCCCTTCTTTCCCGTCTTAGGGTACGAGCACGGACGGAGCTGGGTTCAGGTTCAGGTCAGTCAAGGTTTTCTCCTTGCCTACGGCATAAACTCTCGAACGGCCGAGCAAGCAGACCCTTTTTTCAATGACATGCAACACGCGGGATGTGTTCAAACCGCCACAGGTATATCTCGGCCGGCGTCGATACGAGCGACCTGGCCAGCCAAGAACCCTCGAGGCTTGAGCCCTGGAGAAACATAAGACCTTCGGCCGCTTAGCCCCTAGGGTGAGTGTGGCAATAGTCTGGACCCTGTACAATCCTTCAAAATGCAAGTGCATACCTTGACCGCTGCAGCTTGGGCGTATCTTTTTTGTTGATCTAGTTTGTATCTGAAAACCGTCGGTTCCATTCACAATTTTATTCCAACGCTTTCTTGTAGTACTATCTCATTAGACTTCATTATAGTTGTTCCAAACAGCGTCCCAGTTTCCAAGGAGAAGCTATCCCGAGTCGTCATTGTCGGAGGAGGAGTTGCCGGCTTGACTCTTGCTCATAATCTGGAACAGGCAAACATTGATTATGTTGTACTTGACAAGGGAGTTGTTGCTCTACCTTGGGGTACCAGTATCAGTATCCATCCCAACGGCTGCCGAATCCTGTACCAAATAGGAACCCTGGACGCTGTAGAGGCAAAATGCGTTCCCATGGAGAGATTCTACAACCGGGGCCTATCTGGATACTCTTATGTGCACGATTTCTTCTTCCAATCTGTGACGTCACGGTATGTCTCTAGGAGGCGAGTTCATATATCAAACTCTGACAAATTCATAGAACTGGATACACAACTCTCACCTTGGAGAGACGAGGATTCCTCCAGGCTCTATATGACACACCCGAAAGTAAATCCAAGATCCGTAAGAGATGCTGTGTCAAGAACGTGATTGAGGAGAATGGTATTGTCAGGGTTCTTCTAGAGGATGGTACGGAGGAAGTTGGTGATCTTGTAGTTGGGGCAGATGGTGTTCACAGCTCAGTGAGAGAATTTAGGTGAAAGAAAGCCAATAAGACCATTCCCGGATATATCTCCGCTGCCGAGAAAAGATGTAAGTACTAACCGCCACCGAAATCTCTCTCTGTGGTACTGATAAGAACATTCAGATATGAAAGTGACCTACAACGCCATCATTGCCTGTGTCCCCCAGCAACCCGGCCTAGGACTAAACCATATGCACAGAACCTCATTTAACAATCTATCTTTCCTGATGCTCTGCCAGCCCGACACAGTTTATCTGGCCGCGCATTTCAAGCTCCCAGAATCCGAGCAAACATGCTGGCCAAGCCGTACCCGTTACACGGAGCAAGACATGAAGGATTATGCTGCTAAGGTTTCCGATCGCCCTGTCTCGGAGTCTGTTTTGTTTAGAGAGCTTTGGCGCAAGAAGACTGGAGCACACATTGCCTCTCTACAGGAGGGTGTCTTGGATCATTGGTTCTTTAGCCGCACTGCCTTGCTCTGGGATTGTGTCCACAAGGTATGATCTCACCCACTATGTCCTTGCTGAATCTCTACTTACTCATCCTTGACATAGGTAACCCCAAACGCCGGCTTTGGTGGTTCCACCACCATGGAAAGCGCCCTCGCCCTCGCCAACGCCCTCCACGACGCCATCTCCGCACACCCCAACAAAAAGCCCTCAGACATCGAGATCAAAGATGCCCTACAACCCTACCAAAACGCCCGAAAGTCCCGAGTCCTGGAAATCTTCTAGGTCAGCTGGGCGCTTACCCGTCTGCAGGCTTACAACAATTGGTTCTTCTACATCGTGCAACGCTGGCTTCTGCCTATTATTGGCTTGGACTTTGGGCTTGCAGGTTGCGAAGACTTGTTGCCAGGCGCCGCTATTGAAGTATATGCCGTTCACGCAGCAAGAGGGGACTTTGGAATGGGAGATGAAAGTGCAGGATTTGGAGAGTCAGAAGGGGAAGGCAGTTGGGAAGCCGTCTGTTATGAAAGCTCCAGGTATTGGGCTTGACATTGTTTTGCCTTTGGTATTTGGCATAAGTATACTGGCTTCTACTGCGTTTGTGATGTTGAGTGGGACTCGACGTCGTCTACCGGGATTCATGGTGGTAACTTGATGGCCTGAAATGTAACCGGGCAAGTGGCATATTAGCGTTCTGGGCCCCGTTCAGTGGCCCATAAGAAGTGGCTTGGCTTGGAGGAGTGAGTGGGTATCAGCTCACGAGATAGACGTCGTCGAATGCTTGTTTCGACAAATGGATTTGCTGGATGTTCTGCTACGCTCTTTTGATTGCCTTGATATGTTCAGATTCAGCAGCTTATCAAGGATGGAATTTCGTATAGGTGTAATTGGAATTCCAACTTTATTGCATAGACCGATCAGCCAAAGTGACAAAATGCAATAATTTCAGTACATAATAACGTCTTGTGAAAAATAGTCCATTCATGAGTAAATAATTGACTCAAGGATCGTCGAAACCCCATGGACGGCATTTAGAGCTTGTAGAGTAAGCCTTCAGTCGTACCCACACATCCTTTGCAAAGTCTCTCCCAACCACCTTCAATGCCACCACTTCCCGTAATACCCTTGCCCACCTTAATGTGCATGTCTGGTATGAGCTTTCTGCTTTCGCTGACCCACTTCGCCCAAACTGGCTTTACACTTTCAGCAAAAGCTTCTGGACTGCTAAGTGCGATGACTGCGTCTCGAACATCTGAGCTGTTGAATTGAATTTTGCCAAGTTTAACCAAATTCTCCTGCCCCGCAACAACTTCCTCCTTTGTGTAAACCTGTACGCTGTTAGATATTGGTCGGGAGTTAGTATAGGAGATTACCTTTTGCTCGCTGCCAATCTGCACAATAGTAACTTTCAAGGATGCCAATGCTGAATTGCCTTTCAGGGAGTCAAGCAAATTGTCCAGTGAATTGCCCCTGCCGCCAAAATCCAGAACAACAATCTTCGAAGGTTTGAGTCTAGCGATCCATTCTAACGTCTCAGCTCTGGAAACATCGCCATAAGCAATAGTCCGTTTTGCAATAGGGCCTTCTGTCCCAATGTTAGGAGTCGATGTTATTTGCAGGATTCCTAGAGGGCCTGAAACTTTCGGACGTTGAGACAGATGCCATCCACAAGATCTTGCCGTCTTGCCAGACGCCGACAGGCTAACGATAACAACGCTCGAGAGATCCGCATCTAACGCAGTCCAGCTTGCACCAATGCCTAGAGGATGGATGGGAGGCTGGGTTTCTGGAGAAGGCGTGAAGACGTGTTGACTGATCAAATGACCACTCCCCCATGTAGGACGGAAGAGGATCTCCCAGGCCGTCTGCTGAAGCTCATTCTCAGATAGAGAAGATGTACTTGGAAAGTCAGGAACCACGCTGTATTGATTGTAGATAGTCATGAGCTGTGATCGATGCTTGCTGACTTCAGTCCATTGTCCTTCGGGCGAGGAAGATTGAATCTTAAGATCGGTATGACCGCTTGAAGTTGGCCAGAACCCCCAAATGACCGTGCCAGGGGTGATTGTAGAAGTGCTCTCAAGGACGCTTGCATATCCCCACGCGGGAACTATACCCCATGCTTTGGAGTCATTGTAAGGTGCTGGAGCAGTGCTCGGTACTGGATAGGTACTCCACCTGAAAGCCAAGATTAGCAACAATAAAGGCCGATATCAGGTCACGTGTACTCACCAATGGAGAAAGTCACCCCCACGAGCATAGCTGAGGTTATTGGACGTCAGACTAATGAGAGAGGTAGCAACTCGAATGGACGAAGGGGCCAGGGCTTCATCGGTAGGCTTCAGCCCAACGGTGGCATGTACTGTATTGTCAGCCTTGGACACAACGTGCATAACTTGTGCTTGGTCCATTATGAAATTGAAGAACGAGGGCTGCTGAAATGGGTGTCCGGTATTTTTAGAATGGCGAATGCAGTGTAAAACCTCAAATCCACAACCTGGCGGTCTCAGATAGCTTTTGCCTTGAGTCTACATTATTGTATTGAACCGCTGCGTTGTGCTTCCTGCAATGAGAAAATATATAATTCTAGTATCTGCAAGTTGCGCGCCTTATATCAGAGCTATACGTCGTTGCATTTACCCGTAGTATTGGATCTATTATACGAAGTCGAGAGGTAATTCGGATTGCGCGCCTCGTATTAAGAAGATCTACGTTATTAGAACCGCTGCGTCGTGCTCCTTGCAAAGAGCCAACAATCAATTCCAACATCTGCAGGTTGCGCTTCTTGCATCGGAGCTGTGCGTCGTTGCATTTACCCATAGTGTTGTATCTATTATACAAGGTCGGGAAGTAATTCAGATTGCGCGCCTTCCATTAAGATGATCTACGTTATTAGAACTGCTACATCGTGCCCCTTGCAAAGAGCCAACAATCAATTCCAATATCTGCAGGTTGCGCTTCTTGCATCGGAGCTTTGCGTTGTTAGTTATCCGCCGTGAAGGATCTCATAGTATACTTCCGTAACTCCACTCCTCTACTACGCTAAGTATATTCCGTAGCGATTTTCATCAACTCCGTTGGTCAAATCATCTCTTCATCTCGCCTGGTACGACACTCAAACCTGCACTGACACGCTAGTAGATATCAAATTTATCATGCACAATAAGAGAATAGAAAGTAAACAAACTTTAGGTACCTATTATGAGCTAAATAATGGAACATGGAAGTAGTCTGATATATTCTTTTCTGTTTGGTATTTCCGGTTTGGTATTGATTTAGGTTGAACACAATTGTATTAGGGCAGTATAAGTAACTAAGTCAAATACAAGCAACATCATAATTAGATCATAGCATAAAATCAATTGCCTAATCACTCAGCCTTCATCATTCTTCAAGTAACATCGAGCGTATATCAAAGCAGAAAATCAATTGCCTAATCACCCAGTCATTCATGCGAGTCCGCATGTCTGTGCTTTGGGGGAAATAAAACTGCAGAGCATGATATCGATGCGATTGCTTCGATAATTAGAAAGAAGAAAACTCGACCCCTTCGGACTTGAATATTTAATAAGGGTTCTCGTGATCAAAGAACTCCACCCTCTCAGCAAGCTTGGTCATGAATAACAACTTTCCACGACCGGGGTCGAGTTCCCGGAAACACCACGCAAGTCACCGCCCCCCCATTCGGTCCTGATTCGAGAATCGTTACACAGCCGGCATCAGAATAAAGGCATCGCCACTGAAGACTCGGAGCATAGTGCAATTCTATAGGCTGTTCCCTTTACTTTAACTTTTTAAATACTCTCCGCTCAATATTTTGAGAAAATGAAGTATCTAGGGTGACATCTCGTGAGGGAACATGGCTTGATTGATTTGATTGATCAGAGAGATGATAGCTCTCCAGCCCTTGTGAAAGTCCGGATTCCCCTAGCTCAGATTCCTGCGAGACCTCAAAGTCTATATCGGGAGGCAACTCATCGATCACTGAACAGATCTTTTTTAAATGAGTCGGCATCCACATATCGTAGACGTTCTTTGTGGACTTGTATGCTGTCCACTTTTCCTTGCCATCTAGTGCTGTGAAGTCGAACGTATAGATCGGATGGCGGCAGAAGGTAGTCTCGTCTCTTTTGATTATAGGGTAGTAGCTGTAGATCTACACTGCCCGGTAATCGTGCGAGGTTGAGAAGGCGAGGATTTCCCGATGGAGTTCCTGTTCGCGCTTCACTAGCCTGAAGAGGTCGACAACCCCCTTCACAGCTATCGTTGTACTATGAGTATTCTGTCGGTCTGCGATATCAAGTACTACGGCGCCGTATTTTACTTCGCAGGTTAGAAACGGGAAGTATATATAGTACGTGGCTATGAAGAAAGAATTATATATAAGCTCGCCTACGAAAGATTCAAGCTTTTTAAGCTAATCTTCCGTGAACGCCTCTCGGCCGAATCGTGTAGCATAGTCAGGTTGTGGACGAGTCTTAGTAATAGGGATGGAATTGTTCCAACCTTCGTTGACGCTTTCGACTAAACTCTCAAGGTGTGTGGCACCGAGTATTAGAAGGGTTTCCGCAGAAGGGATAATTAATCGAGTAACATCTTGAACGACTCTAGCCTCGTTTCGGTTTTGTCTCTTCTCGCAAGTTTTTTCAAATAGGTTATCACGAAATAATGACCCTTGAGGCACTATCTATTCCTTCTCAAGTAAGTTTGACAAAGTGTCTTACTAGGGCTTGTCGATTGTCCCAATTAGACCTTTTGGAGTCGAGTAAGTACCTTTTCCATGACCTTGGGCTCCTTTGCTATCAGACTAGCCCCTAACGCTATATTTGTGGTCATCGGTACTTATCTCCCTCCCATCTATTATTTGGTCACAACCAAGATGCGAAAGTGTAGCATGCACAAAGACACGAGCATAGGAACGGGCACATAGACAGGGAGAGGGACAGGTAATAGTGAACGTCCAATCTTGAGAGCATCATCCTACTAATCGCACTTTGATTCAAAGGTTTTAAATAGAGTCAGGAAGCAGAGTCCAACAAGTCCCATAACCACCTTCGCTGCAAGTCCAATTCACAGTCCCACGCCTAGTATCTTCTTCCATTCCCCACAGAAGCTCATCTCCGTCATCAAGCCATAACAGCATCATCATACCGCTCGAAGCTAAGGGCAACCGTTTGAGCTGGCGTAGTTGATTTACTCAGAAGCAACGTACTTCTCAGTCCACTCAACGTCGCGAGAGTCGGGCTTGACATACTTCTCGGTCCACTCAACGTTACGAGACTCGGGCTTGACGTATTTCTCAGTCCATTCGACATCGCGAGATTCAGGCTTGACGTATTTCTCAGTCCACTCAACGTCACGAGCCTCGGCTGGCTTGACGTATTTCTCTGTCCATTCGACATCTCGTTTGAGAGGGCCAGCCATGGTGGCGGCAACGAGTCCGAAAACAGTGATGACGGTAGCGGTCTTCATTTTGAGAGAAAGTGTTTTTTGTTGGAGAAGAGGTCTGAAGATAGAGAAGCTGGAATCTGGGAAGTGGTTTGAGACAAGATTTGATGAGGACTCTGAGTGGAAGTGAAGAAGATATTGAATCTTTTAGGAAGGATGAGCTGGTTTTAAACTTCGAGCACAAGGACAGTTAGTTTGCTAACTGCCGAGTTGGCAAAGCTTGGTCTCCAACCCCTACTGCTTCATCCCACTTTCTCAACGCTACCGATTTCGGAATATCCATACTTTTTTGCCCATTGTAGATCAGCGGTATAATGATATTTCACAAGAGCTCGAAGATTGCGTGCTTTGGCTTCTTCGAATGTAACATTCCACCAGAAACATGCATAAGTTGAGTCGGACCGAGCTCAATGAGGATCCTATCTGGAAAGAATATGAGCACATTGATCCACAGATCACCCCACGACATTAATGTATATCCTTGGATCAGGGTTACTGCTATATGAGTTTGCTGGGATAATGTTGGTGGGAATACCTTCGCATAACCGCAGGTCGTAAGCACCCGTATCATGCATGAATATGTAAGATCCTCGTTTATTATTTCTGTGTATCTGTCAGCTCAGCTTCTAAGACGTGCTTGATCAAGCTAATCCACATTCCTAGAGTGTGATAGTCTGACGTTCAAGTGTTGTCTCCCCCAGCAACAAATCGGAGGCTATACGTATCTCGCCAAATTTGACTCTAGCAGAGACATAATTTGGTAGCATTGCCTACCCCTCATTCAGCTCAAAATACTTGCCACCTTGGAATTGGTACTAGAGGAGATAGTGATCATAGTAACATTATAGTGAAGCACGCCTTCCTAATACGGTTACTAAAAGCAACGTCTTCATGTGATTACCGTTCTCACTTAATTAGCGCTTTGAAGCACAACAACTACCTTGTACCGCATTCGGTAAAGCTTAAAAGTGGGCCTATGACTATCATTCCAGGCTGTACCTTCATAAGCTTCCGAAACCAAACAGAAGACCGATATCTTTACTCTCCTGCATAGAGGTTGCTTATCATTTTGATGATTTTATTTGTCAACAGTAAAGATCATCCAGAGTCTTTTGCGCAGAGACAAATCGACTGGCTAACCGACGAACCCATCTCCCAAAAACAGCTTAGAATCTGGAGTCGTTCAGTCCCCCTATCTTTCCTTCAATTTCTCCCGATCAACTCGTTCTCCTACGCAAAACTCTCACATAGAAGATGGCTCCATGGAATTTGAGCAAAAGAATGGCAGCGGAAGAGAAGAAAGCTTTCAGCCCGTTGTCGCAAAACTCGTCAATGGACGAACAGACTTCTCCCTTCCTTGACAGTCCTACAGCTGAGGAAATGGACCACACCTACCAACGAGAGCCAGCTTCAATTCCACGTCGGGCTTTGTGTTTGAATATCGGGCTATTTCTTGCTTCTATGGCCCTTTTTGTTGGGTCGGTGGTCACGCATTCGTTTGGCCCAACGGACCGGGAGTGCTCTACGAGAATGTCTGCATACTGTAAGTATATGGTGAAGTTATTGACTGTTGAGGTTTTTGCTGAAGACATTGCTAAATTGTACTTTCCAAATAGCACCGGTCATGGATGCCGTTGAATATGAATGGGTCACTTTCGAAAACGAGTTCTCTACGGCGCCTACGAAATACAGAGGAAAGCCGAATGCTGAACTTGAACAGGCATGGATGGATTTGTGGAAATGTAAGTCCAGTCCCCGCTGAAATTTTATATTTGGATAGCAGTCCTGCACAGTGATATTTCACAAAGATACTGGCAAAGGACAGCTCTGACTCGTGTCCAGATGGGGCATTTCCGGTTCCTATGAATAAAATCGAGGCTCTGAATCAGTCAAAGGACCTCGACTGGCGTCGTGTCAATCCGGGGGAGCCTGATAGTCCTACTGTTGGCTTACTGGAGGGGTTCCATCAAATCCATTGTCTAGTATGTATGTCTAGATCATTTCAGATCTAGTTGGCTAAGCTAGTGTTTCAGAATCTCATTCGACAATACACCTACAAAGATGACTGGGACTACAGCAACGCGTCGTCCTGGCACGGTGGACCAGAGATGGTGCGTTGGCACGTCGATCATTGCATCGAGACATTGCGGATGAATTTGATGTGCACTGCGGATGTCACTCCGTACCTTATTTGGAACGATCCGGATGGCTTCAATGGTGAAAGTCCCAGCTTCAACACTTTACACAAATGTCGGAAGTGGGAGCCTATTGTGGACTGGGTGAAGGAGCACGTGGTTTTTAATGGCACGGCGCTGGAGATAGCCGAGGAAGAGGACAAGGCGAAAGCAATGGCCGGTCACTCTGGACACCAAAATCATGAGGATAGCCATAACCGTACTTCATTCTAAGTTTAGGCTTCCTTGTATATAGAAAGTCGTAGTATGTCTCCTTACATAACTGAATGAGAAATATATTTTCTGAGTGGACAGCAGAGCAAACATCTTTCTAGCATACACATTCACATTCATGTTTGGCTTTCTGAAATCAGGAGCGAAATGAATTGCAATGAATTTAGGCCTAAGTTTTGACACAGCAAGATGACCTAAAGATTGAAATTCTACCCCTCCGCCCCAATTCCATGGCTAAATCTGTCTAGCACATATGGAATTCCACCGTCACCTTCGTATTCACATTGCTCCATGGATGCTCAAACTTCGTCCGCAGTGCATCTGAACAATGATGAACATGGTCGTAAGAGACATCTCGATTAGTCAACAAAACCCCCGAGCCTGACTGTGAACGAGTGAATTTCCTCCATGTAAAGGCACAATGCTCAGTATGTTGACCCCACGTCGAATATAGATACCTCTCCCCCGCCAAGGCCACAGAGATGTCCACCTGCTCGCCTTCGTCGTACTTGTCGGTATAGTACTCCCAGTCTCGAATCTTCAGCCATTCCTCTTGCAAGACTGGATCGAAGCACGGTGCGGGAACCCATGCATAGTTATGGATTTGAAACTTGCAACCCACTGCTCTCGCCTCATTGGGGTTATCACCGCAATGGAGAATGTTGATAGACGATGTACCCGATTTCTGAGAGTCTCATCCTTTGAGGACTTCAGGACTTCCGTCATACGAGGATTGCGAGTTCGCTCTTCGTGCCTGACTAAGAAGGGCGATAAGGCCCAAGCTCCATAGCAACGACACAACAAAAGCTCCCAGGAGGACGAAAAGAAGGATCTGAGTGCGGTTCTTCTTGGTCATCTGTTTTGGAAATCGGGTCTGAGGTTTTGCTTTAGCTTTAGAATCGGAGTCGGACATCAGAGGCTCAGAGAGCCCATCGTGTTTGGTAGATTGATTCATTCTGATGTTGGGTGCTCTTGATTTTTTGCACCAGAAGGGCTAGGACTTTGAAGAAACTGTATGCCACTCGGGATCGAGAAGATTCATGATCACTACTACGATGGGGGAGAGCATTTGACCCCCTCTTCCTCGCCATTCCGCCATCGGCCGGAAAACATCCTTCGTTCATGCAGCATGTAAGGAGGTACAGCCCATAAGGTAGGTAACAGAGCTAGTAGGGGATCTGTTGGTACCAACTGTCTGGTAACGACTAATATCACATGCAGCATAGGTTGTATAGTTTCTAGACCGGAAATTCGCCCCTCTAACCCCTTTTTGAATTCATGCAGTAGGGGTGAAAACAAGAAATCTCGTACATCTATGGGCTATTTTTTCCCTAGTTTCTACATGTACGAAGTATACCAATAGATCCCTTGTCTAGATTGTACACCGACAGTTGGTACCAACAGGCCCCCTGCTAGCTCTACTACCTTATTTATAGGCTATACCTCCGTACTACTAGCCGCGCCTTATAGGGGCGTTGAAACTAAACCTTTTGCTGTACCACAACAAATTTTTCTTTGCGCATCTTCTCTTCTCTCCTTTCCGTCATCTTTCTCGCATTCACACTCTGATGCCACCTTCCGCTTTGAAGACAATGATTGCATGGCTCCACAGTTACGAGCCGACCAAAAAGATTTCTGGGGTGGGGGTGGGGGGAAACGCAAAACGCAGTGTTACTCATCAAGTATGTTTCATGACATCGTGGCAAATTGACGAGAACCCTACTTGACAAGCTGGGCAGGTACTAAACGAAAGCTTGATGAAAGCTTGATTGGTTTTTTCGGCGAGATGAACTCAAAGTTTATGCATGTCATGTCGTGCTATGGGGCTGAATCTGGCGCCATCTCGTACGGCAAGTGGCCGCAATTGGCACTCGCGATAACAAGCTACGAAGTAAATACCACTCCGTATTACAACCAAATATAATATAAATGCACACGTGCCACTTTCGGCAGTTTTTAGTTCCCGCAGGGCTTCAGCCACACCCGGTGTGTCCTCGGTGACTCCTAACCTTATTTGGACATGACCCATTTAGCTAGGAAATGCACCGGGAAAGACGGTGAGATACTGGCTATACCTACATAATATGCCATCTTTGTAATAGACCTATAACAATAACATGACACATACCAATTAATTTAGTTTTTACAATTACAATCCTCAAATCCCCCGCCAATTTTATCACTTGAGAGCTCAATAGTGGGGTGCATAATTAACTCCATTGAACGATGAGAGGGCTGAAGATGTGGCCGAGAAGCATTGCGGCCGTAGCATACTGGCTGTTATGGCTGCTGCGAGCTTCGAGCGTAGCAGCAGGAGCTTTCAGTAGCTATGGTGGTCCTGACCGTGGCCATGCTGCATTCCATGAGCAACGTCGCCTACGCCAAGCAGCTCACTCGGCTAAGCACTCACAGCATCAGAGTGTCGAGAGGCGTAGTGGACAATATTTGAATGAGCAAACAAAAGGTTCGTCTGACTTGACTTCAGGATATAACTGTAGACTGTAGACTGTAGATGCTGATAAGATGCCATTCTATCAGCCTTCGCCGTGGATGGTTCCGCGATCCCAGATGTTGACTTTGACGTGGGAGAGTCATATTCTGGTCTACTCCCAATTTCCAATCTCCCCGACGAGGACCGGAAACTCTACTTCTGGTTTTTCCCGTCGACGAATCCTGATGCAACTGAAGACATCACCATATGGTTGAACGGCGGCCCAGGATGTAGCTCACTGGAAGGCTTCCTCCAAGAGAACGGGCCCTTTCTATGGCAGTATGGCACCTTCAAGCCCGTCTCCAATCCATATAGTTGGCACCGTCTCACGAACATGATCTGGATCGATCAACCACTCGGGACGGGCTTCTCGGTTGGTCAGGCAAATGTGACTTCAGAAGTGGACGTAGGGTTACAATTCTTAGGTTTCTTGAAGAATTTTGTGGAGCTGTTCGGACTGCAGGGCAAGAAAATTTACCTAACGGGGGAGTCGTATGCTGGTTCGTGATGCCTTCTGTACTCTGTTTCTCTGGTCAAATAGGCCGTAAACCACTGACCTTCTGAGTTGCAGGAATGTTCGTTCCTTATATTGCGAACGCAATGTTAGATGCAAATGATACCAGTCTTTACAACCTGGACGGCATCATGATTTATGACCCGACCATTGCATCCAATGATGTCGAGAGAGAGCTCTTTGCATATTCGACGTACGAGACTTGGTCGAAGCTGTTTGCATTCAATCAAACATTTGCTGATGAAATTCGTACACGAGCCAAGTCATGCGGCGCGACCGATTTCATCGAGAAATATATGACTTTTCCTCCAATTGGGCCGATGCCACCCGCTCCCTCGGGTTGTGATCTGTACTATACCATCGGAGACAATGCTTTCATTCCCAACCCGGTAAGCGCTTCCCTCTCCTATTTTCCTAGTTATTGCTCACCAAAGGCAGTGTTGGGACCCCTATCACCTGGCGACGACATGTCCAAATCTGTGGGATGTACTCGGCTCCCCTGGGGCATACAGCTACGTTCCAGCTGGCGCATCTATCTATTTCAACCGACCCGAAGTCCAAAAGGCTATTCATGCTCCTAACTATACCTGGTCCGAGTGCACAAACAACCCGGTTTTCGTCAACGACATCGATCTGACGGCCGCCGCTGGTCTGTGGACCAGTCAGACGGTTTTGCCACGGGTCATCGAAAAGGTCAGTCGAGCCATTATTGGCCAAGGTGACATGGACTACACGATTCTCCCAAACGCGACGCTCCTTGCGATCCAGAATATGACGTGGAGTGGGCAGCAAGGCTTTCAAGGTCCGGTTGATGGGACGTTTTATGTCCCGCCGGATGCGAACATGTCGGCCGCGTCAGGAATCATGGGTCGGACAAGGTCGGAAAGAGGGTTGACGTTTGTGGAAGTCAATTTGTGCGGGCATATGGGTAAGTCGGCCCCAGATAGTGGGTCAACGCAAACTAATGTGGTTGTCAGTTCCCCAGTATCAACCTAGTGCGGCGTTCAGAAATTTGGAATTCTTGCTAGGCCGAGTGGAAAGCCTGGAGAGCGAAGTACCTTTTACTGTTGAGCCAATCAGTTAGACAAAATCTACCCGGGAGATCTCAGTAAAAATATTTTAAATATATCATTCTTTCATTGAATTCATTATCATTGTCATAGTCATCTACACGAATTTCTTCCACCCTGATGCCACACAAGAGGCCGCACCTTCATAAACTCATCAAGCAGCTCATCCGTAATTGTTGCACGACGAGCTTGATACGCCTTCACAAATTCTTGCAGCTTGACGATGCATTTCTTCTTCAATTCGCCCGTGAGAAGCTCTCCTTTCACGTAGCCAGTCCGGATCTGCTCGAGTTCCTCATCATCATCGGAGAAGAAACTGAGATATTGATAGGAAACGTCCACGTCTGGATTACCACCCAATCGACGTTGCTCCTCCAATGTGTCACGACCACCAGAAAATGCATACTTATTAATTTTCTTCTCACTGTAGACACGATTAGGAGGCATCCTAGCTATTTTTCAGAATGAGACGTACATTTGCTTCAGGGTGTCATTCATGAAAATGGCGCTGGAATCAATGGAAGCACTCATTTTGGATCCAGGGCCTTGTAGTGCCGGGAAGAATTTAGCGTGGATCAATGCCGGTTTGCAGTAATCGAGACGCGGTGCTACATCGCGACAGACGCGGAAATAGGGATCTTGATCGATCGCGCATGGGATGAGAGAGGGGATTTTGGCGTTTTTTTTCTGGTCCGGTCCGAAGATGTGAGGGAAAGTGGTTGCAAAGGCTGTAGCTGATTGTACTGCAACGTAGTGAGATTTGCCAATGTTATCACTGTAACGAGGGCGCAACAGAGGGTCAGTAAATAATTCCCCTGCAAACACGATGGCATAAAGGGACTGTGGTACCTGTCATTGAAGCCAAAGACTGCTTTACTCGTATTGTACGTGATGAGGCGAGATATCTGCACCACATTTTCGTAGAAAGCTTTGCCCATGAAGTCGAAGTCACTGAATAAGAATGTCTTTTTCAGGTCGAAACCTACGGCCAAAATGTCTTTGGCATTTTGCCGGGTGAATGCTCGCATCTCCTCCAAAGTGTGAGCTTTTTTGCCGAAGATGATTTTCTCGTCGTCGGTCATCATGATGACCAGAGGCACATCAAAAACATCTTGCAGCCACCTGAGCATAATAATCAGCATTTCTTGGACCCATCGCCATGAAATGAAAAAGCTACCCACTTGGTAAATGTGAAGGGAACCATATGGCCCAGGTGCATGCTATCGCTACTAGGTCCCCGACCGGTGTACAAGAAAAAGGGCTCGCCCTTCTCATGCCGACTAAGAATCCAGTCAAGGTCCCTATGGCTGAAGACGAGATTTCGCCGAAGGAAAGGATGCACCGGATGGCCTGTCACTCGCTCGAAGCGCTCCAGGAGGTCGGTGGAGATCAATTTTGTTCCAAAAGTTTGGACGAGTCGATTGTAGTCAATCTCCTTCAGCTTTCCGTCGACAACGGCACCGCTAACGCTCCATGGATTGATATCCTGAGCGGCATCTTGAGGTTGAGCAGAATCAGCCAGCAAGGGAGAGGTCTGTGGTTGTGGTACTTCCTCCATATCTGTGCTCTTGAAAGAGTGCGCTGGGAAGAGGAGAGAGGAGAAGTCGTTGTGAGTCAAATGCCATTATCAGTCGACTAGGGTGTGATGCAGTAAAATTACAGTATGCACGGGTTATCATTAATGCGCTTAAGTGCCGTAATCCCAACTCAGCAGGTTATCGTGCGTACATGCGTAATTTGTGGTCCTTAACTGTAATTAAGTGTAATCCGACGTAATACAAGTAAATTACCGGTCTTTCATTATCGAGTATAGTGCGGGGCGATATTACCGCCGATCTACTTCGTACGTACTCTGCAGAAACATTGCATTGTTGCATCTCACTTTAAACTCTTCTTAATAAGGAGTTTGATCGAATTATCGCGTCAGCTTGAGCCTCATCAGCCTTCCGTGCATTTTCCCATGATCCTTCAATCATCGCTGTCTGAGCCATCTTGCAATCCTCGTGTTTGCACTCCATTCTCACGAGCGTTGCCAGAATGTCCGCAACAACACTCTGTCTTGAGGTATGACTCATTCAAGTTTAATCCCTCTTCCTCCGCTGTCTCCCGAGTTGTAATATAACATTATTGGAAACTCCCGAAGTACTCCCCTGATTTTCGAGAGAAGATTGCTAACTCGAAGATGTCGATCGAAGGCCGACCAGCGCTTGGGTCCGTTTGTCCCCTCAAGCTGTCGTAACGACTTCGATTTCACCCTGTACTTTGAGCAGACCTTTTTCTCCATCGTTCCTGCCGTTTTGTTCATGATCCTTGGAGCAGGGCGTCTCGCGCGTCTATCACGTGCCAGCGTTGCTACCATCCCATCTCCCATTCACACAATCAAACTAGTGAGTATCCAGTATATGCATCCTACATCTCACAGAATCGCTATTTGCTAACATGCTACCTTTAGACCAGCTACTCTGTCCTTGGAGCTTTACAGTTGGCACTCTTAGCGCTTTGGTGTCTCCCTGCCAGGCAGCGTAATGATGGCTCCATCCCATCCGCCGCCTTGTCCACAGTTTTTTAGGGTTATTTTAGGGTTAGGGTTAGGGTTAGGGTTAGGGTTAGGGTTAGGGTTAGGGTTAGGGTTAGGGTTAGGGTTAGGGTTAGGGTTAGGG